AGCACTGAGGGAGGCTTGCTTGCTTTCTTTCTCTCTTTCTCCCTCTCTCTCTCTCTCTCTCTCTTTCTTTCTTTCTCCTTCCTTTCTTCCTTTTTTGCTTTCTTTCCTTTTCTTTTTCCTCCTTTCTCTCTCTCTGTCTCTCTCTCTCTCTCTCTCTCTCTCTCTCTCTCTCTCTCTCTCTCTTTCTTTCTTTCTTTTTCCTTTTTTCGAGACAGAGTAACCCACGCTGGCCATGAACTCTAGGCAATCCTCTTGCCTCAGCCTCGAGAGTGCTGGGATTATGGGTGTGCACCACCAAGCCCAGCTCTGTTGCTTCTTTTTTTAACTCCTCTCAAAAAAAAAAGCCTCCAGAATTTCTGTTCTTCCTCTTTTCTGTTAATTGGCACAGGTTTTCCCAAGGACACAAGGTCTCACAGAAAAAGATCCTTAGCAAACACGGACATTTTGACCAGGAACACCCCTTCTAGAAATGTAGTGCATGGAGTAAACACAGCTGAAGATTTCTGTGGTCTGGAAGCAGCCTGGGCTGAGGAGCCTGGCCTGGCGGGAGGATGCTGAGCACATCAGAGTTGCAGGACTGAGCTGATTTGGAAAGGTTGGGGATCCAGGGCCAGAAGAGGGGTCTCCCGAGGGCAACCCGGCTCCACTTGTCTTTCCCTTCTGGGCGCCACTCTGAGAATTCAAGTTCCCAGGCAAGGGAAAAGGTCAGGGTGGCTGGTCTGGACCCGAGCCTATGCCCTGGACCGCTGGACAGCTTCTGCTGACCTGTAACTCATCGTGTGAAGGAGGGAGGACCGGTTCTAAGGAAGAGGTCAGAGAGAACAGCCCGGCAGGACTCGCAATGCAGCATTATTTTATGCATCAAGAACTAAAAGGGACCTTGGGCGCTGAGGTCCACGCCTGTGATTCCTGCTACTTGGGAGGCTGAGGCAGGAATATTGAAAGAAAGTTTGACAGCAGCCAAGGCAATTTAGTGAGATCTTCTTTCAAAATAAAACTTGAAAGAGCTGGAAATGTAGCTCAGTTGTAGGGCCCTTGTCCAACATGTATGAGGCCCTGGGTTCAATACTTGGTATCTGAAAAAACAAAACCAAAAAGAAAACAGAGCTGGGGTATAGCTGGGTGGAAGAGCACTCGCTTGGCATCGATGAGGCCTTCGGTCCCCCATGTAGTAAAAAATAAAGTGAGACAAAACCTAGATGCTTGTCTTGCAGTGGACGGCTTCAGTAAGTCGCTGTACATTCCTTTGAATATGGAGAAATGTTTAGTGTTAAATGGAAAAGGAGGATTAAGAAACGTGTGGCTCTGATCACAAATATGGTTAGGACAAAATACATCCACGTGTAATAAAACATTTGGTTACGCTGGTGTGGATTAGTTTTTTCTCTTTCTTTTTGGTGCTGAGGATCCAACCCAGGGCTCGTGCTTTACCACTGAGCTGCACCCTGGCCCTCTTTTTTTATTTTTAAAATATTTTCTCAATTTCCTACAATGAACATGTATTATAATTAGGAGAAAAACTATAGGTTTTTCTAAAAGTTCATATTCTTTGATCTACTGCTTTGTTTTAGTATTTCTTTTGTGTGTGGTGCTGGGGTTGATCTCAGGGCTTCATGCATGCTAGTAAAGTGCTCTGCCACTGAGCTACATCTCCAGCCCTTTTCATTTTTTATTTTATTTCCCTGAGTTGCCTAGGCTGGGCTTGAACTTTCGATCCTGCTGCCTCAGCCTCCCAAGTAGTTGGGATTACAGGGATTTACCACCATGCCAGGCTGTTTCAGTATTCTATTCTGAGAAGATAACTGCAAATGTAATTACAGCCTTCTATAAAAAGATATGCAGGGGCTGGGGATGTAACTCAGTGGCACCGAGCCTGCCTGGCAAGTGCAAGGTCTTGAGTTTGATCCCCGGTACCAAGAAAATAAAAAGATATCCATTGAGTAATTATTCATAATAGTGAAAATGGGGGTTGGGCTATACAGTGAGTGTTTAGCATGCACAGGACCTCAGTTTGACCCCTAGTATCACACATGTGCACACACACACACGTGTGTAATAGTGAAAATGAAAAACAACTGTCCAAAATGGTAGGAACTGTACTTTAAATTGTACTTCAGATATGGGCTATATACTATATTACGGGCATTACTAATGTTTTTGTAGCCAGGCGTGGTGGTGCATGTCTGTAATCCCAGTACTGGGGAGGCTGAGGCAGGAGGATCACTGTGAGTTTAAGGCTAGCCTTGGCTACATAGTGAGTTTGAGGCCAGTCTGAACTACACAGGGAGACTTTGCCTCAAAAAAACTAAAAAAGGGACCAGGGATTTAGCTCAGTGGCATTGCACCTGCCTTGCAAGCACAAGGTCCTGAGTTTGATCCCCGGTACCAAAAAAAGGAAGAGTTTTATAGTTTCAATTCTTACACAGTTCTGTGATCCAATTTGATCTTCCCAGTACAGGGGGTTGAACTCAGGCCCTAGTGCATGCTAGGCAAGTCCTCTACCACTGAGCTATGTCCCCAGCCCCTTTTTATTTTGAGACCAGGCTTTGCTTAACTGCTCAAGCTGGGCTTGAACTTAGGATCCTCCTGCCTCAGCCTCCTGAGTGTTGGGGTTGCAGGCGTGCACTCCTATGCTCAGCTGGCATTTACATTTTTGGTATTGCCAAGTTGTCTCCAAAGATGATGTCCTGGTAAATATTCCCACCCCGGGAGCTGAGTGCCTGGATCTCAGATTGGGCATCGAAGGTCAGCCAGGGCATTGATGAGCTTGAGCTTATGGGTGGCCATTGCTGAGGTGGAGGGGCGTGGGTGGGCAAAAGAGAGAGTGGTCCCAGAAGATGGTTTAAGAAATGTAAACATCTCGGGAAATATGAAGTGTTTTTTTAACATTTACTGGTTTATTTTATTTTATTTTTTTGGTACCGGGGATCGAACCCGGGTCCTTACGCTTGCGCAGCAGGTGTTGAATACTGGTTTATTTTAGACATACACAATGATCACATTCATCACAGGGAGTTTGTGTCTGTACATGATATCCTGCTTTTTTCTCCATTCCCCCTCCCTTCCCTCCCACCCCTCTTCCCCTCATTTACAAAAGCTTGGGAACATGAACTTTTTCTTCAGTTCCTTTTTTTTTTTTGGTACCGGGGATCGAACTCAGGACCTTGCGCTTGCGAGGAAGGCACTGGAACTACTCAGCTAAATCCCCGGCCTGGGAGTATGAACTTTTTGAGTGGATGGGCCTGAGGTTTTCGTTTTCCTTTTGGTGTTACTAGGGATTGAACCTAAGACCTTCCACTGAGCTACATCCCCAATCCTTTTTACTTTTTTTTTCTGGTAGCAGGAATCAAACTCAGGACCTTGTGCTTGTCAGGCTGGCACAGGCCACTGAGCTACATCCCCAGCCCTTTATTTACTTTTTTAAGGGAGGGTCTCACTAAAATGCCCAGGCTGGGCTCAGAGTTGCCACCCTCCTGCCTCGCCCATCTGGGGCCTGAGTTTGAAGCCCTATTCCGCCCCTCACCAGCGAAGCAGACAGGCAGTTCCCAGCCCTCTGAGTGCTCATCATTCTTAAACAAAGATGGTGGCCACTTATCTTTGCCCGGCTGCTGCAGGCAGTAAACACTCACATCTCCCAGCCCTTGACGGGTGAGCGGAAGCTTCTGTGACACCTGTGTGTGTGGACGTGTGGCTGAGTGCTGCGACTGTGGGCAGGGTTGGAGCTGCTCGATGGGTGTGACACTTTTAATGACTGAGCTTGTGCAGAAGCTGGCACCCACTGGTATGTGTCACTGTCACCCCGAGCAAGGCAGCGCTTGTCTTTGCTGTGACTGAGATCGAATGTGACAGCAAGACAGGTCCTGAGTGACAAGGGAGCGGACTGTGCCAGGTGCACGTGGGGGCCAATTGGGCTGCCAGGTGGTCTGCGTCAAGGCAGGTGCCTATCACCGCCCCTCAGGAGGGGCTTCCTCCAGCAGTGGCACAGTGCGGGGCACAGAGCCACAGCTCCTGCCAGACTCGGGTGCTGTGTGCGAAGGGGTGGGGCAGAGGCCTGGTACCCAGTCTCGGTCTCCAGCTTGGCTGATAAAACCAGAAGGGAAACTCCAGCATTGTCCCAGGGAGGGACAAGGAGCAAGTGCCCCACCTTGGGAAGACTTTCCCGGCTCCGGCAGGCAGCATGGCTCACCCCAGCTTGCCCTTCTCCGGGGGGAGCCTTGTGACCCTGAGACCTGCACTTTGCGAGGTGAAATAAAGGCGATCAACAGATGTGGGGGAAATGTCTGCTTTTATTTTAATTTTTTCAAACACAATTTTTGGTTGGGGGGGCAGTACCAGGGATCGAACTCTGGACCTTGTGCTTTTGAGGCAGGCGGTGGAACCACTGAGTTACATCCCCGGCAGGCGGTGGAACCACTGAGTTACATCCCCGGCCCAACATCTGCTTTTATTAAAATGGGATCAGAGGGCAATAGGGACAGGAAGTTGGAAGGCATGGGGTGGACAGATGGTAGCCGAGGCAGGACAGATGGAAAGCAGCTGCTGAAGAGCAGCTCGGAGGCCGAGGGTCCTGTGGGTTCGAGGATTGGAAGAGACCACTGTGTCCCATAGGAAGCTGAGATAAAGGGTTCTTAAACAATGGGAGCTCCACTGTCCGCCCCCGGGGGACTTCACTGTTTCATTATCTCGTGGTGCCGAGGATGGAGCCCAGTGCCCCACACATAGTAGGCATGTACTCTGCCACTGTGCGACCTCCCCAGCCCTTTCTAAAACTTTTTTGACACAAGATCTTGCTAAGTTGCCCAGGCTGCCCTCAAATTTGTGATCCTCCTGCCTCAGCCTCCTGAGGAACTGGGATTACAGCCATGTGCCACCACTCAAGGTGACTTTAATACAAGGTAGGGAAGACTGGCATGGATATTAGTCTTTTTTTTGGATACTGGTTATCAAACTCAGGACCTTGCGCTTGTGAGGCAGGTGGCAGAACCACTGAGCTAAATCCCCAGCCCAGATATTAGTTTGAGAAAGGGAAATGAAAACTTTCTTTGAGCTGAAAAAGATGAAAGAATCAAAACCATGATTAAGACTGTGCAATGGTCTGGAATACAGGGTGAGAGGCGGAGTAAACACCCCATTGACCCACATATGAAACAGACCCTAAGCAAGGGAACGAGATCTGAGCTCCACGGGAGGTCAACAGGGCCACAGGACCATGTGGGCACAAGCTCTGCACTCACTCCTGCCGGGGAGGAGGGGCTGGAAGCGCCCTGGGGTTCAGCAAGGCCCAGACCCCACTGGGATGAAGAGGAGGAAGACGGGGAGCTGGCCCAGCTCTGCAAGTCCGGGAGAGGATGGCCCAAGGGAACCAGGCCACTGAGGCAGCGCCTGTCACAATGGGTGACCAGGAGGGGGCAGCAGCAGACGTGGACCCGCAGCGTCCCAGGCAGCATGCAGATCCCAGGCTTGGTTCGTTTGCTGGAAGAGGCCGGGCTCCCTCCCATGGGGTGTGAAAGCCGTACAGTGGGGATCAGGGCAAGGCCCACTGCAGGAGGAGCCAATGTCCCGAGGCCAGGCAGCCCCCGCTGGCTGGGGACCAGGGGGGACTGTGTGCCTGGCCAGGCTGAGGCCCGGTGTCTGTGGGGAAGCAGAGCAGGGGTGGGGATGTAGAGGCTTGGCTGGCACTGCTGCGCTGCCGTCACTTCCGCAAGAACTTCTTGTTGAGCAGGAAGATGAGGAGGTTGACATTGACCCGGGCCTTGTTGAAGAGCTTCATGACGGCGACGCCCTCGTACTGGAGCTGCAGGAGGTCCTGGAGGGAAGGGACAGGGAGGCCCATCGGCCTCTGACTCCTGAGCATCGGGGCCTGCGGCCCTGGAAAGCCACCTCAGCCCCGATGAAAACAAGGCCAAGAGCAAGGACCGGGATTCGGCTGAGTGACAACTAAAGCAGAGCCAGGGCGTGAAATCAGTTTTCTTGCTCAAAGGCAATACAGCAGGGCAGAATGATGGGTTTAAAATCGCTGCCTCCCGGAGCAGGGCTGCACCTGAGGCTGGCTTCTTCACCTTCGGCATTGGAGCCATGACACAGGGATGACCTCAGAGGACTGAGTGAGGGGCGGGAAGGCCCTGGCTGTGTCGGGGCCTCACATACTGATCCTGCGCCCACACTGCCAGCCGGCTCTGCTCGCCTTGGTGCCAGCTGCCCAGCGGTGCCCCAGGGCTCGCTGGCTGGCCCCTCACCTGATAGTGAAGCTGAAACCGCTCCATGTCCACACCCAGGAATTTGGCATTGACTTCAAACTTCCCGGCCTCGTCTCCGGGGCTGATGTCGAAGATGACGTTCCTGAAGCTGTTGGGCAGGATCCGCACAGGGCCTTCGCCTCCTCCCGGGCTGCAGCCCCACTCCTGCTACTCCCCAGCCTGGGCAGTGGCGAGTGTCCTCGAGCCAGGCTGCCCTTCCCTGTCGCTCCAAGTTCTCTGCCCTCTCTCAATCTCTCCATTCCTCCACCTTGTGGGGATCAGACCCAGCAGCAAGCTACCACTGAGCTACATCCAGCCCCAGCCCTTTTTGAGATAGGGTGTCCCTAAGTTGCCCTGGGGGGGGGACTTGTGGTCCTCCTGCTTCAGCCTCCTTCAGCATCTCGCCAAGTGCACTGGCCCTACCCAGCTGTTCTCACCAGGAAGCTTTCCCAGCTTTCTAGAACCGAGCTAGGCCATCTCTGCTGTCCTCTCCTGGGGATGCATGCCGTCTCCATCCTCAGTCTAGCAGCTCCTTCCCTCTACCGATCTCCAGAGCTCCCCACAGAGCTGTGCCCCCTACGTACTGAGAGGCAGGGAGATCTTCAATTTCCAGTAAGACGCCCCTCTCCAGGAGCTGGGCGGCAGTGTAGTGAAGGGATGGCTGCTTCTTCCCCTTCCCCGGATTCCTGATCAAAAGAAGGCCCGGAGGATTCACCCCCCACTCTGCACCGATGACATACTTGTTCTCCGTGGCTGACAGGAAGGAAGCGGGGCCCGCGGGGGACCCTCCTGGGGAGCACAGGGAAGGGGCTGTGTGCTGTGCCAGGCCCTCGTGGGCAGGTGGGGTCACAGGGACCTACTTGGAGCTGGGGGCCAGGTGGTCCAGGCAGGAGCGGATGTACTGGCTGTAGTAGTCGCCCTGCTCCTCACAGAAGGCCGTCTTGGTGCTCAGGGCCTGGAAGGTGGCCCGAAGCTTGACCAGCTCCACCTTCCGCCGCTGCCGGTGCCGGCGCTGGTTTCGGATGTCCTGGAGGTTGGAGGCGGAGGGAGGGGTTGGCGGGCCGGCCGCAGTGAGGATGTTTGGGATCCAGGCAGAGGCAGCTTCCTCTGGGAGGAGGCAGCTCAGGGCTGCCGGGCCCTCCCCTAAAGGCGCTGCTAAGTCCCCTTCCAGTATGAGCTGTAAGAACGGCCCTCTTGGGAGCTGACTCTGGGCATTTTCCCTGCACAGCGCCCTCCGCCTGCTCTGGCGGGGCCCCAGGGAGAGGCCTGCACCCCCAGCGTGCACACAGGTCCCACACACGTGCCGCAGGCACAAGGCCTGGCCAGTACCTTGGCCAGCTCATCCACTAGGGCCTGGTATCCATCACTGGCACGGACCAAGCCCAGGCTCCCAAGCTGGCGCAGGTTCCGCAGGACTCGCCGTTGTTTCTCTGCCAGCGGCAAGAGGGACTGAGCCGTCAGCGAGTGGTGTCGTCGCAGCGGCTCCGGGCTCTGGGCCTCACAGGCCTGGCGCTGGCACATCAGCCGCTCATGGGCCACTTCCTGGGGGGCAGAGATGCTGGAGGGGGCCCCAGCACTGTGCCCCCAACCTGGGGCAGGCCTGGGCGCTTGGTGTGCTTTTGGGTGTCGCTGGGAAATGTCTGTCCTCGAGCCTGGCTTCTGCAGGGTGCAGGAGGGGAGGGTGCGCTGACAGAGTGGCAAGGCTGGCATCACGGATCGCAGTGGGTGGGGCCCAAGGGGACCCAAACAGAAGCCGCAGCATAAAGGACTCAGCAGGCGCAGGCTGGGACTCTCAGCACTGGGCTCTGTGTCAATCCAGGGTGTGTGGGCTTCCTCCTGCCCTGGTTTCAGGACATGCCTAACTCTGAGGGCTGCCTCCACCTTGCGGCCGGGAAGCCCCTGGCTCCCACCTGCTTCCTACCTTCTCTGGCTGCCAGACCTCAAGCAGGCCTCCCCTTTCTGAGGGGAAGGGCGCCCTCTGCTCCCAGACTGCCCCCTCAAGCCTGCCGGCCCTGCAAACCCAGGGCTGTCCCTGCAGGGGGGAAGTCGGCCCCAGGGACTGCACCTGGGAGCTGAGGCCGCTGGCCGAGGACAGCTGGATGGGCGAGGACAGTGTGGCCCTTCAGGGCAGACTGCAGCGGGGGCTCAGCGGCACGGGGTGGGGAGACAGTGCAGGCTGGCCGGCCACCCACCTGCTCTCTGGGGGCCGAGAGGGACAGGACCTCCTCCAGGGAGTCCCCGGGGTGGAACTGTATGAGATCGGCCAGCATCTGCTTGGTGCTGTGGGAGAGGAGGAGCAGGGAAGGGTCTGGCTGGGGCTAGCCAGAGACCTGAGGTAGGCGGACCTCGAAGGCAGGAGGGAGCGAGGGCAGGCAGGCCCCATGTCTAGGACACCTTGTCCTCGAACTGCCTTCCTCTGGATCCTTCAGCACAAGGACTCGCTCCTACCAGCCCAGGTGTCCCCCGTGACACTGCCTCCCCCCGGGGCTCTCTGCCCTGGTGGCCAACCCAGCCCAACCTGCAGCCCTGAGGCAGCAGGACAAAGCACAACAGCCCCATCGTGAGTGAATGGGAATGGCTGGGGAAGTGGGAACTTGGCTCCCTTGGCCCAGTGACCAGCCTGCTCGGCCCCGCCCCATGGCGACCCGCCTCGCCTCTGCTGGGTAGGGCCTTGGCAGGGTCTCACGCCGCTCGGTCTGTCCTCTGCCTCGCAGAGGGAGCCCCAGAGCCCAGGTTCTGCCAGCACCCGGAGGCAGCAGCCAGGGGAAGGCAGAGTGCGCTGAGGCCATGTCCTGAAGGCAGAGGCACTGGACGGCCAGGTGGGAGCGCGGGGCCCACGCACCTTAGAAGCAGGCTCCGGGCTCTGGTGCCATCAGCGGCTGCCTCTGGCCCTTCAAACTTGCTGATGAGTGTCAGGGACACTTCGAGCTTGCTCAGGTCGGGGTGCCTGTCTGCTGCCGTGCTCTCCCCTGAGGAGGGGCGAGAACGAGGGACAGGGACACGTGTGCGTGCATGCACACCCTTCCAGGCGCTTCCTGCACTGTCCTGGGGGCTGCACAGGCGGCCACCCTGAAACCAGCTCGGGACCTTGCCTGGAGTGCGTGCGGCGCTGTCCTGCCCTCCGTCCACAGCCCCGAGACCCTCCTTGGCAGAGAGACCATGGGAACCCCAAAGGCCCGGCCCCACACGACCCACCCTGCCATGCGTGTGACAGCACCAGTCCCTCCGCTCCTGCCCACTCTCAGTCGTCTACAGGCCTGTGTGTGTCTGCAGGGCAGGAGGGAGTGTGGGAGGAAGCCAGGCTGGTTCATGTGCTCCTGCGCCCTGCCCTCGGGTGCGACCATCCCCCTGGCAGGCACAGCTGGCTCAGAGTCGAGCGTACCGATGAGGTCGGACACAGTGGGAAGCTCCCCAAGGTCCTCCAGGAGCTGGTGCAGGGGGTCCTGGTGGTAGGGGGCGATCCAGTCCTGGTGCTCCAGCAGCAGCTGAGACAGAGGGAAGGAGCTGCAGGGCCGAGCCAGCCTCCCGCCCCCCCCCCGGCCAACACCTGCCCGCCTGTCTAGCCCGCGCCCACCGGCTGCAGCCCTCACCCTGTGTGTGTTAATCAGCTCCCCCACCGTGATGTACACCATGGGCTTGGCCACAGCCACCGTGTCCGAGTACTCGTCTACCGCAAAACGCTCCTCCGGCTCTGGGACCTGGCAGGCTCTGCAGATGAACTTCCTGTCCCCAGAGATGGCCCATGAGTGGGCAGGGTTGGTGCCTGCGTGTGCATCCTCACCAGCCCTGCCCGGCTGGCCCTTGCTGGTGGCCGCCCCTGCCAGTCCGCCTGAGTCTCAGCTCTGGTCCACTTTTGCCCGATGTCCTGTGCAGCCCCAACCCCCATCCTGGGAGGCCTCCCTGACCCGCTCACTGCCCTTCCTAACCCTAACCCTGGCCTGGATGGAGGAGTGGGAGGCTGAGACCCAAGACCTGAACTTGAGATGTGTCTCCTCCAGGAAGCCGTTCAGGACGTGCAGGTGCTGGCTCTCCCCGGAGAAGGTCTTGCCGGCTGCTGCGTGCTGCAGGAGCTGAGCCACAGCCCCCAGGGTGTGGCGCTGGGGGGCAGCCAGGGTGCCACCCGCTGCCAGGGCCACAATGTCGAAGGCGTCCGGAGCCACCACAGCCGGGTTCAGGAAGCGGTAGTAAAGGAGGTTCCCCACCACCTGTGGCACAGGACATAACCAGGGGCCACTGTGATGGCAGTGGCCGAAGGGTGCCAGCGCTCGTGCTAGGCCCTTCCCCACTTGGCAGAGAAGAACGGAGACCCAGAGCAGCTGGGCAGCTTGCCAAGGCCACGCGGGTGGCGCACGAGCAAGAGTGGGGAGTGGGGACTGGAGCCCGGACCTTCCAGACAGGAGGCCCAGAGCTGTCCAGCCTGTCGCTCGCGCCCAGCTGCCCTCCCTTGGCAGCCTGGGATCGGTTTCTGAGGTGGAACAGACTCCCCCAGATTCTGCCTGGTGGCCTTGCTGTCCTTGTGTCTCGCAGTCACAGGCAGCAGCAGCACAAAGGAGGGAGGGGAGAGCACTCGCCTTGTGGACCTCACTCTCCGGGGCATCGGGGAACTTCTCCACCAGGGCTGTCTTCAGGACTTTGGCCATGTACCGCATCCCGTACCTGGGGACAAAGCCACGGGCCCGGCCCCAGCTGTCTCTGCCCAGGGCTCACAGAGTGTGACCGGCTGCTTCTCCCTCCAGCCCCAGCCTTGTCACAGCTGACCCAAAGCACGGCCCCTCTGCCACCGAGCACTCTGGGCCTTGCCCCTTCCTCCTGCCCGTGTCAGTACCAGGGTCAGGGACCCGTCCACTCCTAAGGGCTCGGGCTGCCTGCAACCCTCCTGTCACCCTGCAGAGCGCCCAGGTCAGTGCACCCTCTTCGCCGAGGCCTCAGCCTGCTCTCCAGGAATCTGACACATGGCCAAAGCCCGGGAGGCTTCGGGCGGCCAGCTGGGTGGGCTGTGGGCTCCAGGGACACCGAGCAGTGAGCAGGAGCACTGTCCCACTGCTCACCTAGCGGAGACTGCACCGGGCGGGCCTTCCCCCATCGGCCTTGTGAAGATCAAGTGCAACTACGTCTACAAAACCTTCAAAGGCATTCAAAGGTCCCAGACTTTATTACTGTCATTCCTATCAAGGTTGCGCTACCTGCAAACTTAATTAAATTTGTTCAAAAGTGATTCCTACCTCCTAGGGTACCAGAGGCAGAAGTTTACAACTCACTGTAGACTTCTCTTTCTTAGTCTGAGGGCAATGTTTTCTGACTCCTAATTGTAAACCCTGAATATAGTTCTCAAGTTTGAGGTCCGGGTTATGAACTCTGGGTTACCCCAGCACCCCACCTTCCCCTGGGGAGTGCCAAGCACCAGAAAGGCCAGGAGGCACAGTGATCCGTCCAGATGACACTTCTGGTCAACAGTTTTAGTTGCTTTTTGCTTTGTTTTGGAGACAGGGTCTTACTATATAACTCAGGCTGGCCTCAAATTTGCAATCCTCCCGCCTCAGCCTCCCAAATGCTGGGATTATAGGTGTGCCTGACAAACTGTTTACCAAAAATACCAACTGCATTTTAAGAAAGGATAGAATGGGCTGGGATTTAGCTCAGTGGTTTCACTGCCTGCTGTGCAAGCGCAAGGACCTGAGTTCGATCCCCGGTACCAAAAAAAAAGAAAGAAAGGAGAGAATTATAACGTGGTTCATTGCTTTGAAATATTTCTTATTTCTGACTCTGTGCACCAAAGGGTGCCATTTACCTGTCTGCTCTCAGACAACAGTGTGTCCTCATCGTTCCAGGCCCCTTCCTCTAGCTCTGGTGACGCCCTGCTGGCACACATGGCCCTGCTCACTGCAGCCCAGCCCCACCCCAGAGCAGGGGCTCCTGGAACGCCTCAGAAGCACCGTGCCGCCTCCCGCCTGTTCTGCCCTTCCCATCAGGCCTGGCCTGTGCCGGGCTGTTGCACGTACGGAATTTGCTCCACAGATGAAGTGATGGCCACAAGGAACTTCTCAGTCACAGCGAGGAGGTTGCGCAGGGAGATGTCCAGGCGTCTCTGCACCTCAGGGTGGCTCAAGGCCTGCTCTGGGGTGACCTCATAGGGGAGGTGGCTGTGGTAGGAGAGACAAGGTGAGGCTGGAGGCCACCCTGCCGCCCGTCCCCTTAAAGTCTTCATTGATGAGTCTGGTCTCACACAGATGCGTCAGCAGCCAGCTCGCTAAGGGATAGGAGAAAGGGCTCATGGAAGAGGGAGGGGTGGCAGGCAAGGAAGAAAGAGCTGGGGTCCCCACAGGGAGGCCGGAAGTGAGTAGGAAGCAGTAGAGATGTGTAGAGACGCTGCTGGGCACTGGAAGACGCCAGGGGCTGCCTTCAGTCCCTCCCAGTGGGGACAGCAGGGAAGCCGAGGCCTGTTTCCCCGGCTAAAGCCCCTCTTGCCCTCTAGAGCAGCCACCAGGGCCACCAGGTCTCCTCAGTGGTGGGATTTCCCGAGTTCCTATGAACTCGAACTCGGCCATGCCCCACCCACAGGCTGGCCTGTCTCTCCCATGACCTCACTCATCGGTCCATCTGTGAATGTGAACATTCACCTACTCCCTTCTCGGCCAGGAGCTTACACCTCCACCCCAGCATACTCGGTGCCATTTGCAACCCCTGACACAGCAATGAAGCCCACTTGCCTATTCATCTCTGCTCATCTCCTGTAAAGCCCACCAGGTCCTAGTCACTTACACCAGTTCCCGGTTAACGGTTAAGGGCTACCTTATCTACCCCCCAGACCCGGATCATATTTGCATAAATCGGCACGCTCCCCTGCAAGCGCACCTGGCTTCCCAGGGAGGCGACCAAGCTGCGGCCCGCTCACCTGCGCTGCCCCGTCTGGGCCTCGCTCTGGTTGATCCAGCTCTTGTAGAGGTGGACGGGGTCGGTGTGGACGCTGAGCGCTCTGTCCTGCAGCACGTCCTGGATAGCCTTGCCCAGGATCTCCCGCAGGGCACTCAGTCCCCGCCCATTGCGGTAGAATCTCACCACCAGCCTCACCACGGTGGGGTTGCCAGTTACCATGTCCCGGGGGTGCTCCACCTTTGACCTGCAGTTCGAGGAGTCAGGGAAGCGGGTTTCATGCCTCTGTGTGGTTGCTTTTCCTTTCTGAGATCGTGGAGCTCCCCGCCAGGGAATGTCCCACCATCTCTGTCTCATTGTGCCGTCCTGTCTCCCCAGGAGGCTAGTCTACCTTGAACCTCAATGAATGTCACCTCGTGAAGGAGCCCAGGGGCCTCTCAGCCCACCCTTCCCGCGCCTGTGCTTGGGAGAACCCACTCGATCTCCTCCTGCAGCGCTGACTTGAACAGCTGGAGCAGGAGGTAGGCCTCCCGGCAGTTGGAGGCGTAGTTGTACAGACTGAAGATCACTCCTTCCATGAACCTGGTGGTTTTGTTCTGTGGCATCTGGAAGATGAGCTTGGCCAGGTAGGTGGGCTGAGTCTGTGGGCAACAGGGGACAGGCAGGGCTGAGGATGCACCTTGGGGACCCAGACTGAGGGAGAAAAGCCTTTCCTGGCAGGAACTGGGGCACAGGGGAGATTCCCGACAAACAGGAGAGGGCATCACTTCCCCAGGGACGGGGCATCAGGGTTACAGAAAGGACGTCATGCAGGCAGGGAAAGGGCCCAGGAAAGTCCCAAGGCCCCAGGGCTTTGGGTGGACTGGCTTCTCCTTCCGGAACTCTCTGCTCACCTGGAGCAGGTAGAAGAGGTGCTGGTAAGCTTCAAGCTTCTGCCGCTTCTCTTTGCTCAGCGACTTTAATCCCTTCTGCTTGTCCAGAGCCACCATGTCTGACAGCTGCTCTTTGTTTTTCTTGGTCAGCTTCTTGCAGTGGGAAACCACCTCCTGTGGGGGCCAGAGAACAGGACTGAGCCGGGGGAGCAGTGCCCTGGGGTGCGAGGGCCCTGCACCAGTCACCTCTGCTCTCACAGGGTCAAGCTGAGGCACAGCCTACTCCGCCCTGCCACTCACTACAAACTCGTGTAATTTAAGGGTATGGAAGCCCGCCCTGATCTCCGCACTCGGCCAGGGGTCCACTCTCACTCCAGTTTGTTAAACAGGAAGCAGACCCCAAGGTTGGAGACCCCGAAGTAGTCAGTCACCCCAGCCAGGCACTGCCGTTCTGCCTCTGGGGCTCTTCCCACTACGCCACACACCCACACATGGCGCCTGCCTAAGGCCTCTCCAAGGTCAAGGGCCTTGGGGCAAGGGCCGAAGGGCGTGATAAAACCCGCGCATGTGACGGCTTCCCCAGCACGAGTGGTCAGCAGCCCGCACAGGCGCCCGGTCTCACCTGCAGCGTGATCCGGTTCCTCACCAGCAGGCCGATCTTGATGTCCATGAGGTTGAGGTCCTGCTCCAGCTGCTGATTGGAGCGAATCTTCCTGACCACCTCCTCCTGCAGCTTGAGCAGCTCCACCTCGGCCAAGAAGTCCTGCTGGCTCTGGTTCAGGAGGTGGGCGAACTTTCGCACCACCCCGAGGGGAGGGTGGGCGGAGTGCACTGGGGAGGGAGAGTGTGTGGGACCCGAGTGCCCCCAGGGACTCCTTGGCGGCCCTACCCAAAGCTGGCCTGGGCTGCTCTAACTGGCTCTGCTCGCAGCGCCCCAGCCCGGACTGTCCCCGGGCAGGGACGAGTCTCATCTCGCGACCAGTGGGACACCGCCGTGCCCAGCCCAGGCCTGTCATTGACCTCCACACCCAGGCCCCGGCCCCAGTGGCTCTGAGGCCCCTCGTGCTGGGCTGGCCAGGCCCTCACCCCTCATCCCCGCCGCCAGCCCCTGCTCAGCCCTGGCTGCTTCACACAAGCTCCTGCAGGAGGGCCTGGCAGGGCGGACGGGGCAGTCAGTGGGGTTCAGAATATGGGGTGGTCAGAGCTAGATGGGATTTGGTATTTAAGGAAAAAAGTCTCCGAGTGAAGCTACAGGGATAACAAGACACAAAGTCTACACTTGTAAGCATTTTTAAAGCACCTGTGAGGTCAGGACACTAAAACCACCGGCTTACTGACAGTTCACTGAGGCACAGAGAGGAGTAACCTGCCCCAGGTCACACAGCTAGTACTGAAGGAAGGAGCCAGACCTGCAGGAGGAAGGACGAGGCCCTGTGCCTACAGGCAGTCTCACAGCAGAACTGGCTCACGAGCCACAGCTCACTAGTGTGGGTCGAGCTTGGGGATCGACGGGAAACAAGGGCTCTAAGGCCAGCCAGAGCATGGAGAACGCCTCCCAGAGGCGGCTGGGAAGAGGAGGAGAGCACAGCCTCGCAGAGCTGGAGGGCAGAGCTGGAGGGCAGAGCTGGCACTGTGGTGCAGCACCAAGACACCAAGGACAGAAAGGGCCGGGCTGCGGGAGGTGCAAGGAAGCAGCTAGCTGGCTGCAGGCAGGTGGCCAAGGTCCCTGGCCAGAGAAGGGGCAGACAGGAAAGGACTGAGTAGCGAGGGAGACAGCTCCTGACCTGAACAGCCACCCTGAGGCCTGAGAGTATAGCCTGCTGCTTCAGGGCCACAGGGCCCGGAGGTAAACATGAAATGGGCCATTAGTCAGCACCACACAAAGGAAGAAGACCCTTGCGGGCTGGGCTTCGGCATTGGAGGACAAATGCCATGGGTGGCCTGGAGGGGTCCCCTTAAGGCTTGATGTGCACGTCCAGCCTTGGGAACATGGGACAGGAAGCAGGTGCTCCCTGCAGTGCCCCTACACTGCCCCACAGGGCCTGTGCCGAACCTCAGAACCACAGGTGGAAGAGCCATGGGCAGGGGAAGGGGCACAGTTACAGCTGCCTGGAGCCCGAGGGAGAGGAGGTTTCTTTAGCCTCTGGTGGTAGCTCCAGGTGGCTAAACAGCCTGGTTGGGGAGCTCTGCCTGGGACAGGCTATCTGTTATTAGAGGGCAGGATGTGAGAAACCGTGCCGTGCCATGCCTTCCCTGCCCACCGTGTATCCCACAGGGGGACACTGAGGTGCCCCAGGCCCTGGGGGTCCTAGTCGCCCTTTGAACAGGGGTGGGGGTAGCTCAGGCAGCTCACCTAACGTCCTGTAGTCATCTCGGACTTTCCTGGCTCGGAAAAATGCCTGGATCTTCACAACAGAGTCAACCTGCCATGAACAACCTGCTGGCCACCCTTGTTCTGGTCTTATGGGGAAGGCCTGGGTGGGGACAGGCGACACTCACATTCCTCTGGAAGTAGCGGAGTCGCCTGAGGTACTGGCTCCGAGCTGCCCACATCCGGGCCCAGGCCTGGATCTGGGAGGAGAGACTGCCTCAGAGGTCCAGGCTGGAGGCCCAAGCTGCGGCCTAGCCGATTCAGACAGCCCAGCGGTCACAGAGGTGAGAGGGCTCCAGGGACAAGAACCCACCCGAGTGACCACAGCTACCTTGATTATGGCATCCAGGTTTGCTTTAAAATACTGCAGCCGCTCCAGGTAAACCTTCCGCTGTCTATAACCCCGCCAATGAGCCTGCAGAGGAGGAGGGAAGGCAACCCTAGGTCTCCTCTGCCCAAGAGGCTCGGCCCGGGGTCTCCCGGGATGGAGGGAGGAAGTGGGAGGGGAAATCGGCCGTGTTCTCAAGCTTCCAGCTTCATGGGGAAGCCCCAGTGGCTGCACGTAGCCATGTGTGCCCTCTGCCACACTCCTTGGTGCCGGCAGACACGCACACCCTCACCTATACCGCCTCACGGAAACTTGATGTTACATGCAGGCCCAAGAGACATTAAGAGCATACACATACTCTCCACCCTCACCACAGCACGCATCATGCCCCAGACACAGACACCCACGAGCAGCCACCTACACCATCACGTTCTGCCACCTCCCATGCACCCGCAGAGTGGGCCAGCGGTGAAGGCCACGTGTCACGGGGCCAGGGCGTGCACAGAGCCTGTCCACGGCGACCCGCAGCCACCTGGGTGCACCTTCTCTTCACACAACACCTGCCAGCTTTGACTCCAGCAAACCTTCCCACCGAGGCACCCAGCACCCAGCCCTGAATCACCCTCCTCTGGTCTCCTTCCTAGAAGCCTCTTCCCTTTCACCCCAAGCTTGCGTGAGATTATTTTTTCTAAAGTACGGCTTGAGCCGGGTGTGGTGACGGGAGGCTGAAGCAGGAGGATCAACCTGGGCCACCTAGTGAGTTCAAGGGCACCCTGAGCTACACAGAGACTCTGTCTCAAGCCAACAGTACTGCCTGGACAGTGCCTCTCTCACCCCGAACCTTCCAGAAGTTCTCGACCATCTTACCCACACTCCACATATGGCTTCCCATTGTCCCTCACCCTAAGGACTCTGTCAGGTCAGACATTTCACTTTCTTCACAACATGCCTTAGGGCATTCTGTCCCTGAACTTTTATTTATGGAGCCCTCGCCCCCAGCCCTACCTATCCCACTGAAACCCTGTTTTAGGAACCACACCCAACATCTCCCAGCACGGGCCTGGAGGGCACTCCACCTGAGAGTTGCCACTTGGTCAGGTTTAAGGACACCCCAGGGCCAGTGCTGGCCAGGCTTCTGCCCGAGGCTTGCTCAGTCCTGTCAGGACAGGATGTAGATGAGGCAGCATGGCTGCCACTCCAGCTGTCCACACAGCTGCGTAGAGGCCAGGAAGCCCCATTTCCTGCCCTCCACACTTCTGTCCTGACCCTCACCTGCCGCCTGCTGTATCCTCTGGGAAGTGCGGCAGGACATGGCAGGGGGGCTGCTCTCTGCTCTGATCCCCTTAAAAATACGCCGGAGGCTGGGGAGTAGCTCGGTGCTAAAGCACTGGCCTAGCCTGATGGAGGGCCTGCGTTCCATCACCAACACTGCCAAACCAAACAAAGCAAACAAAAAGCTACGCCTGCCGCCTGCCGATCTGCATTAGCCAGAATTTAGAACCATGGTTGGGGTTCCAGCTGGGTTAGAGGTTCAGGAGAGATCAGTCTCAGGCAACCTCACTTCTGAGCCTTATTTCCCCATAGCTGGGGCCAGTGGCCTATGGCTCTCCACTGCTTCCCTCCCTCCCCCTCCCCCTTTCCCTCTGCCCCAGGACCCAGGCCAGCACCCACACAGCTCCAGCATGAGCGAAAAATCTTCCTCTGACTGCACCTCCTCCCCATGGCCATGGCCTTTCATCTCCCTGGTGTGACATTCCACCCTGGGCTCGGGAGCCCGGGGTTGCTATGACTCACAGCACCCCACAGATGACCACAGTTCTCAGCTGTGTCCTGGGACCAGTATCCCATGGTGATGACGATCTCAGGCCAGCAGCAATGGCATGCGGGCTTACCGCCCAGGCCGAGTGTCATTGCCCCCCCGTAATCCTCACCAATAGCAGGGACGGTACCATCGTTGAGTGAGAAAACAGTGCTGACTGAGGGGCTGGAGGAAAGCACATGAGGTCATGTGACCCAGAAGTGGGCGGACCGGGAGGCAAACTCCAGCCTCCAGATTTCCACTCCAAGGCCCTTGGTCCTAAAAAGCCACCAGCTGGACACCTGTCTCCCTTGAGGCTCGAAGATGTCGTCGCATCTCTACCATCACAACAGGAAGTGCTGTGACCACTCACTGTGGGGCTCGCCCCACCGCCCCTCCGTGCCCAGTGCCCCGTGGCGTGCTCAGTGGGCACTGGGCATCCAGGGACGGCTCATATCTCCAAAGGCCCCGCAGATTGCCCTTGCTGGGGAGGGGAGGTCCCCTGCCACTCAGGGCTCGCATGGAGCCCCCTGGCCACCTCCCCTGGCCTCGGGGACCATGGTCCCATCCACAGGCCAGAGGATGAGACGGAGGGGTGGCTGCCCGCAAAGGTAGAAGCCCCTCCTCTCCCCGGGCAGCCCACCCCTTCTGCTCACTGCCACACCTCCTGTCTCCTGTTCGGCCAGGATGCCCTCCTGCCGTCACTCAACTTCAACCACTCTTCCCTGGGGAGGCTGGGAAGCAGCTCTCACATGCTGGGGAGTGAGAGACGCCAGTAGTGAGCCTCACATCATGGCCCCGCCTACCTGCCAGGCGCTGCATGTGAACACACGGGACTCCTGCCCTCCTAACAGGCCTGCCACAGCCTGGGTGCTATTATTATTTCTCTTTTCAGAGAAGGAAACTTGGGCAGAGAAAAGGTAACCTGCAAGGTCACACAGCCAATGGGCGGTGGGGCTGGGGTCTGAGCCTCCAGGTCCCACGCTTCCCACCGCGACTACACGGAGGCCCACGGATCACCCTGGCCCTGTTCAGGGAGGAGGGAGCGCAGACACCGCAAGGCTTAGAAAGCCAGAGCGGCCACCTGGATCTTGATGACGGCTGGGAGCCTGGTCCTCAGGAAGTGAGACCCCTCGGCAAACTTCTGGCGGACAAGGAAGCCGCGGACGTGGGCCTGGAGCTTGACGACAAGGCCCACGTGGGCCTTCCAGAGCTGCTGGCGGTCGTGGGCAGCAGTGACCCGGATGACGGTGGACTGTGGAGACAGCAGAGCAGAGAGAGTGTGGTCCTCTGGCGGGAAGGCAGAGGCCTCTCCTTTGGGGTGGCCCCTCCGTGATCCCCGCCAACCTGTATCTCCTCCCGCGTCAGGTGGGAGGTGTTGAGATGGCAGCCAGGGGGCTGCTCCCAGGTGCCCTGTAAAGTCTGCAGATGGAGGTAGTAGGCGGTACCGTCCTTCATGCTGTGTCGGACCCACAAAGCTGTGTCCCCTGAGCAGAAACCAAGGAAGCAGAGAAGGATCGGAGGAGGCAAGGCGGCCGGGGTCAGCACAGGAGGGGAGGGAGGGGAGGGCGGCTGGGGCCACTACCTGCACTCCGCTTCTTGGCCCGGGCCCCTTCCAGGGCCCGCTGGTAGCCGCTGGCACAGCCAGGAACCAGGCCTCGGAGGGCCACGGCGGGGTTCCTTAGCACCCGCTCCGTCTGCGCTGCCTTGCCCTCCCTGATGGCCTGATTGATGGCAGCCACGCCGAGGGCCACTAGAGGAGCAGGAGAGAGCGGTGAGTCCTTCCTCACGTCTCCCACGGGGCCTGTCCCTCAAGGGGGCAGGCTTCAGAGGAAGGGACACTCGGAGGACCCAGGGAACCCCAGCAGGCAGCGGGCGGCTGCGCCACAGGAGGAAGCGGTAAGGGGGCCCTGTGGGAGGCACAGTGGGCCAGGCCAGCAGGGCTCTGGGACAGCAAAACTGGCTCGCTTAGAAGCTTAGCGGCAGAAAATGGGCAGAGAGGCCAGGACAGTTTCCCAGGAGAAGACAGTGCGAGTGGAGGAGGCTGGTGGACACCTACCCGCCCACCCGCCAGGCAGGGTCGGTCTGCACCTTCCTCACCCCTTGAACCCAGGACCCTTCTCCCACCTGAGACCGAACACTGGCCAGAGCTCACTGTTGGAACCAAACTCGAGCTGCCAGCAGAAACGGGGAATTTCTGGGCATTACATGACCACATGTGCTCACATCACAGGGAAAGGGCCCACGGGAAGCGCAGGAGGGATCAGCCTGGACTCCCAGCTCCTACTCCGAGAATCTCCTGCCTGGCTGTCTCCTGCTCTGATCCCGGTGCCTGTCTGGGCTGCAGCTGAGGCCCTGTCCCCGCCCCCCCCTCCTGGTGCCCCCGGCCGCCCACTTACTTCTCTGAGCTGTGTGTGTGTCCTGGTTAGCTCGGACCACTCCCTGGCGGATCTCCTCCAGCCACAGCACAGCCCCAGGATCCCCTGTCACCTGGGAAATGGGAAGAGAAAAAGACATGGCAGGCGCCTGGTCTCTCAGGGCCCCCGAGCCAAGCAGCCCAGCGGAACCCAGCTGCAGGCTGATGCTGAGAGCCACAGCAATGGACTTGTGGCTTCCTTGGGTCGCTGCCAGGCACAGAAGGCTCTTGCCTACCCTGATTTGGGCTGTTCCAAGCCTCAGTTCTGCATGGCCCGGGGACTCTACGAAGCTTCTCACACCCTTAGCGTCTGCCGCCTGCTCAACAGCTGCACTCCCGCCCTGGGGCCTCAGCCACTCTGGGGATGGCCCACCAGAGGCCTCACCGACCGACCCCAGCTCCCCATTTCTGTGGCTTAATTCACACCTTCTCGGGCTAATCCTGACCTGACCTTTGCCTTCTCCTTCCTGTTCTTGCTCCATTCTCTTCGAGCCACAAGCACAGGACGATCACGTGGCACAGGTCAAGTGTGCCTACCTGCCATACCGACAGCGTGATGCCTGACCCACACTTGGCTTCCTCCAACTCTCACACCAGCAACAGACTTTGTAAATGATGCTGTATTGAGCACTGACTGCCAGCACTGCTCTGAAGCTTGCTTTCCTTCCTCCTTTTTAAATTATGTTGGGGATCAAACCCAGGGCTCTGTGCATGCTAGGCAAGTGCTCTACCACTGAGCTGTACTCCTAGCCAGCCTCAAGCACTTGACTATGAATTAACGTTTATAACACACATAAAGCAACGCTCCACAGTGAGAACTCAACGAATGTCAGGCAGAGCTCCTGTCATGTGACTCTCACCCCTGTAACTGTGAGGTAAACTCATCACTGCCACACTTTTGTAGGTGAGGAGATGGAGGCCCTGGGAGGCGGGGGACACCAGTGGAGGCACAAGCTGAAGTCGCCTGGCTCAGGGGCCCTGCTTCTGCTTCCCAGTCACTGTCTGCAACATGCTCAGGGCGGTTCAGCGCCGTCTGCTGACTCATTATCACCCTCCCTCTGGGAGAGGCTCAGGACAGGGACTGCATCTCACAGGTGAGTGCACAAGGCAGAGCAGGGAGCAGCCTAGGATGAGTCCGCACGCTGGCCAGTACCCTGTGATGAGGGCCGGCTTCCTCCCATGCCCACTCCTGAAAGCAGCTGTCCATCAGGCCTCAGTGGGTGTTCCCCTGCTCTCCTGCCTACCCAGGCCTGAGCTCACCTGGGCCTTATGCCTCTTGGCTGCCACTAGGAGGAAATGGTACCGCGGAGCAGCAGGAAGGCTGACATCTTCCAGGCCAGCCGCAGGAAGCAGCAGGGCAGAGAGAGTCCTCTCTGAGCTGCTCTGGTCCAGAGCCTCATTGATGAGGCTGATGGCGAGAACCTCTGAGGAAGAGACGTGAGATGGGCAGGCCCCAGCCTTCTGGCTAGGGGCAGGGCTGCCCAAGGGACTGTCTCCCCACGCTCACGGTCGGTTTCCTCCTGGACCCGGGTGTTGACCTGGCTCACGGCGGCTTGTAGGTCATTCCAGCTCAGGAAGGCCCCACCTACGCCACGCACCTGCCGCAGCTCCACCAGGGCCTCGAAGTACCTGGAGCAGGGAGAAGAGCATGAGGCAAGGGCCCTGCAGCCTGGGGCACAAGTGACAGCGCTTTAGCCAGCTCCTTGAGCGCCTCAGGTGGCACTCAACGGGGCTGCCCTCCTCACCAGCTGTCTCCCCACGTCCGCTGCCTGGCTGCTCCTGACCTCCAGGTGGAACCACCCGATCCCGGGTCGGTCGTCAGGTCTCTTCCACCGGCCTTCATGGCTGGATCACCTCACCTCGAGGCTCTATGTGTCTCACGCTAAGGACTCCCCAGAGCACAGCTCCAGTCCTCGTGTACCCAGCAGCCTGCAGGGGTCTCCACGCCGACACCCAGGCAGTGCTGGAAACCCCACGGCTCACGGCCGAACTCCTGATCCCCTGCTCTCTCCCTCTTTAGCCCCAACCACTCCATCTGACCCTGCCGTCCTGCTTTCAGGGCACATCCACAAGCTGATACCTTCTCCCACCGCCTCTGCACCTTCCCCAGCCAAGGCCCAGCTATCTGGTGCTAGAAGGCTCCAAGGGCGCCGCAGGCCTCCCTTTCTCCCGGGCACCTCGAAATCCCTTCCCAGAACAGTTAAAGTAGTTCGGCCTGGCTCCCTCTGCCTGAAGGCCCGGGTGGCTTCCTTCCTCCCTCAGAATGAAAGTCAGAGGCCCACAGCCTGGCCTCTGCGGCATTCCCTCACCTCCTACTCCCCTCTGTGTCAGCCTACTCCACCACCCTGGCTTCCTGATGCCTGGTCTGGTCCCTTCCCTTCCACCCTTTCCCCCTCCCTCTCCCCTTCCCCTCTTTCTTTTTCTTTTGAGACAGGGTCTTACTATGTAGTCCAGGCTAGGCTCAAACTCACTAAGTAGCCCACGCTGGCCTCAAAGTCATGGTGATCTTCCTGCTTCAGCCTCCAGAGTGCTGGGATTACAGGTAGGTGTCAGTACAGCCGGCAAGCTTTACTTTTAGCTATTTTTGCGGTGCTGAGGATTGAACTAGGTCCTCATACATGCTAGACAAGTTCTCCATCTCTGAGCCACAGCCCTGGGCCTCCTGATGTCTCTCAAATGCACCCAGTACACGTTCTTGGGGCTCCAGCCTGAGAGCCACTTAGGCACTTCAGATCCCTGTCCCAATGATCCCCCTACCCAGAAGGCCACGCATAACCCCACAATTCGGAGAGAAAGCTGCCCCTCTCATGTCCCCACCCCTTGCCCTTGTTTGGCACCATAGCTCTTCTGCTCTCTCCCCGAAACCCTGTATTGGGGATTGAACCCAGGACCTTCACACTGAGCTACCCTCAGTCCTTTTTTATTTTGAGACAGGGTCTTGGTAAATCACTAAGTTGCCCAGGCTGGGCTTCAACTTGCAATCCTCCTGCCTCCAGCCTCCCAGAGTGCTGGGATTATGGGCGGGCACCACCTTGGAGCTCTTCTGCTTTTCTAATCATTTGTCTCCCTCTACTTCAAAGCAAGTTCGAGGAGGGCAGGATTTGTTTGGTTCACTGCATTTCCCAGCACCTAGAAGAGTATCTGGCACGTGGCTAGGTACACAAACATCTGCTGTGAAATACTGAATCAGTGGACAAGGGGATGGCCGTGGACCCACCCAGTCCCGGGAAGAGACACAGGCCAAGGGACTGCGCCCACACCCAGAGGGAGGCTGTCCCAAGAACAGGAACCACCCGGAAGGCGAGTCTCGCAGCAGGACTCAAGCATCAGCCCTGTTCTCCTCCCTCACTATCGAGTGTAGCCGACCCCTCACCCTCACCGTCGGGCATTTTCTCCTTCCACTTCGGCCAGGCCAGAGGCAGGGCTCCTCAGACTGCTCCAGAAGCCAGCGGCATCCCTGGCCTCCAGGGCGCGGTTAATCAGGACCACAGCTGAGAGCATCTCCACAGCCACGAAGAGCTCCTCCTGGCCCAGCTCCTGCAGCAGGAGGGTCTGGGTCATTCAGTAACAGGTGGGCTCAACACGGGGACACTGAACAGTGTGCTTGAGTCTGAATGCCTCACACAGCATCATTTAAATCTCAGCAGGCTGACGAGGCAGGTGCCACTCACAGCCCCATTCCACAACCAGCCCACGGCTAACGATGCTGACACAGGTGCCTGACTCCAGAGCCACCATGAGCAGTGAGCTCCGCTAGCAGCCACCTGGTCCCTGCTCCACACCGAGAACCGCACTTGGCCCTGGCGCCACTTCCAGCCTGCCCAGTCCTCCTCCTCCTCCTCCAAATCTGCTTCTGCTGCCCCTGTTGAGGCACCCTGCCTGCCTTCTGCACTAGAACCCTGTGATGACAGTGGACGCTGCCCACCAGGCTCTTCTCCAAGCACAAGTGAGCTCACTGAGGCCTCACAGCAATCTTGAGAGGGGAGGACATGACGGCTCCCACTTTATGTACGAAGAAATGAGAGGCAGAAGGTAACTAACTGCCCAATGCCACACAGCTAAGAACTAGCAGAGTTTGCAGTCACTATGCTTTACCTCGTAGTACTTATTGTCGCCTCCTTGCATGAAAGCAATCCACACACTATGACTGTGAGTTCCTGAAGGTCATGCTTGTGTCGGGGTGTGCCTGGCGTAGATTTTCTATGAATGCCTACTGGAATGGGATTCTCTACTGCTTCTCTCATCTTCCAGGAATCCTTCCCTCAGTACCTCCTGCCTCACTTCCCTGAAGTCTTCTGCCCAAACCGTCTTTTCTTTTTTCTCTTTTCGTGTGTGGTACTGGAGGCTGAATTCAGGGCCCTTATACTGAGCTACATCATCAACCCTTTAAAAAAAATTTTTTTTTTTTTTTTGGTACCGGGGATCGAACTTGGGTCCTTGAGCTTGCGCAGCAGGCGGCAAAACCACTGAGCTAAATCCCTGGCCCTTAAAATTTTAATTTTGAGACAAGGTCCTTATTAGTGGCCAAGTTGCCCAGGCTCACTCAACTTTCAGTGCTCCTGCCTTGGCCTCCCAGAGCGCTGGGATCCCAGGTGTGTGCCAGCACATCTGGCTCCTTCGGGTGTATCCTAACTTCTCCAACAGCCTGGGAGTCCCTGAGTGGAAGCGCTGTCACCTCCCTGTTGGCGAAGCATACTAACTGACATGAGGCGGGACAGCGGAGTGGCCAGAAGCATGGCCTGCTAGGATTCCTGGTCTGCACCCACTCCCGGTAAGCACTGCCAGGCACGTGGAGCTGGGCAGTTACCCTCTGCCCTTTAGCTTCCTGTCCACTGGACTAGGATAACACCTACCTGACGGGACTCCCTTCAGGCGTGAACGTGTGTGGGAAGTGGAGTTTTCAAGGGCATCGCCTGCCATGATTGCTCAGTAAGACCAGGACAAGTGTCACTCCCCTCCACAATCCCTTGCCAGCATCTCCATTGGCCCCAGCTCGCAGGAAGCCCCACGCCAGCCCTGTGTCTGGGCTTACCCCCTGCTGCTGCTGGAGCACCGCCAGCTCCTGCTGGTACACAGCGGAGGCGCAGGGGTGGACGGGAGGCAGCTGGGCTGCAGGGCTCATCAGCTCCCTCACGGTATCGGAAGCTGCTCCCCTCCGGATGGCCCTGTTGATCCTCTGCACAGCCTGGAGCACTGCATGGGAGGAGAGTGAGAAGTGTGCAGGCTGGGCCTTCCAGCTCTCCTGCTCTCCTGCCTGGCTCGGCTCTGCCAGGACTTCCGTGGGGAAGTCACTGCTCAGAGAGCTGTCGGCTGGGTTTGAAACACCTCTCTCCATGCTCAGGAGAAAAGGGCTTGGGCCACTTTAAGGAGAGGCTCCCCAGGAAGCCATCTGTCAGGCCCAGAGGTTGGGTAGCTCTGCACGGGACACACATAGCAGCTAACAGGGCAGAGGTGACTGCATGATGGACAGCTGGCTGTGGAGCATGACTGAGGCAAGATCAGCCAGGGGCTGCAGAGACAACCTTGGTGACAGCAAAGGCGAAGGCATCACCAGCTCCCGGGTGATAGGAGGAAGTTAGAAAGGTTCCGAGGTTCGCTTTAATCTGAGTTTACAAAATCCAGAGCTTAGAAAATGCCCAGGCAGATCTAGATTTTTGCTAACTGCATCCCATGTCAATCCCTGTAAATTGGTAATTAGTTCTACAGGCTTGATTAAATTTTAGTTCAATAAAAATAAAATTAAATAAAATGTCCAGGCATCAAGGACCACAGACGCTCTTGGGGAGAAATAAGGACACAGAACTCCTACAGAGCCTTCCTGTCAGAGCCAGACTGGAGCCCTACCCCTACCATGCGATGGCAGGGCAGGGGCACAGGGTCTGGCCAGGAGTGAGCAGGAAGCGTCCCGAAGGAGGCCCAGGCAGCCGAGACCTCTCACCTGCTCCTGGCAGGGAAAGTGCTAGAGAAACCTAACCCAGAGGACCAGAGGCCTGGTGACGGAGAGGCTGGGCAATCAAGAGAGAACAGGTCTTCCTGCTCCGCAGAGCTGGGGGTGACGCGGACAGGAGGTGGGGCCGGCTCTGGAAAGGGACTGCCTGTCGGACAAGGCGGCGACTGAAGTACAGTGAAGTACAGCAGTGCCCCAGTCCACCACCGTGATTCTTTCCAAGATTCGGGCTGAAAACTGAATTGTCCGTCCAAGAACCGAGTCAAATTCAATGGTTAGGTTCGATGTTATGGAGAACTTTGATTCAGTTCTCATCCTGTTTGGTTTGTGACCAGAAACGAGGACAGAATTAAGGTCATGAACCAAGGTAGCAGTGTATAGGCTGCTAAAGGGAAGACCCCGTGAAGACCTGAAGCTGCTCAGCACGGGAGGTAAGCTCAGAGGCGTCCGAGATGACTGGCAACAGCCATCAGGACCGACCTAAGCTACTAAGGCGAGCGCTGCCAGGAGTGGCCCTGTGTCCAGGAGCTGAGAGGCCGAGGCCACAAGGGCCAGTGTCCCAGGCCAGGCATGTGCCGGGCACTCCGCCTCGCGCCTGCAGACAGACTGACCCCTCACGCCAGAGGGAGGCCAGCTCGTGTGTTCTTGAGGGAAGACTGATATCTGTACGTTTTCAAAGGAAACTGAGAATATAACTTTCTCTCATCTGGGAAATCGAGACATTTCAGCAGTCAGGAAGTTCAAACAGCTTGAAATTGTCGGAATGGGAAGCTTCCCGGGAGGAAAGTGCCTGCCCAGTGTGGCGCTAACACGGCACTGTCTCTGAGGCCTCCGTGAACATATCTGTACGTCCCCAGGGCAGCCAGGACCAGAGCAGAGCAAGAGGGCAGAAATCCCTCTCCAGGCTGGTGAGCGGGCGGCACTTTCCTTGCCCAGTGTAGAGGCCAGGGAAGGTGTGGGACGCTCTTCCGTGAGCCGACAGGGCGCCCAGACCAAACCTGAGCGGTGATGACTTACTGGCCTGCTGCTGGTCACCCTTCACGTTGGCCGCAGCCACCGCGGCCTGGACCTCCTCCTTTTCTAGAAGCTCCACCAGGCCCAGCTCCTGCAGAGGGAAGAGACCAGGGCAGAGTCCTGTGGGGCATGAGCTCCCAGTCCGCCCGGAGCCATCCTCCACCCACCTCCTCCCCTCCCGCAGGCAGAATAGCCCCCCACCAGCCCCTGAGCCTACCTCATCCTTTCTTACTGAACGAGCGTCTGAATAACAAACTGACAAAAGCGGCAGCATTAAAAACAAGATTACTAAGTTGAGGCCCTAATTCAGCAAAGGGGAGCGTACCCCTGCCTCCTAGGTCAGTGTGAGGGACTCTCGGAGGGCCGAGGCTGACTGGCCCAGTAGAGTAAGCTTTAAACACGCGGCCAGCACCTCCTGATGCCACGGACTGGCAGTGGCGGTGGCCGAGTGGGAGGCCCTCTCCCACCCTCAGTCAGGCAGAGGCGGCAGGAAGCAGACCGACCTGTGCTTTCTGCTCCCGGTCCGAGCTCAGCTGTTCCAGGTACCAGTCAGCAAAGTCTCTCCTCACCCCGCGCAGGGCCAGGGCAGGGTCCTGCAGGGCCTCAAGCAAGCCCTCGGGGCTCTGTCGTTCCACGGCATCATCAACAATGTCTAGAGCCCCACGGACTGAAAAAGGAAGGCCAAGACTCCATGAAGGGCGATGTGAGAAAGCCCTCTTCCTGCCTGCCAGGTACCCGAGCCTGGCCCCTTGGGTTTCTGGGCCACCTGGTCCAGCCCACACTCCTCAGCTTCCTCTCCACAGCCTCCCCTCCCAGCACCTCAGACTGAGGATATTCTGACCATCATAGCCAAATGCCCGCCGTCCTGAGCCTTCTGCTACCCCACCCCAACCTGTGCTCTGCGTTCTCTTCTCAAGGACCCCAGGGAAACTGTCCCCCACCACAGAAGCCAGAGGGCCTGTCCCTCGGCCTCTGTCCTCTCCACAGAAGTCCCTTTAAACAGAAGCCTCCCACAGTGGACCGCTTCTCCAGACACTGATGCCAGAAAGTGGAGCGTACGCTCCCTGAACTACCATCTTTCTCCTGAGGAGAGCTGGCTCAAGCGAGGCGACAGGGCTTTCTGGGGGAAGCCACCCCCAAACCTCCCAGTGCTGACCCTGGAGCACCAGCAGCCCCTCTGGGCCAGTCCCTTACCGTTGACATGGTTGATGTTGCCCTGGATTTCCGCCTGGGTCAGGTAGTAGTCATAGATGTCCTGGCTTTCTCTGTCGTCCTGCAAAAACTAGAGAAGGAAACCAATGCAGGCCCCTCCTGGGCCTCCCTGCCCGTCTGCACTGATTTCTTCTGGGGGCTTCCTGAGGCCAAGGCCAGTCACTCTGGGGAACAGACATAGTTAACAGTTTCTCTAACAAGCAGCTCTGGAACTAGAAAGGACAGGAAGAGTCCTGGTTTCACTTGAGACTCTTCAGGTCACTCAACTTCCTGGCCTCAGCACCCCGAGACCCCTCCTCACATGGCTCCTGGCATCGGCAGCCTTCTCCACCTTGGCCTGGGCCAGCAGCTCCTGGTAGAGGGCAGCCAGAGGCTCCCGAAGGTTCCCCAGGAGAGCGCTGGGATTCTGCAGGGCAGTGAAGGTGACCTCGACCACCCCGCGCTCCACCGCCTCATTGATGGCAAGAACAGCTGCGTGGACTGGGAGGGAGGGGGCATGGAAACAAGGTCAGGAAGCCAGAAAGAAGTCCAGGCCAGAGCAATCCAGCTACAGACCCCTCCGACATCATGCCCTTCACCTTCCTGGGGGCAGGTAAACCAGGTAGCCTGATTCACCTGCCTGTGGGTGAGAGGAAGCCAGAGCCATCCAAGCAGCAGGAGGCTTGAAGTTCCCCATGCTCACTCACCTACGCCTAGCAGGGCAGTGGCTGGTCCCTACCTGCAGCCTCATCCACAGAGAGCTCATTGGCCAGGATGCCCCCAATCTTGCTGAAGGCAGGCAGCTGGAGGCCATATTTAGCAAGCTCAGAGGCCATGTTGCTGAGTTCCTCGGCTGCAACGACACCACCAGTACCTTCATCAGGCCCAGACCCTGAGACCCTGCCCAGCCTGTGGTGGTCGGGGAAGGATCTGGGCTTACCTGTGAATTTCACTTTCCCGTAGAGATCATGTATCTGAGGAGCCAATCCCAGCCGGAAGAGGAAGAGACTGGGAAAGAATGGAGAATGGAGGGTGTTGGAAGGCACAGTGCCCGGGACAAAGGGCAGGCACAGGACATGTACTAGGGCCACTTAGAGCTGAAGACCCCTGAGGGCCTGCCTGGAGTCACCCTGATCCACAGGAAATGATGTTATCACGCACCAGGCAAGTGCTAGAGAGATGACTAAGATGGCGTGGGAGGCCTGGTGGGACTGGGAAGGCCTCACAGAGGACACTGGCAGGAGCAAGTCACAGGATGGTGACAGAGGACAGGAAAGGCGCTGCAAGCATGGACCTGCTGAGCCAAGGAGCGGAGGCATAAAAAGATGTGGGAAGTGAAGGCAGGAAGAGATGAACAGCCACAAGATCTGATGCGAATTCCTGTGACACAGCCAGCTCAGTGCTGATGGCTGCCGTGAGTAGGATCAAACAGCCTCTGCCATTCACACTGCATGGCTGGCGATGATGCTTTTTTTGGTGGTGCCAAGGATCAAACCCAGACCTCGCACATGCTGGACAAGCACTCTACCACCGAGCTACATCCCCAGCCTGGGCGTCACTGTGCGTCCATCTTGTTCTGATCCATTAACCTAGCCCAAACCGATGCCCCAATACTTCCTATTCTTTCCCTCCACCCACACAAATGCACCTGCAAACACGCACATCAACCTCAACACAGCTCCATGAACACAAAACCTCTCTCCTGACAGGCTGTGGCCCACCCTCTCTCCTTCCTGTTGTGGTAGTGCTGTCAATCATGGGTCACACCCACCCAGAGGAAGCGCACCTGAGGGCATGGATGCAGTAGATCACGCGGGGCATGTTCTTCTTGTCATAGATGTCTGTGGTCTCCGGGAAGAAGGTCTGGGGGGAAACCAGCCTGCTGTGACTGGAAACAGCACCAGGCATGGCGAGGGGCCAAGCACTGGGCCTGCCTCTCCAGCCTGAGGTGTGCGTCCCCTGTTGCCTGGGGCCTCCATCAGTCTCCTCAATCACTTCCGGTCAGCCCAGTACTGAGAAGGCACTGGGGACAAGTGGTAAGCCAGTATCCAGCTACAGACACATGGTCACACAGTGCCCTGGTTGCGTGGAACCCTGACAAGGCCATTAGGCTGCAGGACACAACCCACATCCTCCAGGAAACACAGGCCCCAGTCACTTGGAGCTACAGCGAGGGTCCAGTGAGGTGCCCATGGCCTTGGACCAAACACAGCAGGGCAAGCCACCTGGCTCCAAGCCAGAGCCTTCTGATCGACTGAGCCCCCTACTAAGAAGGGGGTCACTCCAGGTACATCTTCCCATGCCACCTAGCAATTGTGATGAGACCTAATGCATCCTGGCCATGATATGGACCCAAAGTGTACCGGCCTGAGGACACACGCTCCTATGCTTCTGCCTCCAAAGGATTTTTCATTATGCTGCTTCCTCATCTTAGAGTTCCTTTTTACAGAGAAGGCAAACAACAGAATGAAACCATACACTGTAGGATCCTATCATGCCTAATTTGTATAGCTCCTGTTGGGTGTGGTGGTGCATGGCTGTAATATCAGCATTTGGGAGGCTGAGGCAGGAGGATCACCATGAGTTCAAGGCCAGCCTGGTCTCCATTGTGAGTTCAAGGCCAGCCTGAACTACATAGGAAGACTCTGGCTCAAAAAAAAAAAAAAAATTGTGTAGTTCTTTACAAATGGAATTTGTACAGAGCACATGACCCTTCTGCCAACATTAAAGATAGGGCAGGATCGCTGTGCCCACTTTACAGCTGAAGTACACAGAGATTCACACAACGGATGCCTCACATGTAAAGCTGGGGTCTCCGGCCTCAGCCTCCCACCTGCAGTCTATCACCTACAAGGAGGGGCATGGCGAGCCCTGGTGCCCCTGTGAGGCTCAGGTTGGCTGATCTGAGCTGTCTCCTGCACTAACTGGGGCCCCGCTACACAACGGCTGCAGGGTCTTCACCTCCCTTCATCCACAGGGAAGCAGCGAGGCAGGGACCAAGTAACCTGGTTCAAAGAAACACAGCCCCAAGGAACTGTTGTTTGGTTATATTACTTTAGAAGATACATGGAGGCGGGCGTGGTGGTACACTCCTGTAATCTTAGCACTCGGGAGGCTGAGGCAGGAGGATCACTGTGAGTTTGAGGCCAGCGTGGGCTACAGTGAGTTCAAGGCCTGCTTGAACTGTATAGAAAGACCCTGTCTCAAACAAAAAAGATAGATGGAAGGGCCGGGGATTTAGCTCAGTGGTTCCACCACCTGCCTCAAAAGCTCAAGGACCAGAGTTTAATCCCCAGTACCAAAACAAAAGAATAAAAAAGATACATGGAGATGGGCACTAATGGTCCAGGGAGATAAAGCATGAGGGGATGGGGGACTCATGAAGGGTAGAGACAAGCAACAGTCAGGCCCATCATTACCAAAGGCAGACCGATGTGGGCTATTGCAGATAGCCAGAAGTTGATGTTGTCTGTGTGCCGGAAATGCAAGCCAGTTGCCTGAAAGGGAAGGAAAGAGGAGAATCTATTTCCACAGATCCTGGTGCTTCCTATGGGCAGAGCCCAGACTACGCTTAGAGATCCAAGAGGAAAGGATGGGGGAGCAGAGGACCCCTCTCCCATCCCCCAACCAAGGACGAAGAAACAGAAGTCACCGGGACGGACGGCTCAGCTGGTAAGCCTTCCTAAGAAGGAGAGCAGGAGGGGAAGGGGCGGTTGGGCTGGCTAGAGCACGGAGCAGTGCGTGGGTGGAAGAGTCTGCTTTTCAGGGCATCTTTTTTCAGGTGGTTCTGGGGATTGAACCTAGGGCCTTGCACAAGCTAGGCAAATACTCTACCACTGAGCTACAGCCCCAGGCCATCGGGGCCATCTTAAAGCCCACCTAACAACTGCCCCTTGCTGATAAAGAGTAATATAAACCACCTGACTGGGAGACACCGACTTTTCATTTAAAAAGTTTTTAACACATACGAATTGTACAAGTTAATGGAGCTTTACTGTGGCATTTCCATGCGTGCACGCATGGGCCCTGACCATGGCTTTCCTCCCTCCCACCTCTCTTGTCCTCCCCTTTCCCTGCTGCCCCTGGACCCCTTCCCACTCCCTAATAGTCCCTATTCTAGTCTCAGGAGAGACCCTGGTTAATACCTGTTGTCCAGGTGCAATGATTAATAGTACCCGCTTTCCTCCTTTAAATTGTCCAGATTTGGACAATAAACTGTTCAGTCACCCATGCTCACGGTTGCAAAGAGAAGGGGTAGTTTGAGAGGAAGAAGGTGGAAGGTGGAGTATACAATGCCCACCTGGTACCGCAGTTGCTCCACGTCATAGATCTTCTTTAAGGGGACAACGGAGGGTGCGAAGCAGTGGCCCAGCTTGGCCAGCAGCACCCCATTCCGAAGGCTCTCCTCCAACTCCACCGGGGAAGGAAGCTCCTCCTTCAGGCAGGCCTCCATCCAGCTGCAGGCGTGAGAGCACCTCTCGCTCGCTCTGGCAGCCATGCTGGTTTATTCCAACTCAGGGTCTGTCTCCCTGTCTCCTGCAATGGCCCTGAGCCTCTCCTAGCTCCTGTTCCTGCCTTACCCCGACCCCCCGCCACTGCATGGCTCTTCCCACTTCCTCCCAGGCTGCCCCAAACCCCTGGACCGACCGGCTCTGAGCCCATCTGCTCCAAGTCTGTCCGGCGGAGCCTGTGCCTGCCCACCTCCAGTGAGGCTCACAGACTCTTGGAACTCAAAGGCCCATTTTCCCCACCGCCTCCCCTCCATTCCCTGAGCCTCAATTGCAGCATCTGCAAAATGAGGGTGACACCACCTGGATTTCCTGCAGCAGTGGGCAGCTGCCAGGGTCAAATGAACTAACGAATGTGAAAACACTTTGAATATAAGGTTATAAAATATGTTATTGCTGGTAGTTTTACAAAGGAGAAAAAAAAGGCTCCTTAGATGGAATCTCCTAATGTCCCTATGTATTAGGTCTACTAGAAAGTGTGTTTCCACATTTTATTTTTGGTTTGCTTGTTTTTGGTTTGTTTTTGTTTTTGTTTTTTTTGGTACCGGGGATCAAACTTGGGACATTCCTCGTGACAGGTAGGCAACAGCACCACTGAGCTCAATCCCTGGCTGGAAGTATGTTTCCAAAGAGATCAGTCATGGCCTGCTTCCTGCCTTTCCTGCAACAGACACCTGATCTCTTACCTGCTCCACCCTACCTACTTTTTGGGGAACAGTAAAAATAGACTATTGGGTAAAAGGAAAGAATTATGTATTTATCCTGCCCCTCTCGGACAAACTGAATGGCAGGGTGACCAGAAAGCCCTGGGCTGATTGGGGAAAGATCTTTTTTAGAAAAAGATTTCAGGTAACTAATGAAGAAGCAATGTCAGAATTAGAAAATAGTCACTTAGAATCCTGATAAAATAGATTCTAGTGAGGACCAATAATCCAGGAAGCCATTAGATGAAAGGTTAATGGGGAATCTTATGACACAGACACCAGGTTATTACCTGAATTCCCAGATCAGACTTAATTTCACTAAAAGTGGGATGAGCAGTCACGTCCTATAACACACACCACTGTCAATGAAGGCTTCTTGTCAAACAAATTGAACCTGAATTCAATCAAGCCTTTAGAGCCAACATCCATTTATAGGAAATACGTGGCTTACAGGAACAAGGTGAATGACACAAGGAAGCAAATAAAGTCAGGATATAGGATGTTCTACAAGAAAAGTGATCCACTTTCTTAAACAAGCCAATGACCCAAAAAAATGAAAAACGGGAGGTGAACTGCTCTAGGTTAAAGAAGACGTAAAAGACAAGCGTAATAAGTGAGCTTTTTTAGATCCTTATTTGAAAAATCAGATTTTCTTTTTAGACAATCAGGACAATTTGAAAATGTCCTGGGTTTTGATCTTTAGGATTTACAGATACTTTAGCTGGGTATTATAATGGCACTGTAGTTACGTCAGCAAATGCCCCTAGATTTTAGGTAGGTTTTGAAGGACATGGGATAAAAGGATGTAATGCTTGGGATTTGCCTTAAAAAGCAGAAGATGCTATTTCAACCTGCCTTTTTCCACACCAAGGGTCCTTGTCCTGTTGCACTGGCTTTGAGGACAGGTGTCTGGGCTGGGGAGAGTGGGAAAGGCAGACCAGAGAAAATCCACCTTTCTGTCTCTGCTTACCGCTTGGCTTCCTCCAGCCGGCACAGGTACTGATAAGCGACATTCTGCCGCCTCTGCTCGTCCATCTCCTCAGCTGTGAGGCGTTCATCTGAGGGGAGAAGATCAACAAAGGGGGCTTAGGCAGGAGCCTAGCTCTGAGGCTTCTTCTGAAAGACTTTGCTAGAGCTGGGAGCACTGGTGCACACCTGTAACCCTGGTACTCTGTTGGTGAGGAAGGGAAGATCGCAAGCTCAAACCCAGCTTGAACTACACAGCGAGACCATCTCTCAAAAAAGACTGGCACACAGACCTGCCAGAGGCCTGAAACATCTCCCCCATGTCCCAACTAGTCATTCAAGACACCTTTTATCAAGGGGCCTCCTCTTCTTTGCTCCGCAGCTAACTTCCTGTCTTCCTTCTCCTTCCCAAGCCTACGCCATGCCTTCTGGCAGTGCTGTCCAGCACAGGTGTCCAGGGCCTTCCTTGGCTGGGAACTTAGCTCCTTATCTTATCCCTGATTAGACTGGGTTCTCCAAGACCTGGACCTGTGTCATCCTCATTAGGTACTCGGTCAGAGGCAGGGTTCACAGATTCAACTAGGACTCCATTCAACAACCCCTCATCATTCAGTCAATACCTCCCTTTCCTGGGGCCGGGGATTTAGCTCAGTGGTACTGCACCTGTCTCACAAGCGCAAGATCCTAAGATCTATCCCTGGTACCAACGCCCCCCCCAAAAATAAATACCTCCCTTTCCTCAGGCCAGGGCTGGTGGACCTCTCAGAAAACAGAGATTAGTACTAAAAGAGAAAATTTTGTAAGTTAATAACTCCAGTGTAAGGTAATAAGTGTAATCATAACCCATGAATGAAATCTATGGAAGCAGCAGAGGAAGTGAAGGATTCTACCTATGAGCTAGGTCCTTTTCTTTTTTTTTTCTTTTTGTGGTACTGGGGATTGAACCTTAGGGCTTTTGCACTAAGCTACATCCCCAGCCCTTTCTTACATAATTTTTTTTTGTTACTAGGGATGAACTCAGGACCTTGTGCTTGGGAGTCAGGCAGTGGCACCACTGAGCTAAATTCCCAGCCCCATAATTTTTTTTGATTTTGAGACACAGTCTTGCTAAATTGCTAAGTTCCCCAGGCGGTGCTTGAACTTGCAATTCTCCTGTCTCAATCTCCCAGAGTGCTGGGATTATGGGCATGCACTACCACACCCAGCTGAGCTAGGTGAGAACAGGTGCATGAACCGGTAGGCTGGGTTTGGTGGCAAAATCCAGCTACTCAGGAGGCTCAGGAAGGGGGATCATGAGTGCCAGGCTAGCCTAGGCAATTTAGAGATCCTGTCTCAAAATTTAAAAATAAATTATTTTCTTTTAAAAAAGGGATGAGCCTGGGTAGGAAGAATCAACATAGTGAAAATGGCCATACTTCCAAAACTGCTATACAGATTTAATGCAATGCCGACTGAAATTCCAACAATATACTTCACAGAGCTAGAGAAAACAATCCAAAAATTCATTTGGAACCAGAAGAGACCTAAAATAGCAAAAGCAATTCTGGGCAACAGAGACATGGCTGGGGGTATCACAATACCCAACTTGAAGCTATACTACAAAGCTACTGTGATTAAAAACAGCATGGTACTGGCAAAGAAACAGACCTGAGGACCAGTGGAACAGATTAGAAGATGCAGAAACAACTCCAGACATACTCAGCCACCTCATTTTTTTTTTTTTTTTGGTACCGGGGATCGAACTTGGGTCCTTGCGCTTGCGCAGCAGGGAGCGAAACCACTGAGCTAAATTCCCAGCCCGCCACCTCATCTTTGACAAAGGAGCCAACCACCCTCATTGGAGGAAAGATAGCCTATTTAATAAATGGTGTTGGAAAATTGGATTTCAACCTGTCAGAGATTAAAACTACGGCAGGAGATGTAGCTCAGTGGTTCCGCTGCCCGCCTTGCAAGCGCAAGGACCCGAGTTTGATCCCCAGTACCGAAAAAAAACCCCAAAAAACAAAACACTAGACCCATATCTATCACCATGCACTAAACTAAGATCTAAGTGGATTAAAGATTTAAATATTTAGACAGAAACACTAAACTTGCTGGAAGATAAGTTAGGTAGAACTCTTGATGACATTGGCATAGGAAAAGACTTTATGAACAAAACCTCAGCCATCCTCTTAAGTGAAATAAATAGGACACACATGTGTAAATACCAAATAGTTTCTCTAGTGTGAGAAACTGAGAGTGTAAATTAGGACTAAAAAGATTAAAAACTAATAATTGATACTTCAAAATAGGAAAAGGTCCAAAGGGGTAGGGGTGGTAGGAGGGGAAGGGGAAAGGAAAGAAGGGAAAGAAAAATTATGAGAAAAGGAAAAAAAAATGGAAACGAAGTATGTAAATAGGGAAGGGTTTAGGGGTGAAGGGCTCACAGGGAATGGGGAAAAAATAAGAACCAAGACATATCATGTACAAGTACAAGCACCCAGTGATAAATGTAAATGTATTGTATACCTAAAATGTACCAATAAAAGAATTTAAGAAAAATTAAAAAAAAATAAATAAATAAAAAAGGGATGAGGAAATAGCTTAGGGATAAAGCTCTGGTGAAGCATATGTGAGACTCTGGGCTCAATCCCCAATACCACACACACACACATACACACATAAAGAACCGAGGGCTGGGGGTTTAGCTCAGTGGCACTGCACCTCCCTCACAAGTGCAAGGTCCTGAGTCCAATCCCCAGTACCAAAAAGCAAAACAAAATAAAGAATAGATAGAAAGGGGGAAAGGGGGCCCAACAGAGGGAACCACAGCACTCGGGATTAAGTGGAAGGAAAAGGAGAATTTTTTAAAAAATCACAGGGCTGGGGATTTAGCTCAGTGGTTTCGCTGCCTGCTGTGCAAGCACAAGGACCTGAGTTCAATCCCCAGTACCAAAAAAATAAAATAAAATAAAATAATAAAAAAAAAAATCACAAAAGTATCTTTATTATTGTTTTTTGATATAGGTCACCTGAGGAGGAAAATAATCTTCGAAGCTAAATAAAATGCAGACAACGCTGACCTCAAACTCAAGAAGAGAGAATTCTTTAAAGGAGACAGCATTCTCACTCTTCCCTAGTAGCTCCTTTATGCTATTCTCTCTCCTTCTCCTCCACCTCTCCTTAGGGAAGATAATATCAGATCTCACGGTGTGAGGGGAGGACACACACACACACACACACACATGACAAGAAAACAATGTAGGTGGCTTGCAGAGACTAAGCTTGGTCAATTTGTGCTGGGTCTTTATCCTGTTTCCACAGACTGCATATCCTGCGTAAGATTTGGAGAGGGCAGGGCCTATTTGAATTGGCAGTTAAGAAAGTTAAAACACACACACACACACACACACACACACACACACTTTCAAGTACAGATTTGAAAGCACCGGCCAAAGGCAGGAAGTCCACGGGCTCCTCTGAGGAGGCCTGCAGGGAACAAGTATTGGTTGTTAAGCATGGAAAATAAATCAGTGAGTGACCTCACCTCAGAGTTATGAACCGAGACTGAGATTGGCAGGACTTTGCGCGCGCGCACACACACACACACACACACACACACACACACACACACTCACACACACACAGTGTCTCGTTAAAAAAAAAAAGCCCACAAAATATTCTTCCTGCCCTTCTTAGGCTGGAACTAGCTTTCCTTCAAGAAGTGGGTGGACATGGACTTCGCTCTCTGAACCCTAATCTAGAAGAAGGAGGGGTGAAAAAAGAACAGCCAGTTTTGCATTTCACTCAGGATAGGATGGAAACCTCAGCCTTCCCATCCTTTGGCCTCCAGTCCCTCCCTCCCTCTCCAAGCATAGCACTGCTAGTAATAATTGCAGACGACTGGAAGCCAGGCCTACTGGAGCTGAAGCTGCTGGGTAGAGCTCAGGACTCTGCATTTTAACAACTCAGGCACTTTTGGCACCCTGCAGTTTGAGAAGAATTGTCTCAAAGCTGCCTCTTTCTGTTTTACCATTTTTGTTTTTGGTGGTACTGGGGATTGAACCCAGGGACATCACACTGAGCTCTATCCCCAGAGCTTTTTTTTTTTTTTTTTTTTGAGACAGGGTTGCTATTGTTCAGGCCAACTTTGAATTCACTATGGAGTCCAAGTTGGTTTTGAACACGTGGCAATCCTGCCTCAACCTTCCAAAGTGTTTGGATTACAGGTGTGTGCCACCAGGGCCGGCTTATTTTTTATTTTGAGACAGGGTCTAGGTGTCTTATTTGCTCAGGCCGGCCTTGAACTTTCCATTCTCCTGCCTCAGGCTCCCAGAGTGATGGGATCACAGGCCTAATCACCACACCCAGTTGCTCTGTACCTTGTTTGTCTAGTTTTGGTTTTGGAGACAGGCTCTCATTATGTAGTTCAGGCTGGCCTCGAACTCGAACTCGCAGCAGTCCTCCTGCCTCAGCCTCCCGAGTGCTGGGATTACAGGCGTGCACCCCCACCCCCGGCTTCCAGGCGGCACCCCCAAGGCAGGCGTCCCCCACGTGCCTTTCGGAGTCCAGTCCCGGGACAGCGCTTGGTAGGCGCGGTAGCGTCAATAGCCCCGGGTTTAAAGGGCCATCTAGGCCACCTTGCACAACCCCGGACCCAGGAGCCCCGGAGTCCGGCGTCAGGGAGACAGCCGTTCCAAAGGTGCGAAGCGGGCCACCGTCCCGCCCACCGGCACCGGCACCGGGGCTCCCGTTTCCTCCGCACCGAGCAGCCCCCCGCCCCGCCCGCCCCGCCCGCCACCCCGCGTGCCCAAGCCCCTCAGCCGCATCCCGGCGTACCCGCTTCGGGCCCTCCCGACACTCACAGGCCTCCCGACCCCGGCGCTCTCCTCCGCCCTCCATGTTGCTCCTTCTTCCAGGTTTGAATCTCCCGCCGCTGGGCCACCGCCCCTCGCCGCCACCACCCTGGGAAGGGCTGCTTCCGGTCCGCGGCGCAGGGAACTCTGGGATTTGTAGTTCCGGGCCGCGGAGGCCCGCATCACGGGTGGGTAGGGAGAGCCCTGGTACTCGAGGCTGCGGAGGAGGGGGTCCGAGGCTGGGAAGGCCCACACCCTGTACCCCAGTTCAGGCTCACTTGGCTTGCTGTTCCTCCAAGGGCTACCTTCATTTCAGGTAGCCCTTGCCTTCATTGTTTCCTCTAATGTTCCCTTTCACCCTGCTCAGCTTTCCACAGTATCCCTGGGACTCGTTCTCTTAGGGGCCTGCTTGGTGCTGTGCACTAAATCAGGTGGCGGATGCAGAGACATAAACATTGTTAACGCTCTAAGAAGCCTGCTGTTCTGGCTCAAGTCCTAGACATATAGTTAAACAAATTAGAGGTCAGTGATGCCCAGAGAAGGGAGTTGGTTTAAAGGGCTGCTTCCTAGAACCAGTTGATCTGGGCTGAAAAGTAAGGGAGAATCTATCAGATTCAAGGAGGGAGTTTGCATTAGTTACTTTTCTCTTGTTGCTGAGGCAAAATACCCAACACCCAAAGTTAAAGGGGAAAGGGTTTACTTGGATCACAGTTTGTAGAGATTTCAGTCCATAGCCAGCTGGCTCCAGGGCAGGGTGGCCTGGCAGAGGAGAAACTGTTTATGGTGGCCAGAAGGTAGCAAGCAACTAGGGAACCTTAACAGCCTCTTTCTGGCCCTTTTTATCTTATCCAGACTACTGGGATTAGGGAGGTCCCAAACCAATCAGTGAGCTGGTTTAGTAATCACACTCCCTGAATCCCAGCATCACACACTCTAGATGCAGCTACCTCTGACAAAAACCCACCTATGACTGCACAAGGCTTTGGGGGACATCTAGACCCAAACCATAACAGAGGCATTCTAACCTGTGGAAACAGCCTATCCAAGAGCAAGGCACTGGCATCAGGAAATTAAACTCAGTTCAGTTTTAGGGGAGAACAGAGTTCAGCCAGGGAGAAGGAGGAAGGAAATCTCAGGACCAGGTCAGGACCCTTAGCACTTTCCTAAAGTGCTGGGGTGAGGTCAGGTAAGCAGTCAGCAGCCAAGGAACACTAGACATAGGTCTCAGACAGATTTATGTTGTAGAAAGATCCCTCTTAACAGCAGGGGTTTGGAGGGGGATGAGACTGGGAACAGGGACCATAGAGGGGGCTACTGCAGTAGCGTAGATAAGAAGTAATAACGACCTGAATGAATAAATAGTTCAACAACAACTGTGCTGAAAAAATACAGTAGACCCCCAAATTACAACTGGCCTGACATACAAACAACTTGGATTCATTAGGTTAGTGGGAGATTCATCTGCCTCTTGTTATCTATAGCTTGTATTCAGGTAAACATACAGATCTTAGTTGTATTGACTTACAACCCACAGCCCTCAGGAACCAATCAAGTTCATAAGTCAAAGGTTCACTGTATTTTTGGGTACAATTTCTGATGTTTCCCTCCCCCACTCTTTCTTCCTTTATCCTTCCCTGATGTTCCATATGAACAGCCAGGCAGGTAGGCTCTCAGCATCAGGGGAGAATGTGAAGGGACAGAACACAGAAAACAGCCAAGCGTACAGCCTTTAGAACAGAGAAGATTCAGGGCTGAGACAAAACTGGACAAAATAAGGTTTGAAGATAGTGGGTATTCCCTTTAAGACCAGAATGGATTCCCCTGGCCTCTCAGAAGCTAAGGGAATTAGAGACAGTCTAGATCTTGATGGCTCCCAGTAATATTGTTCCCCTTTCCTGCTTCCTGGGAAGGCCTTTGGGAATACAAGACCCTGAGAAGAAAGTGTCTTAGTTACTTTTCTTGTTGCTAAGACAAAATACCTGACACCCAAAGTTAATGGAGGAGAGGTTTATTATAGCTCACAGTTTGTAGAAGTTTCAGTTCATAGTTTCCTGGCTCCAAGGCAGGGTGGCATGGCAGTGAAAAACCATTCATGGCAGGCAGAAGGCAGCAAGGAAGCAAGCAGTGAAGTATCGAAGCAGCAAGCAAGCACAGCTGTCCCCTTTCTGTCTCTTATATTCTATCCACTCATACCGAGCCTGGGCTTTCCCTTTATTGACATCTAGGATTATGCCAAACCAATCAGTGGACCAATTTAGTAATCACACACTCTTGATCCCAGCATCACATGCCCTAGATCCAGGCACTTCTGAAAAGCCCCACCTGTGACCACATGCGGCTTTGGGGGACATCCAGACACATACTGTAAGTGAAGGGTTCCATAATGTCAGGCAGCTATGCACCTAGATGTGCAGAAATTCCCTGAGCCAGCTGGAAAGGACGTTCCTAAATGAGTTATTCCCCCTTTTTGCTTGGGCAGGAGTCTGGGCTTGAAAGGGTCAGGTAGGTGAGAAGAAAGCAGATGGACATCTTTGTGACTAGATGGCCGAGCCCAACATGGGCCCCCACCTTGAGTCCCGTCATCACTCATCTCCCCCACGTGGGCTCTGCCCTGGGGAAAAGGAGTGGGCCCAAGCCCCGGGCTGAATCACTGGCCCGCCATGCCAGTGGGATAGGGACTCAGAACAAGCTGAGAGGAGAGGTGTTGCTTTGGTTCATTTGTTTATTTTGTTGTGTTTTTCCTGTTGAGACAGGTTCTTGCTATGTAGTTCAGGCTGGCCTTGAACTCATGGCAATCCTTCTGCCTCAGGCTCCCCAGTGCTGGGACTACAGGTGTGTGCCACCACACCCAGCTTGAATTCTTTTTTTTTTTTTTTTTTGGTACTGGGGATCAAACTCAGGACCTTGCGCTTTGCTTTCAAAGCAGGTGCCAGAACCACTGAGCTAAATCCCCAGCCCACCCAGCTTGAATTCTTAACCACTATACATAGATAATATCACCTCCAAGGCCAGGAGACTGCGGAAACGGGGTGCACTGGGGAGGAATTTCAAAGGTAGGCTGGAGGAGGAGGACCCAAAGCTTTTCTAGCTTTCAAAGTTTCTCGCTTCTAGACTGTTCTACTAATATTATGGCTGCATCTAGATGTCCCCTAAATCCTCATGCAGTGATAAGTGCGGCTTTTCAGAGGTGGCTGGATCTAGGGTGTGTGATGCTGGGATTGATTCACTGGTGCTAGGATTAAGGGTGTGAATGCTGCCCACCCTAAGGCTGAGCTGGATAAGATATAAGGGGCAGAGCTGCTGTTTTTGCTGCTGGTCGCTTGCTGCTTGATGCCTTCTGCAGCTCCATGACACCCCCTGCCATTGCTAGCCAGCCCTGAGCCAGCCAATTATGAACTGAAACCTCTATAAACTGTGACCTAAGATAAACTCTCAGTATTGTGTATTTTGTCTCATCAATGAGAAAAGTAAAACAACTAGTAGCACCAAGAACATGGGAAAATAGGAGTTTTACTTGGGTAAGTGAAGTCCACAGGTATACATGTAAACAGATTGCTTATCAGCGGTGTTAAAATCAGAAGAGTAAAACAAATGCTCTCGAAAGAGTACATGAAATAAGAAGAGAAAATATGAAAGGGCAGAGTGCTGCTGAGCACTAGCATTTAGCAGGTGGACAGAGGACCTGGAGAGGAGCTGGAAAAGGAAGTGTGGCAGGTGAGAGCCAGGACACGGTGGGCCATGGGATGCAAATGGGAGGGGTGGACATAGTCCGGAATCAGAGAAACAGTCAGAAACGTTCAGTGGGTTACCCATGGGAGGTTATCGTCCCCCTCCAAACCCTCCTCCAACCTTAGGGAAGCCTGCTGAGTCGGCCAGCCATGGGTGCATCCTGAAGAGCCAGCCTCAGGGCAGAAGCTGCAGACAGCTGGCCAGCCCACCCTGGGCATGGGCGCCCCTGCCAAAGGGCCACTGTGCCTGGCTCAGGTAAGCAGCCAAGGCTGCAGGGGAAGTGCGGGCCAGTCCACTATGGCCTCAGACGCTGACTTTGGGCAAAGGCCTCCCTACTGAAAAAAGGCCTTTCTCGCTGGGTGCAAGAGCACACACTGTGAGCCCAGCTGCTGGGAAGGCTAAGGTAGGAGGACTTCAAGTCCAAGACCAGCCTGGGCAGTTCAGGGAGACCCTGTCTCACAATAACTACAGAGGGCTGGGGACATTGCCACATGGTATCCCCGATACCACCCAACCACCCAACCAACCAACTAACCAACTAACTAGAAGGCCATTCTCAAGGTGAACGAGCATATTTGCTTTCTGGTGTAGGCCATCCTTGGCAAGTTGGGCATCAGGTCCCTGTGCTCCCAGGGCCCGTGGTCCTCTCATTAAGCAGAGCCTGGAGCTGAGGAAAGGGGTTTGGGGACAGTGACGCTCTTCTGATCTCGGGCCTTTTCTGACCCGGATGTGGATGACCACATTCTGGTTCCAGATGTGAAGCTACCACACACAGGCGCAGTATGGACGAGTGTGTGAAGGGCTTCACCTCCACGACAGCCCAAACCCCATTACATTTTGCAGTCATCATGATAGTGGATGGGGCCCTCGGCTGAGTGCCTTGGATCAGAAAGCCCAGGGTCTGTCCCAGCATGGCTTTGCATACCTGTCAGGGAAAAGGAGAAGAAGAAACAGGTACGAGCTCAGCAGGACAGGCTCAGAGCAGGGCAAAGCTGAGAGGGCCGCTCTGGCACTGGAGACCAGGCCAGCTGCTCTGCTGCAGGCTGCGGGTCTTTTGTGGGGTCTCGGGGAGGGGGAGCTCAGCGCGAGGGGCCAGGCTGCCTGGCAAGGCTTGGGAGAGCACAGGCGGTGACGGCCACCCAAGACCGAGGCTTGGGAAAGCGCGGGCAGTGGCCGAAGAGCAGGGAGGACAATGCTAGGGGTCCCTGGATGAGCTGTGCTGGGAGCAGGGTTTAGAGGGGCCTCATCAGGACAGCGCCGCCGGATTCCTCCAATACCTGCAATCCCAAAACTCTGGGAGGCTGAGGCAGGAGGATCACAAGTTCAACCCTAGCCTGGGCAACTTAGTGACTCAACAATACCCTGTCTCAAAATAAAAAATAAAAAGGCTGGGGATGAAGCTTGGTGTAAAAGTCCTGGGCTCAGTCTCCCAGAACCACAAAATATAAAAGGAAAAGAAAACCAGGGATCTAATCCCAGCCGCGTGACAGCTGTTTTAGGCAAGTCACACCGGCTCTGAGCCCCAGAAGCGTCCTCTGAAATGAAGGGGCAGATACGATCTGGGGGGTGTTATTAGGAAGCAGCCCTGTGAGGCGTCTACTCCTTGAGTAAGGGACCTGAGGGTGGGGCTGCAGCAGGGTGGCGGGGGATTGGGTAGGCCTGCTGTCTGTGCCCAGCGCCATCAGAGTTCAGCACTAAGATAGGTCGCCCGAGCTGTCATTCAAAGAGTTCCTTAGCAGTGGGAGGGTGGGACCTGGCTGTCCGGTAACCCTGGGGGCCCCCAGCTAAGAGCCAGGGGAAGTAACTGGAGCCAGAGGAACCATTCCAGAAGCCCACTGCACTGTGGAGAGAACCTGGAGGTAAGTCATCCTGCAGCCTCTGCCTGAGACTGGGCAGGGGGAGCCAGGAATGCCCCGTTGAGGGCCTTGAAAAGTCAGGAGTTCTGGGTGTTCTTGGAAGCAAAGATAGTTTCTCTGAAAAGAGAATGCATCACTTCTGCCTATTTCTGCTAAGAAAAGAAGAAGAGGAGGAAGGGTCGGAGGGCCCAGCGGCCTGGCCAGGTCTCTTCCACACCTTTTGCTGTCTCCTGGGCACAGAGCTTAGCCAAGGGCTTTGCTTTTCCAGGGGAAAGTTAGGAACAGGATGAGGTGAAGGTGTTTGCATTTGGGGGGGCTCTGGAGACCCGAGCAGGATGCTGAGGGTGCAGAACCAGCCAGCGGACCGGACCCTAAGCAGAGGACACGGGGAGACAGGAGCTCCTGGGGTATACGCTGCGGCTGCTCCTTACCTGGAGCCCTGCACATTCAGCAGCCTGTTCCCGCTGGGCCCCGGCCTGGCGTGGCTGTGCTGCTCCGTCTGGTTCACTCTAAAAGTTGTGGTAAGGTAGATGTAACTTAAAACTTACCATTTTAACTTTTAAAGTTTTTGGTGCTGGTTGTTGAGCCTGGGGCCACACTCACGCTAGGCAAGTGCTTCATCACTGAACGCTACCCTCATTGTAATTGTGTGTGTATGCGTGTGCCTGTACGTGTGTCATGGGGGATTGAACCCAAGGCCTTTTTTAAATTATTATTTTGAGACAAGGACTCTCTAAGTTGCCCAGCTTAGGCTGGAAGTTGCAGTCCTCCTGCCTCAGCCTCCCAGCATGCTGGGATTGCAGCTGTGCACCATCAGATCTGGCTCGATAAACTTTTATTTAGAATTTACTACGTGTCTTCAAGCTGCTCCACATCTAGTGGGAAAGACAGACAAGAAAGTCAGCGTCTCCAACCATGTGATAAATGCTGTAACAGACACAGGTGTGAGCTCTGCCAGGGCCACAGAAGCCCTCAGTGGCGGGGAGAAAGATGGAACCTGACCTGAGTCCTGAGGGAGGACTCAGGGAGGAGCAAGATGAGGTGAGGGGTGATGCGCTGCCTGCTGGCACAGATGGAGCTGCGTGAGCCGGGGAGAAACCCTGGGCACCGAGCTCACCCTGGGACAGGAGTAGGGCTCGACTGCCCCCAGGATCCTGCTGCAGGGGAGCAAGCCGACCTCCTGACCCCTCCGTTCCCCACTGTCAGCCCCATGTCTTCCCCCAGCCCCAAGGAGACACCCCAGGAGCCCGAGCCCTGCAACCGCAAGAAGAGGAAGAAGGGATGGCTGAGGCGAGAGGCCAGCATCCGAGCCCTCACCAAGGCCGGCCATGGGGCCCTCCGGGCGGGCCAGCACCGAGAGGCTGTGGTCAGCTTCCAGAAGGCTTTCCTCCTGGCCTCGGGGGCCCCGAGGCTCCGGGACACCTCTGTCCTGCGGGCCTGTGCCTTCAACCTGGGGGCCGCCTACGTGGAGACTGGGGACCCCGCCAGAGGCCTGGCGCTGCTCCTGCGAGCCCAGCCGGAAGCCAAGGCCCAGGGCAGGCATCATGGTGACCAGTGTTTCAATGTGGCCTTGGCCTACCATGCGCTCGGCGACCTGCCCCTCGCTCTGGGCTGGTACCACAAGGCCCTGGCCCATTACCAGCCGCAGGGTGACCAGGGAGGGGCCCAGGCAAGGATGGGAGCCTGCTACCGGGCCCTGGGGTGGCCCGAGCAAGCAGCCCACTGCCTTCAGGAGGCAAGCCAGGCCTACACCCGGGCGGGGCAGCCCTGGGCCGCAGCTCTGGCATTGGGGGCCGCAGCGCGGTGTATGCTGAAGAGTGGGCGGCACGGGGTGAGTGAGGTGGTGCAGGTGCTGGAGGACAGCCGGAGGCTTGCTGAGACCAGCGCTGAGCTGGGTCTGCTGGGTGAAGCCTTGACAGCAAAGGTGTGGGGCGGGGGAGCCCCTGAGGACTGTGGGAGACCCCGGCAGAGTGGACGGGATGGCACTCCAGTGACCCCCTCTACCCTCTAGGGCATCTCTATAATGACCTAGGCCTGGGCTATGCCCAGCTGCAGCTGTTCCCTCTGGCCGTGGAGGTCTTCCTGCAGGCCCTGCCCCTGTGCCGGCAGCCAGGAGAGCAGGCCACAGTGCTGAGGAACCTGGGGATGGCCCACAATGCCCTCGGCAACTATGGACAAGCCCAAGACTTTCATCAGAAGGCTGCCAACCTGCACGGTGAGTGCCTGAGGCTCAGGGCTGCACAGGGAGTAAGGGGGCGCTCCATGGGGCACGGGGCCTCAGGATGGTCCTGGAAGCCGAGATCCAGGGGTGAGGCTGGGAGAGTCAGACGGGAGGCAGCAGTGCTTGGGGAAAGGAGGCCTGGAGTGGAGCTGGGCCCTCCGTGTGACACTCAGCCCCCACGTATACAAACAGAGCCACCGACACCTCCTCGCCTGCCTCACAAGGTTGCTGTGTGGCTTAAACCAGCATCTGGGCCTGCAGGGAGAGGCCGGGCCACTGTGGCCCTGTGGATGCCAGCTGAGGCTGGGCACCAGGGCTCCTGGGCCCTCCCAGCAGGCACAGCCCCTTAGGGTGGTGCCCTCTGTCCTTAGGCTCCGTGGGGCAGAGGTGGGAGCAGGGCCGCAGTTTTGCTAGCCTGGCATTCGCACTGAGCCAGCTGGGGGACCACAGGGCGGCCAGAGACAACTACCTGCACGCCCTGCAGGCTGCCCGGGACACTGGTAAGGGTGAGGGGGTTGCATGGGACTTTGGGGGCAAAGACACAACCCTTGGGGCTGGCGAAGGGGCAGGGGGCGGGGGGTGGGGGCAGCATCTCTGGAGGCAGGGTCATGGGGAGCAGTGGGGGACCTCTCAGGCTCTTCCCCAGGGGATGTGAAGGGGCAGTGGCAGGCCTTCGAGGGGCTCGGGGCTGCTGCAGCCAGACTGGGGCAGTACGACCAGGCCTTGAAATACTACAAGGAGGCGCTGGCCCAGAGTCAGGTCAGATCTTCTGCGTTAGACTCTGACTCTTTCCTGCTACCCCTCCTTCAGAAGCCTGCAGCTGTCACTCCTGTCTTTGCTCCTGTCTCCTTCCCACCATCATTCATTTACTCATCAAACATGCACTGCACAGAGTATGGCCTGTGTGGGGTGCTGCTGTGGGGAAGAGGTGGGCCCTGTCTGCAGTGCTGGGCAGTCAGTGCAGGGCCCGGAAAGGCAAAGGAATGGGGTGAAAAAGAAGGGAGACAAAGTCCCCTCTGCCCTGCCTTCCTGTTTCTTTCTCCCAGTCCCCTGAGGACTACCAAGCCCAGGCCTGCCTCACCCTCCCGCATTACCGTCCTCCCCAGAAGGAGCCGGACTCCACACGGCGACGGCTGGTGGCCAAGCTGGCAGACGCCATGAGGACCCGCTTGACCCAGGTGGGCTGGCCCAGGGTCACCCCTGGTGAGATGACCCCTAGACCAGGAACTGGGGGCAGACAAGGCTGGGGGTAGCGGGCCTGCTGTTCTCTGGATGCCAGGACTGCCCTGGGCCTGCCTGTACACATTCTGTGCCTGGGGCGGGGAGGCAGGGCTTTGGCCGGGCGCTAAGAAGCCCACGGGGCAAAGCCCGAGGGTCCTAACAGCCAAACTTGCGGGAGGTGCAAACAGGAGCAATTCCCTGGCTGCAGTTCCCTCAGTGGCCACAGGGTGGGGATAGTGCTCCAAGGAAGGCCTCACCGGCTCCAGGTTAGGGGCGTTTCTGTCTCCCCCACACTCTTGTCCCTCCATGGCCTCCTCCCTTGCACTTTGCGATGCCCTTAGGAAACCTCCTCCCACACCAGGAATCGAAATACTTTATAGTACGTACTTTGTTATATGTATTTAATAGGGTTTATGGCTTCTCATTTTATTTATTTATTTATTTATTTATTTATTTATTTATTTATTTATTTTTGGTACCTGGGATCAAACTCAGGACCTTGCACTTTTGAGGCAGGCGCAGCACCACTGAGCTAAATCCCCAGGCCTATGGCTCCTCATTTTAAAGACTGGACATCATATTTATAATCTACAAGCAAAATTAAATTGTCCTAGGTCTGGGGGTGCACCTCAGTGGTACAGCACTTGCTTTGCATGCACAAGACCCTGGGGTTCAGCCCCAGCTCTGAAAAAATAAATTAGTCTGAGCTGGGTATAGGGGCACAGGGGTGTAACATCAACACTTTGGAAGGCTGAGACAGAAAGATTGCAAATTGGAGCCCAGCCTGGGGAATTTAGCAATTTAGTGAGATCCTGCCTCAAAAAACAAAACAAAACATTAAAAAAAAAAATTGCCTGGAACAGACAGCGGATTAGATTGTGGTCAGCAGACCCAGGCCCCACCCAAGGTCGGCCAACTCTGTGATCTTGCCAGATGAGGCTCTGGGCCAGGTGGGCTGGTGGTTAGGCTCCTACCAGGCCCAAGAGCCTGAGCTCCAGCTTGAGAGCAGCCAGTGGGGTCCTTCACGGAGCAAAGGCTTCCCCCAGGAATTAGTTCTCAGCAGCGAGCGGCACACCCTGTTATCTCTGAGAAGGCGGGGCTGGGGATTTAGCTCAGTGGTTCCACTGCCTGCCTCGAAAGCACAAGGTCCCAAGTTCGATCCCCGGTACCAATAAATAAATAAATAAACAAATAAATTGTCTGTAGGACAGAATCTCTGAGAAGGTAGCGTCTTTCTCCCAGCCAGTCTGCCTCCCTGCAGGCTGCAGAAAGCAGCACATGCTCACATGCACATCAGGGACATTGTTCTCAGAATGAGCCCCTGACTTCCTTGCATTCCTAGACTCTGGCTCCAGGAAGGCCCGAGGATCCAGGCAGGGCCTCCCAGGTGGCAGAGACCTCAGCCAGGACACAAAGGAGCTGGGCAGTGGCCCAGGACAGGTGAGTCACAGGCGCATTCGGGGGGGGGTGTGTGTGTGTGTGTGTGGCCACAGCTGCTGGGTGTTGGGGTGCAAGGGGTAGGACTCACTGGCAGCCCAGGGAAGAGCAGCCTGGCCAGGGTGCCCCTCTGCTGGGCTGTGCCCCAGTTCCCCACACAGCAGATCTCCCAGCAGATGGGAAGATGGAGAGGTGGAGGAGAGCCCCCCAGAGAAAGAAGAGGGGTCGGCATGTGTTCCTGTGATGTCCGGGCCTCAGAGACCAGAGCGTGAGTGGAAGTGGGCTGCCACCAGTGGAGCTCTCCTCCCGCTTCCTGGGCCTCCCACCCTCCATCTGCCCTCGAGCCACCCCGACCCTGGCTCTCCAGGCTGCCAGTCCCTAGTCCAGCCGTCCCCACATTTCTGCTTCCTCTGCACACACTGGCCCGTTTCCCCCTGACCCCTTGCCAGATTCACCCCATTCTCACTGCTCCCACTGCTTTCCCAGCTTGTAGAACTTTGCGTCTTGGAGACTTGCTGAGAGCCTGTTACCTGCCAGTGGGTCGCTGGGTGCCTTTCTTACCCCAGCCTGCAGCTCGTTGGCCTTCCTCCAAGTTTGCCAGCCTTGGGAGCAGAGCGAGTTCCCTGCTGCCTGGTCAGCAGGCTTGAATTTACCCAGGTCTTCACTGCAGTGTCTGTCCTTCCGGGCACAGTGAGTCAGGCATTCCGGTCAGCTCCTGTTTACTGAGCACCTGCCCAGCGGAGGGCAGTCCTTGGGGCACCCACTGTGTGCAGTCCCAGCGCGTCCCCTGACACACACAATCCTTGTTCCTCCCCCGGAGCTTTCTCTTTCCTGCTGTGATGGCCCTTGGTGTGGAGGCCTGTGATGGATGCACACAACCCTCTTCCAGGTCCAGGACACACAGAGCATCCTCCCTTTGGAGGTGCAAGCCCCCCCAGAGTGGGATACCCCCGCGCCCTGGTACACAGTGGCTCCCAGGGTAACAGGTGAGTGGGGGGGCGAAGGAAGTAGAAGAGGCTGGGGGGAGGGATGGCCCTAACAGGACATGGCCAGTGTTAAAGTCGCAGAAGATGCTATCTGGTGCTTGGGGTGCAGGCCCCAGAGCCCCTTCGCCTTTGCCCTTCAGCAATCTGAACAGCCCTGGCCCAGCCTGGAGGCCTGCGGCCAGCCTTCCTCCTGCACCCGAGTGCAGCCTCAGGGAAAGGCAGGGCCCAGAGAGCTCTCCCTCCTGCCCTGAGTCCACAGCAGGGATGAGGCCCTGTGCGGCTGGCGAGTCCTTCTCTGCCTCCTCACGTCCTCTAGGGAGGCCCTGGGCAGGAGTCCCGCCAGGAGAGTCCACCAGTCTGGCTTCTGCACTGTCTCGTGACCTGGATGCTTCCAGCAGGGACTTGGTGTCCGAGCCCTCCCGGGGCCTTCAACCCTGCGAGGCACAGTCAGTGAGTGGGCGGAGCAGTGCTGGCTCTGCTCCTCATCAGGAGCTGGGACTTAGTCGGCAAAAGGAAAAAAGATGGTGAATCCCCTTCTTCTTTCTGGATCCAAACCTCACGATCGCTAAGGCCTTGGGCAACTGTAAAACTGTCTCCTTGGTTAGGTGTCATGGTGGCTCTGGAGTCACTGACTTTCTCCAGCAGATCGCCTTTCCTCCTTGGGAAGGAGAGATGGAAGGCTACAGAAGGCATCTGTATTTATTTATTCTGAGACAGCCTCGCTAAGTCAGTGAGTAAGCTGCCAGGCTGGGCCTGCACTCAGAATCCTCCTGCCCCAGCCTCCCAGAGAGTTGGGGAATTACATTCGTGGACTCTGCTTCCCGCCCCTTGGAGCCTGTCGGACAGTGACGAATGCCAACTCGGGCAGCAGTGACAGACATCTGTTGAACACTTGGACCAAGCCTCACGGGTTTCCTTCTCACAAGCCTCGGAGGCACCGTCGTTACCCCTTTCACGGATAAGGAAAAGCAGCTCAGCGGGCGAAGTGGTTTCCCTTCTAGGTCAACGCGAAGTAGGCGGAGAAGCGGCAAACCCAGCGGCGTGTGCCTTCGGTCCTGCTCTGGGGCGCCCTCCGCTGGCCAAACTGTGCTTAGCCGGCTGTTGTGAGGTCTCAGGTTTTGCTCGTGCAGGCTGTGCGGATTACTGTAAGGTGGAATTTAGTTAAATATATAAATGGATGAACTCAGTGTGAAAACAAGCGCTCTTTCTAAAAACTGAGCTGGATCCTTAAAAGACCCGAGTAAAGTGAGTCACTTCTAAAAGCTGCTACTGAATTAGATGCGAAGATTACAAATTGGAGGAAAATTTTAAGATTCTGGATGGATTATACAGTCACATTGCTCCACACACACCCCTGTCGATTCTCCAGCAGACTGAAAATCACAGGTGATTTGTAACTGGTGAGGTTTATGTAAGAGAAAAGACCCTGGCCCCACTCTTGACAAGGAGTAAATGAACATATTTTAAATTGAAATAAAATAATTCTCTCTGATTAGGTCAGATGAGGGGGAGGCAAAAGTTAACCTCTACCCCTTAAGGGTCTCTGTTTGGGCCTGAGAATTAAATTGACATGAAACAGATTTTTTTTTGGTACTGGGGATAAAACTAAGGACCTTACACTTTCAAAGCAGGCACGATGCTGCTGAGCTAAATCCCCAGCCCAGATTTTTTTTTTTTTTTTTTTGAGACAATGTTTCACTACATAGTTCAGGCTGGCATTGAACTCATAGTGATCTTCCTGCCTCAGCCTTCCAAGTGTTGAGATTACAGGCCCATGCTACTACACCTGGCTTATTTCTTGCTTTCAGGAAGAAAAGGGAGGTTACAGTGACCCTTGTATTCCTATTTTTTTTTCTTTCGAGACAGATTCTCGTTTGTTTGTTTGTTTGTTTGTTTTTTGGTACTGGGGATTGAACTTGGGTCCTTTCGCTTTCAAGGCAGGCACCAGAACCACTGAGCTAAATCCCTGGCCCTCAGATTCTCACTATGTAGTAGATGCCAGCCTTGAATTCACTATATAACCCAGGCTGGCCTTGAAATCACAGCAATTCTCCTGTCTCGGCTTTCCTAGTGCTGGGATTACAAGCTGTGCACCACCATGCTGGGCTTATTTATTTTTTTAAATTGAGATAGGGTCTGGCTATGTAGTTCAGGCTGGGCTTAAACTCACTGTGTAGCTCAGGCTGGCCTTGAACTCATGGTTATCCTCCTGCCTCATCATCCTGAGTGCTAGGATTACAGCCCTGTGCCACCACACCTGGTCTCTGGCTTATTTTTTTCAAGTGACTTTAGCCCAAAATAATCTTTACACCAAAATGACCTATTGTGAGGCGCTGTGTTCTCCACCCTTCCTGGGTTTCTATTATACTTTGAACTACTTTACAAAGAGATTTTGAGGATTTATTAAAATATTTGTAGAGGACCTACTGTGTGGTAGGGACTCAGCTGATAGTCATCTATATCAGCTCTTATGTAAAGGGAGCTTATTATCTTGTCAGGTGCCAAGATATCTTGTTTAGTACGTAGGCTGCAAAAAAAAAAAAAGATGGCTCATATAACAGTGGCTTTTTTTTTTGGTACCAGGGATCGAACTTGAACTTGGGTCCTTGCACTTGCTCAGCAGGCGGCGAAACCACTGAGCTAAATCCCCGACCCCTAATAGTGGCTTTAAACAGAGAATTTTACTTCTCACAAAAGCAGCCCAGAGTTGATACAGCTGCTCTGTGAAGCTTGGGGACCTGGATAGGATGCTCTGCCCTTTTCTCTTTCTTCCTTTTCTTTTTCTTCCGTACTGGGGATTGAACCCAGGGCCTTCACACTGAGCTGCACCCCAGACCTTTTTATTTCCTATTTTGAGACAAGGTCCAGGATGGGCTTGGACTTGCAATCCTCTGAATCCAGGGCTTTCGAACTGAGCCATACCCTCACCCCTTTTATAATTTTTTTGTTAATTGTGAGACAAGATCTTGCTAAATTGCCCTGGTAGGGCTTGAACTTGCAATCCTTCTGTCTCAGCCTCCCAAAGTGCTGGGATAACAGGCATGTGCCACTGTGCCCAGCTCTGATAAACCCCTTATGATAAAAAAGAATACCAGAAGAGTAGTAAAAAGCAGGTGGCTTTTACCCTTTCTCAGTGAACTAGCCATGATGCAGAATAATTCTGGTACAGAAAGAGGACCTTCACTCCACTTGTGTCTTAGCCTTTCCCTAATGAAATATCACAGACCAAATGCTTAAACAGCAGTACTCCAGAGAATGAGGCTTTCCTTGGCAATTCAGTGAGAGACTACCTCGGAAACAAATACAGCCCTCAGTCCTTTTTTTTAATTTTTATGTTTTTGGTACCCAGGAATCGAACTCGGGTCCTTGTGCTTGCGAGGCAGGGGGCGGAACCACTGAGCTAAATCCCGGGCCCTTGGAAACCAATACAAAGGGCTGGGATGTTGCTGAGTGGTAGAGCCCTTGCCTAGCACGGGGACTGCCTGGGTTCAGCCCTAGAAGTAGAAAAATTTGCAGCAAGCCTCCTGTCTCGAAAGCGCAGGGTCCCGAGTTCGATCCCCGGTAACCCCCCCCCCCAAAACCCCCACATATTTATTTATCCTTTATATTATCCTCAGGATATCCCTCTCATATTTATCCTTCTCAGGCTTCTTTTTTTTTGATACCGGGGATCGAACTCAGGTCCTTGCGCCTGCGCCACTGAGCTAAATCCCTGGGCCTTCAGTTGCATTTTAAGCCATGGCTTAGGCAACCTGTTTAAGGTTTATACTAGGGAAGCACAGTATGATATTCTGTACAAACAGAGGTAGGGGAAACGGACGTCATGGAGACGGGCCCCAAGTTCCTTAGGGCGCGCATCAGTGGAAAGGAGAACGCCGGCCCGGCACGCAGCGCTGCCCTGAAGGGCGACCACGTTCCCTCTGCGCCGCGAGCCTGGGACCCGGAGGGCCTGGGTCATACGGGCAGGAGCCCAGGCGCGTCCTGGTTTCCGCGGGGCATCGAACCCGGGCCGCACATCTCGGCAGGCCCTGCCCCTGAGCGCCATCAGCAGCCCCTCGTACAGCGCTAAACAACTACAAAACCGAAAAGAAAGCAAACAAAAACCAAACCAAAAACCCAAAGTGAAAGCACGTGAGTTCCTGTGAAACTTGGGCATCTGTCCGCACTCCCCGGCAGGCTCAGGACCCCGCCGGCAGGAGGGCGCTCGGAACTCCACCGCGCACGGCCGAGGCGCGGAACCAGAGAAGCCGGGGTGGGCCGCCGCCGCCAGCTTCCGCTCGGGGACTGGGCGGCGCCGCGCTTGCGCAGGGTCGGGTGGGCGGTGCGCAGTGGGAGCTCATGTCCGGGCTGCGGGCCCTCCTGGGGCTCGGGCTGCTGGTCGCGGGCTCGCGCCTGCCGCGCGCACGAAGCCAGGCAGACGCGTGCCGCGCAGGACTCCCGGGCTGGGGAGCGCAGCTGCTGAGCTCGGCCGGCCGTGGGGACCCGGAGGCCATGGCGGGCAGGGCGGTGAAATACCTGAGGTAGGCGAGGCAGGGGGCGGACCGGCCAGGCGATCCCTCCGGGCGCGCGGGGACTCAGCTGCGGTTCCCATAGCCAGGAGGAGGCGCAGGCCTTGGACCTGGAGCTATTTAACGAGTACCAGTTCAGCGTGGACCAACTCATGGAGCTGGCCGGCCTGAGCTGCGCCACGGCCATCGCCAAGGTCAGGGCTCAGCTGGCGACCTCGGGGAGGAGCGGGGGGGGGGGGAGGCGCCGCCCGAGCCCCTCGCCCGAACCCGGCCCCAGGAGGGAGGGAGGGAGGCAGAGTGCCCGAAGCCCTGCCTCTGCCTTCAGGCCTATCCCCCCACGGCCCTGTCCAAGAGCCCCCCTGCCGTCCTGGTCGTCTGTGGCCCGGGGAATAACGGAGGAGACGGCCTGGTCTGCGCGCGACACCTCAAACTCTTTGTGAGTCCATGGGGGAACGGAGTCTGGGGCGGGCTTGAGACTGCAGGACCTGAGTGTGAGCTGCCGCTGTCCTTTTCCCCTAGGGATACCAACCAACCGTCTATTACCCCAAGAGACCCAACAAACCACTCTTTACCGCACTGGTGACTCAATGTCAGAAAATGGACATCCCTTTCCTGGGTGAAATGCCTTCGGAGGTGAGTGGCTTCAGTTCAGTCCCCTCTTCCCGGACCTGACCATGTTCTGCTCCCCGTTTGGGTGGAGCTCACGTACCCGGAGCCCAGCGCAAAAGGTGCCTAAAGGTAGTGGTAGAAGAGCCTCCTCTTCCATGAGTTATGCTTCACGGGTCCCCAACACCACCACCTCTAAAGCTCCCTGCCCTGGCCCTCCTTCCCTGCTAGTCAGATGTTCCTTAGTGTACAGGCTGCACGTGACCTGTTTCTTGGGGGCTGGAGTAACTGCCTCGTTCTAAATCTTTCTGCAGATGGTGAATTCAAGGTTGAGCAATCTAAGATGTATAATTTCTTACACATTTTACAGATGAAAATAATGAAGTGCAGAGAAATGGTTTGTCCTGTGTCACAGAGCTGAGACCAGAATCCAGCCCCCTAACACACTGCAGCCTTCCTGGTGGCAAGCAGGCACTCAGAACAGAAAATGAGTCTGGCTGGGCCTGGTACACACCTGTAATCCCAGCTGCTTGGAAAGCACAGGCAGTAGGATCACAACTTTGAGCCCAGCCAGGGCAACTTAAGACCTTGTCTTAAAACAGTTTAAAGAAAGTGTGGGAAGCTGGGGATGTACTTCATGACAGAGCTCTCCTGGGTTCCACAGTCCCTAGTACAGTACTGCCAGAACAGTGTCTAGACTTAGCCCTTCCTGAGTCAGTGGCCAGCTTCCCTTTCTCTAGACCTTAGGAGCCCTCTGAACGAGGTACCCCTGTACTGTGCCTGAGGGCTCCGTGGGTCAGGACAGCTCTCTGAGCAGCTACCAGCCCGACACCCTTTTCTTCCTCCCTGCAGCCCATGATGATCGATGAGCTGTATGAGCTGGTGGTAGATGCCATCTTTGGCTTCAGCTTCAAAGGCGATGTCCGCGAGCCATTCCGCAGCATCCTGAGCATCCTGAATGAACTCACTGTGCCCATTGCCAGCATCGACATTCCCTCAGGTGTGGGACCTGCAGGCTGGGGAGCACTGCCCTACCCTGTCTCAAGGCTGGTACCTAGGAGTCCTGTCTCTTGAGACACAGCTCAGACCAGGTCTAACATAACTGGAGTCTAGGTGGGCAGAATACAGCTTTCCAGATCTCATATTAGGGCTGGGGAACAAAGTTCAGGAGCCCCTTTCCATGAAGACTGAGGCCCAAAGGAGCGTGTTGCTCCTAGGCTGAGCTCATCACGATGAGATTTGGGCTCTGTTAGGACTGGCATGAACCAAAGTGTGGAAGGGGTCTAGATCGGTGACCTTTGCCATGCTTCTTGAATAATACCCTCTTTCCAGGATGGGATGTGGAGAAAGGAAACTCTGGAGGGATCCAGCCAGACATGCTCATCTCCTTGACGGCACCCAAAAAGTCTGCAACCCAGTTTACCGGTCGCTACCATTACTTGGGGGGTCGTTTTGTACCACCTGCCCTGGAAAAGAAGTACCAGCTGAACCTGCCACCCTACCCTGACACTGAGTGTGTCTATCGTCTGCAGTGAGGGAGGCAGGTGAGCCTGCTTCTCAATAAAGACAGTCCCCCCTCTCCCAGAACTGGAGGCCTCGGAGCTTTTCTGGCCTTATATTAGTGGGTGTAGGACTAGAGAGCAACACTGGAGATGTGGTGCTCTCTCCTTAAACAGAACAGGCAGATCGCTGTGGCGTTGGAAGCAATGAAAAGTAACTGTTAGATGCCACGAGGTGTGCTGTCCTTTACACACCAGTGATTCTTACCTGTTTGGGACAGATAGGGAGGTGGATGACAACTCTAAGCTGCATCCACTTGTACTGGCATAAGACTTCAGAAGGTGAACAGAAGGAATTCTTTTTTTACAGCAAAACCTCTATTGTTATATTTTAGGCATACATAACAGTAACACTCATCGTAGGGAACTTGCATTTGTACAGGATACATCTGCCTTTTTTCCCCATTACCCTGTTCCCCTCAAGTCCCTTCCCCTCCCTATGTACAAAAGCTTTGTTTCCATTTTTTTCCTTCCCAGAAGGAATTTCTTGAAAGACCCAGAAGAAAATCTCATAATTTGTACTCAGGACTTTCCCAGGCTGGGAATAGAGATGCATGTTGGGACCCACCTGTAGGCCAGGAACCCAGGCTGATGGTATTTGTTTATAAAAGTTAGAAACGGGCAACCTGTGAGCTGAATCTAGCCCACAAACCTAAATTTTATGTTGTTCTTAGCGTCACAATATGTAAAAGTCAAGACACTGCCATAAATCTACCTTTTCAGCCTCTTAGCAGGAGGCTCCCTCCATGCATTCCTCTTCTCGGTCCTCAGCACTCCTTGTCCCCAAGCTGCCTGGCTCCTGGAAGCGCTTGAAATACTGGTCTCTGGGTTTGGAGCTGCAGAGGGCTCTACATCCACGGCCTCAGCTAAGGCTTAGCACCACATGCTGCTGCGGGAGAGCTGTTTCCTCCTCTGCAGGGACCCCATGGAGGTGCACAAGTCCTGCAGCAAGGCGGGTCTCAAGGCCGCAGCTGGAAGGGAATCAGCCGAGCCCCACCTTGACTAGAGGTTCAGTGTCTCTGCTGTTTCTTCTTGGCCCTCTCCCACTCTGGGTGCTGCCGCCTCCTTTTCTCCTCTCTGCTCTCTGTTTCCCTAGTCGCACCGACCTCATTGTCATCATGTACACCCAAGGCCTCTTTCTCCTGACGCTGCTGTCTCTTCTGCTTGCTTCTCTTGCTGCTTCCCTCACTGTGTGTTCCCCTTCCTGCTTTCCTAGTCTCACTGCCTAAAGCTGTCTCCTGGCCTTCATCCTCTGTGTTCAAATCCTCTTCACGCTGCTGTCTCTTCTTGCTTCTGCACGGGTCTGTGCATGCCCTGCTCTCCACCTTTTCCCTGATACCCACCACTGCCTCCTTCCCTCTTTGCCCCTTACCCAAGACCCCTGTCTCTTCCTCTTCCTCTTTGTGATGCTGCCTCTTCTTTTTCTTCTTCTTCTGGGGAGGCTGACCAGGGTGTGCTCTGCTCTTCAGGTCCCCAAGCCCTGTAGCCCCTTCCTCCTCTCTCCCTACAGTTGTTCCCTCTCTCCCACCTATGACCTTTTCTTCTTTATGGTGCCTTTTCTTCTTGCTTTTCCCGATGCTCTGGTTAGTGAATTCTAGGTGCTCATCATCTAGGTGCTCCTGATTCTTTTCCGTTGCTCTAGCTTCTTTCTCCTCTTTCTGCTTCCCTTTCTTTTTCTTTTTTTTGGAGGGCTTGCTCTCATTCTGGGGTGGGGAGGGCCCTGGGTCCTGGCCTTTGAGACGAGCCAGGAAGGCCTGCTCCTGGGCCTCTAGCCGAGCAAGCTTGGCCTTCATTGTGATCCCAAGACGGGCAGCCCTGAAATGGACGAGGTCCCAGTCAGCATTGGTGCTTAGGGAGATGGGCCTGAGCTTCATCCTGCAGAAAGGTGAAGGCTGAGGTGGGGGCAGACACCTGCCTGTCCTCAGACAGCAGCTAGGTAGATGGCAGGAATTTCCCAGGAGGGAAAAGAATCAAAAGGTGACAAAGGCCACCCTCAAGGTTGGGCAGAAAAGAAAGGTGCTCGGGGAGGTGACCACACTTACTTGTGTGCTGTTCGGCCCTCACAGGCCTGGAGCAGCATCTCATCGGTCAGACTGTGGGGAAGATGAAAGAGTTACTGCAGATCTGTGGGGAGGGCTTGACCTGCCTCCCCTCCAGAATGTTTCTTTAGTACTGAGTTTTTGTTTAAGACTTGGCACTTTTCAGGTGCAATGGATACAAAGATCAGTAGAACCTAATTACACCCCGGAGAAGCCCAGTCAAGCATCAGACTTGGCCTTTCGCTTAGATTGAGGTTATCTCCTCCCACATGCCCCAGTGCTAAGAGGAAGGCTCACCTCTCTGGAGGCATGGGCTCCTGCCTGTCATCACTGCAGCTCTCCAAGTTTCTGTCAGGCTTCTCTTCACCTGAAGTCAGCGTGGCTGTCTACAGGGGATCAAAGGGGGCCCATGGGGGTGGACAAGGCCCGCTCAACACACTGACATCCTCTTCGCTTGTGGAAGCCCACCAGGAGTTCAGAGCCCTAGGCAGGGGTCTGCCAGCCCCTAGCTGTTCCCTGCAGAGCCACAGCAGGCTCGCCTCTGGCTCACAGCTGGCTGATGGGCACAAGCAGTTAAGTGTCTGGGGTCAAGTCCTCCCAGGGATGCTGTAGCTGACAATAAAGTGCTACTGTAACCCCCACCCAGTACCTGTCCACAGTACCTCTATTTAACTGGATTAACTGAGGCTCTGCAATGGCCAAGAAGCTGGGGATGCAGAGCAGAGTGAGAGGGATGTGGTTCCAGCCCAGGTGGAACTGCAAAGTGTGAAGAGATCCTGCAGTTACGAGGGAAGTGCTGCCTGTGGTACAGACGCAGGCCACTCAGACTGCAGGGTTTGTGGAGCGGTTTCTGGAAGTAACTGATGAGTTTCTTGTCTTGGAAGCAAGAAAGAGGTAAAGGGAGAGCAATGTCCCTGGCCAAGGGAATAACGTGTAGAAACACAAGGGTGGAAGAACACAGTGTCTTGAAAGAGACTGTTTGCCTGAGGTGTAGTGGTGTTGGAGAATATTGGCAAGATATGAGGCTGGAGAAGGCAGGGACAAAGCATGGAGGACATGTGAGCCAATCTGGTAAGTGGCCTGCCGTCGTCAAAGCAGCCAGTGACGATGGCTTTGGTGTTGGAGAGAATGCTCAGGCTGGGAATGGAGCTGTGTAGCAGAGTGTTTGTCTTGCGTACGTGAGGCCCTGGTGCAGTCCCCAGCACTGCCCCCCTCTGAAAAAAACCACTCTGGATGATGTTTGTTCTGTTTTTTGAGACAGGGTCTTGCTATAGTTCAGGCTGGCCTTGAACTCACTGTTTCCCAGGCTGGCCCCGAACTCACACTCTGGATGATGTCTGAGGGGTGAAAGGATTTGGGTAGCATGAGAGTAGTGAGGAAGCTATTTAAGGTTGATGATGGGGTAGAGTAGTGTATGACAACAGAGACACAGAGAAAGGGGGAGGATTTGCTGTGACATGTAAAGCCCTTAGCGTATGATCATTAAATGTTAACTTTTCTTGTCAGTTTGGTAAAGGTAAATCCCCAAGACCTGGGTTCCGGTTCTGTCTGCCATTACCAACTATGGGCTCTTCACAAGCCATGTATGGGAAATAAGGGTTGACTTCACGATTCCTCAGGTCTCATCTTTTGACCTAGACACCCATACCACCACCAAACCCACTCTGTCAGCAGACAGGAGGACAGCAGGGATCCATAGAACCCGATGATGTCAGTTCTTGCCAAGGCCCTGGCCAGTCTAAGCACAAGAAGAGGCACAGGATCTCAGTGTTCTGGGACAGTCCTGAGAATTGGTTGGCCACACAGCAATTGCTCAGACCCTGGGAGAGATGGGGGGGACTCTCTTCCCAGCCTCTGATACCTTCACAAACTTCTGATACAGCAAGTTGGGCTTGGGGTGATTATGCTGGGTGGTCTCCTTAGAAAGGCGCCTGATCTGTACTCCATCCTGTGGGAGAGCATCCGTGAGTGACCCGTATCTCCCCTGCCCTGCATCCCAGCCCTCAGGTGGGAGCCGAGGCTTCACATGGCTGCCTAGCAGCTCGTACCTGCCCAGTTTCCACCACCAGGTTAGCTGCAGTCTTGTTGAAGAGCTCATTCCACCAGTGGTTTGTAAACTCTTTGGCAGGATCGTGTCCCACCTGCAAGGAGTAAGTACAAGCTGAGTACCTGCTCCATATGCTCCCGGGGTTCCCTTTCCTGCCCATGGTCCCCAGCCTGCCCAGTCTTACCCCATGAGTGTCCTGCTTCAGTGTCACCTTGAGGGGCTGCGTGATGCCATTCTCCTTCCGGCCCAGCCCTTTGCCTTTAGAAGACAATGGGTGACTTGGCTTCTGTAGACTGAGTCCTCAAGGGCATCCCACACACCTAGCGCTGGGACATTCTCTGTCCCTTTAGGAACCCTCTCAGCACTGTTCCTTCTGTTTTGTTTTGGTTTTTGGTACCGGGGATCGAACTTGGGTCCTTGCACTTGTGCAGCAGGTAGCGAAACCACTGAGCTAAATCCCCGGCCCAGCACTGTTCTTTCTAGTATCACTCCACAAAGTCCTACTCTTTTTGAGCCCAGACTATCTTTCCTGTCATAACTCAGGGCAGAGGCCATGTCTTTTTTTTTTTTTTTTTTTTTTGTACCAGGGCTCGAACTTGGGTCCTTGTGCTTTTGAGGCAGTGGCAGAACCACTGAGCTAAATCCTTGGCCCCGAGGCCATGCCTTTTAATGTCTCCCCTCATCCAACGATTTCATTTTCCATCATCAAGTTTCTCCCAGATGAGTCAGAAAATTCTGCAAATTTCTATTTAAACTAGCTTTTCCTCCTACTGAAAGGACTACAGGAACTAACCCAGACTGACACAGGTTCTCCGGGACAGAAGCTAGGCAGGGAGCTGGGGGTGTGGGAGGCCCCCCCGGGATCACCTTGAGTCCATCCATGCTTTAGCAGCTGCTCCTCAGCAAACTTCATTCCTCGACTCTTGACCTCTGGGGTAACACTCATGGTGGGTGAAGAGGCTGTTTCTCAGGATCTCACCAGGGAAGGAAAGAATGTTGTCCTTTTCAGAGGGAAGGAGAAAGTGGCCAAAGCAGTCATCAGCCTGTCCTGGCTGGTCTGAAAGAATTCTCTTCCCTAAACCCTAACAATTCCCTGGGAGAGCCCTGGAGCCCTGGTCCTGGGGAGCTCCGTCTGGCCACAGGCCAACACCAACATGCTGGAGTCCAGGAGAACTGGTGTTCGTGCTGAGGCAAGCTCCGCACGTGACCTACTATGCCTAGGCTTTCCATGGATTTCATTCAGCCTTCCCAGCGTGTTCAGGAAAGTATCACCATCATCTGCTTTACAGATGAGGGAATTAAAGATGTTAGATGGCCTGCTCAGGGTAGAATTCCAGCCAGGCAGCTTGTCTGTAGAGCTCACACTTGTTACCACTATAGGATAACATCTCCCATAGTCTACTACCCTGTAAAAACAAAGCTATAAAGGGGCTGGGATTTAGCTCAGTGGTGCCGCCGCCTGCCTCGCAAGTGCAAGGTCCTGAGTTCGATCCCCGGTACAAAGAAACCCCAAAGCTATACGATGTTGGTTTGCCAGAATTCTAAGATGATGGCATTTAAGAGCCCACATCTTGTGCCATGCCTCAGCACTCTCACTCCTCTTGGTTGGGCGCCACACATTTCTCCTGCGTTGCTGCTGCGTTTTGCTCTTGTTGGGGCTCCCCTTCTGAAATTCCTGTTAAGGAAGGCCACTCACTGAGCATTTAATGCATAGCAGGTACATTCTACATATTGTCATCTCTTCTCAACAGTCCTATAAGATAGGTATAATTGGGGTGGGCGATTTAGCTCAGTGATTCCACCACCTGCCTCACAAGCAGAAGGACCTGAGTTCGATCCCTGGTACCAAAAAAAACCCCCAAAAACGTATAATTGTTATTTTACAAGTGAGGAAAACAAAGCCTGGGTTTCCTGCCTGAGGATACACAGCTAATAAAGGATGGAATTGTAATATGAGTCCAAATTTCCTGACTGCAAAGTGGGCCCTGGTCACACCACCAACCAGTGATGTTTCTTACAGTAGTAACTCACATGTTCCTCCTTTTGGATCCAGACTAGCAATGTACCATTTATACACTGAATCCGCCTCAGAAATTGTTAAGATGGTTTATCACACTAAACATTCAAAACTAAAACTACCAGTGTCGACTTGACTCGCAACAGTTTACTTGTGCTAAGATCTGTGGACATTTTATTTATCACAGGAATTGCAGACAACTGTTAAAGCTGACTAATGGGACTGCTGGGATAATTTGGTGGCCTCCCCAAAAGACAGCTAGGAAGGGTAAAACTTACACTTGAGTTTCAGGTCTGGTAGGGATCCTATTACAAAAAAAATCAGGAGTGGGGATTTAGCTTGGTGGCACCGCACCTGCCTCAAAAACACAAGGTCCTGAGTTTAATCCTTGGTACCACCAAAAAAAAAAAAAAATCAAAACGTGCCATTACAGTCACTCCTCCCAAAGATCATGCATTAGGTTTTAGAAGGGTGAGCAGTCCCTAGATACACAAGAAGCAGATAGCTCACACCTCTGTTTCATGTCCACCGTGAAGGAAGATAACCTGACCCCTGCAGAGCTCCAGCGGAAAAGCACCAACTGAAGAAAAGGCTCATCCTGCTGCTTTTATTTATTTATTTATTTTTGGTACCAGGGATGGAACTCAGGTCATTGCGCTTTCACGCTACTACTGAGTGGCGGAACCACTGAACTAAATCCCCAGCCCCATCCTGCTTCTTGATAGAGTAAGACAGAATTCAAACGGAGGCCTTAAAGGCCACAGCAAAACTGCCTCCTTTCAGAAGTCATCTGTGATCTATACATCCCTAGATTTCAACAATTATACAAATAACCATATTTAAACCGCCCATGGTGGCGCATACCTGTAATCCCAGCACTCTGGAAGGCTAAGGCACAAGGATTTCAAATTCAAACCCAGCCCAGCCACTGGCTCTGTCTCAAAATAGAAAAATGTTTAAAAGGGCTGGGGATGTGGCTCAGTGTAAAGACGGAAGGACTGGGTTCAATCTCACATACCACTTATTGAACATTTGCTTAACACCTGGCTGTTGCCAATTCCTCATCTGGATTATCTCATTTAAGTCTGTCACCAACACTATTATTATAGACAGCTGAGTTATGTAGAAATATAGGGAGTCAGATAGGGTCAGGTCCTTGAGAGTCAAGACCAAGGTGAAAAACATCACAACTGTGGCCAGAGACACATCTGTTGGAGACTGGGTCTCATGATAAAGATAACATGACCAGACCTGTATATTTCCTCAAAGGGCAAACACATGGCCTTATGAAGTCTAGATAGACATCAGCCATCTCAGTGGGTGACCAGGACCTCTGGACCCACCATTTCCTAGGAGAAGTCTTTGTTCTTCCCATCCAGACTTGTTAGGAAATAGTGATCCACTTGGGAAACAAGTACCTTATTGGGTGATCATTGCTATGGCCCACATTGTACCTATGTGGGTTTAACTCCATAACACTCTTCTGTAGGGTGGGGTTCTCGGCTACCCTCCTGCCTCTCAGGAGCTATCCTATCAATAAATATTTTCCTACTCTTAACCTGTTATTCCGAGAATTCATTCTTCGATCTCTAGAGAACACGAACTCGGTGTATCAGACATCTAACAGATTGGGAGATATAATATTTCATATTTCATCTCCGGTGTCATTTTCTGTATCACTATTAGGCTAGGGGGTGTTCTTGTCCATAATTTACAAATGTGGAAACAGGTACTGAGAGGTTTAGTTATTCCACAAGTCAAATAGCAAGTAGGGGATCGTGGGTCGGTACTCAGGCACTCCAGAACCGGTGTTCTTAATCACTACACTCCTCAGTCTCTTAAAGCTTTGTGCTCCTTCCTTACAGCTTATCCTTTGTCGCGATAATTCAAAGCGACACGTCCCGGAAGTCGGAGACAAGCTTTATTCCTCTGCCCCTGACAGTTAAGGCGGCGCAGTAAACTGAGAATGTGTTCCGTCGATATTTGTTGAAATGAAAAACGGGTAGGAATTGCCTTAAAGGTATTTCATGGAAAACTGAGGACAGAAGCAAGTAGGTCTTTCATACTGAGACACAGTCTTTGTGAAGGCTGCAAGCGCACTTTGAAGGCACTGCCTCCTCGCCTGTCAATCTGAGTTTCCAGGGGTGGTCCACAGCTACAGGTCTTACACGGTCTGAAAGCCAACTGCCCTTTCCCTAGGCCTCCTGTTAAGGTTTAAATTCCAGCATTCTTACTGCAGTGCCACTAGGGTAAAAGTACTCTCTTGCCCTCACTTTTGTTCCTGAGCCCGGGGGAAGGGAGCCCCTTACCGTCACTGCGGAGTCCTCTCCGCGGAAGCATGTGCCACACCTGACATGTGCGCCGCCATCTTCCCGGAAATGCCGTCCCGGTCTCTCTAGGCTGCTGAAACCATAGAGACGGCAGTGGGAACCCAAGCTGTAGTAGTCCAAGAGACACTAGCTGGGGCGCGCTGGCTGGCACGGTTGCCGTAGGAACCACGCCCTGGAAAGTATCTTTCCTGAGGTTCGGAGAAGAGGCTTTCTCTTCTCAACTCCAGAGCTGCCAGAGGACTCCATCCTAACTGGCCCCTTCAGGAGGCCGAGTGCAGCTTCGGAACCTACAATGAGCTGCTCCCGACATCTCCAGGAGGAAGGGAAACCAGGGAGGCCCGGCCCGGGCGGTGTGGGGGGCGTCAGAGGAGGAGGGGCGCCTCTGCGGTGATTTATAGGGATAAACGCTCAGCCTTCGAACAGTTATTTGGAAGACTGGAGAGCTCAGTAGGTTCATCGAACACTTTTTGACCCACCACTCCTACCAGGACCTGTCCCTTTGGTACTGGGGACACAAGGGTGACCGCGTCACGAGACCTATTTCGGGCGCACTGAGGCAGCCCGGGAGAGGCGAGACAGTGTGGAAGCGAGCTGCAGATCCCCGACCACGGGCGGAGGAAGGGCCGGACTTGCCCGGGAGCTGAGGGTCTGTGGAACAGGCAGGGAAAGAAGCCAGAGAGAGGGGCTGCACCTCCTCCACCCACACGAGCTGCTCCCGGGTTTCCGCCGCCCCGGAAAACCAAAACCAAAGAAGTGTGCTCACCCTGCAGTCCCGAAATGGTGTTTCTGTTCGCTTGGCGCCCTCTAGAGACCCCCAAGCAGAAAGTCCCGTTCAATCGGCTCAGCGTGGCCCTCCCCTTCATCCCCTGAAAGGTTTTTTACCTTCCAAATATTCTCACGTTGCATCTTGGTTACTGGGATTTTAGACGCTTGCTGAAGGCGCGTGGGTTGCCTCAATGGCATACTCGGAGACTGAATCCAAGAGGAGAGGATGAAGTCAAATCTGAGTCCTTTCCCGCTTTGCCACGAGTGTGACCTTGAACAAACCATTTGTCATGATCGAGTACCCTTTCTCTGATCTGTAAAATCAGAGTATTGCACTGGTTCCATTATTTTTATAAACTTGAGTTTTATGTGCTTCACGGACCGCTGCAAAAATGCCATAGATGTCTTCAATTTCCACCCCCGTCTCTTCTACCCCTTTTACCTGATATGTGTATAATATTATATATAATAAAGAAGATTAGAAACTCCTAAATGATGTCATTTCAAGGGCCCTTGCCAACCCAGAATTTCTGTGTGGCACACTGCAGGCTGCTCCCAAAACTGAACGGTGTGAATCTTTGACTGATAGTTAACTGTGTCAGTTTAAGAAAGAAACACCCAACTAAATTGGTAAGCATAGTTCTAGGTGTGGTTGAGGAGATTTACTGAAGATTCACTGGGAGGTACTGGGCGTGAATGACAGCAGCCAGCGGCCTTGCCGTCTAAATGATATAAAAGGGAAAAGAAAAAGGAGGGTTGCTTCTTTTCTTCAGAGGCGCCCTCCTCTTTGGACGTCATCTACTGGCTTCCAGCACAGACCCTTTGGCCTCCTGATAATGGACTCCCATGGGACACTATAGTGAGCTCCAGGCCTTCCACTGGATCCTAGGTTGAAATTCAGCTCTCCAAGGCGCAGACAGGCCTTTTGCACTCTTCCACACCTGACTCTGTGGGCAGCCATTGTAAGACAATCTTGTAAATTTTTTTTTTGGTACCAGAGATCGAACTCAGGACCTTGCACTTAAGAGCCAGGCAGCAGCACCACTGAACTAAATTCCCGGTCCTTGTAAATTTTTAGATATTGGTATACCTTGGATTAAATCTGCCTCTCTAAAAAGTATTGACTGATACAGACTCATAATTTCTAGTCTGGCCTAGGACCTTAGGCTCCCTGGTTCACTAAGCCTCACATATTAAGGAGGATCCTTATAGACCAGGGGTTAGAGGAATGTAAAAGTCGATCCTTTGTCCTTTCTGTCAGGCCTTATAGTCTTTGGGGATGTGAACAGGTTTCCAGGCATTTATATTTCTCAGTAATGAAGGTCAGCACACAGCACTTGGGAGTACAAGGAGAAGCATGTGACCCAGTCCAGGGCCCCTGGGAGCTTTCTGGGGGTGAGGAGGGACCAGGACTCCAGGCTTCTCCCTAAGCTGTGTGGGATTGCAAGAGGAACAGGCCTTAAGGAATTTGGAATTTAATACGGTCTCATGCATCTTCAGAAGGGTGGAAATAAAGGTCACTATGAGAAAAGAATATGTGGAAATGTATAAGGAAATGACCTGAAATAGTGATAATAAAATGTATAAAAATATGTATTACAGCAATATTTATAAAATGGAGAGGACTTCTGGGAAGATGGCAGAGCAGTAAGCAGCAACAAATCAGCCTCTCTAAGAACTGGAATCCAGACACGGAAAATAACAACTTGGGGAAGAAAAAGAGGAGGGGGGTGGATTCCTGGGACCCAAGAAGGATCTGAAGGGAAAATTGGAGCCTATAGAGACATTGAGACAGGCCACAACGCAGAAAAAGGAAGAGGCAATCTACACTTTGTCCCCAGCTCCTGACTTGTGGCAAGAGAAAGAAAGATTGAGTATATACAGACACAGTGAAAATGGTTGACTCCAGAGGCCTTCAGGGAGAAACACATCAGTGGAATGGAACTGTGCACAACAGCTGGTGAGTGACTCCAGCCAAGGTCTTCCATACCTCCTGGAGAGAGTGCCTGGTTGGATGCCATTTTAGGAAGGGGCCAACCGAACTCAGATTCAGAGCAGCTGTGGGTTGGCTTCATCTTAGGGCTCCTGGTGTTAAATTCCCACAGTGACCGGGTGAGGGACAACCACAGAAGACGTCCATGGTCAGGGGGCTGTGGTCAGGCCAGCAAGAGACACCAGAATGCTATAAGTTAAACAACTCAGACTCACCCTGATGACAAGAGGCCAGGTTCAACCTGAATTTCTGTGGAATTGAAAGACCCAGAGCCAGCACCCTGTCCTAATCCTATTGCTGGCTTGCTGAGATTATCCAGCACAAACCTGGGTTCCCTTGTCGACCATCGAGAGCAGAGTCATGCCTTGAATTGGACACTGCCACAAAACTGTAGACCCCAGATGATAGCCACAGGCTTGAAATCACAGAGAAATTTATTATTTATTTATTTATTTATTTTTCCTTTCTTTTTGTTTGTTTGCTTTTGGACTTTTAAAAAAATTTTGTTTGCTGGGGATTTAGCTCAGTGGTTCCGGTGCCTGCCTCACAAGCGCAAGGTCCAGAGTTCGATACCCAGTACCAAAAAAAAAAAAAAATTTTTGTTCATTTGGTTTCTTTTTTTTTTCTGATTGCTTGTTGTGTGTGTGTGTGTGTGTGTGTGTGTGTGTGTGTACACTATTTTGTTCTTGTTCTTGGTTTTTCCTTCTTTCCTTCCCTCCTGTCTGCTTACCAGTTTCCTGAGGCTTGGGTAATTGTCCCTTGTCCTTCAAGCTTGCTTCTAATCTGTTTTTCTTCTCTCATTTCTCTATTTTTTCCTCTTCTCCCTTGTAAATTTTCTCCCCTTACAGTAAAATCACTCTGCTGAGTGGATATTTACTGTATATAATTTTCTGATTTGTCTTAGATTTTTTATATAATATAAATCTTGTAGCTAGGGTTAAAAATGGCAAATTATTAGTTATCACAGTTTCTCATTTTCCAGTCTGTATTCGACAGTATTACTATTATGGATAGTACTATTTAACCAAGGAGACATAGTTGTGATCAGTTGATTGTTCTTGTATGCCAATACCTAAATTGTCTGGGGGTCCTAAACAATACTACATACTAGAGAACTGGGTGCTAGGCCAAATAGACTGCAACCTTTCATCCTTAAAAAACAGAAGAGGTGGAAACCTCTTCCTGCCTCCCTTTCCTTCCCTTCCCTTCTCTTCCCACTACCATAAGGAATTTACAAGCCTCAAGATGGAAAATAAATTAACAAAAAAAATATAGAAAATGAGAAAACATAGAAGCAAAATGCAACCCAACACCCCATATTCACCCAAGACAAACCCAGGGGGCACTGAGGTGGAAGAAATCAAAAGCCACCCAGCTGCAATTTCAGAAATGATAGTAGCAGAAGTAACAAAACAGATGGATAAGTCTCTTAACAAAACCAAAACACAAATAATCACAGATAATTAAAGAGATAACAGGGCCAGGGATGCAGCTCAGTGGTGCAGTGCCTGCCTGGCAAGCATAATGCTCTGAGTTCCATTCCTGCCCCCCCCCTCCTGAGAGAGAGAGAGAGAGAGAGAGAGAGAGAGAGAGAGAGAGAGAGAGAGAGAGAGAAAATATGACCATAATGGTGTCCACAAGTCTGGAGACTCCCGGGAAGATGGCTGAGTGGTGATCAGCAGAGAAACAGCCTTTCCAAGATTTCATGTCCAGACACTGGAATAGCAACGTGAGGAAGACAAGAAGGAGGGAAGTGATCTGAATCAAGAATTGAAGCCCACAGGGAGCTCAAAGAGTGAAACTTCAACGAAGAAGGAAGTGGCAGGTGATGCTTTCTCCCTGAACCCAGACTCACTGCATGGGAAGGGTGGCTCGCACCTGCAGATGTATGGTGACTACTGGTGACCACAGAGGCCTCCAAAGAGAATCACAGAGCTGGGGATTTAGCTCAGTGGTTTCACTGCCTGCTGCACAAGCGCAAAGACCTGAGTTCCATCCCCGGTACTAATAAAAAAGAAAGAAAGAAAGAAAGAAAGAAAGAAAGAAAGAAAGAAAGAAAGAAAGAAAGAAAGAAAGAAAACAAAGAGAACTGCACCAGTGGAATGGAGCAGTGGACTCAGGGGACTGCAGTGGCTGATGAGTTATATGGGTTCAGATGTCCCCCAGGAGAGGGCAATTGGCCGGTAGCCATCTTGGAAAGGGACCAACTGAGCTCAGAACTGAGAACAACTGCAGGCTGGCTCCATCTAGTGGCTCCAAGTGTCAGGGTGAGGCTGCTGAGTTCAAGTCAGCAGGAGGCACACAGACGGTTGCAGGCTGAACAAATCTGGTTCCAGCAGCCTGAAAAATAAAAAAAAGAAAGCAGCCTGAACTTCAGTGGAACTAAAGGTGCAGGCTTGCTGGGATTATCCACTACCCCACCATAAAGTTACAGCTGGCTTGCTGGGATTAATCAACTTGGATCTGGACTGTCTGCCCATTTGTCTACCAGTGACAGCAGAGACATGCCTTTAAGTGGATATTTTTTCTTATTTTTTTCCACTTTTCTTGGTTTTTGTTTTTTCTTGGGGTTTTCTTTGGAGGGGGTACCAGGGATCGAACTCAGGTCCTTGCACTTGCTCAGCAGGCAGTGAAACCACTGAGCTAAATCCCCAGCCCCTGCTTTTTCTTGTTTTTATATATGTAGACATTCTTACTAGTTTGTTGTTGTTCTGTTCCTTTTTTTGGTGGGGGGTGGGTACTGGGGACCGGATTCGGGACCTTGCACTTGCTAGGCAGGTGCAGTGCCACTGAGCTAAATCTCTGGCAGTTCTTTTTTTTTTTCCATTAAGTTTATTGGTACATTTTAGGTATAAAATACATTTACATTCATCATTGGGATCTTATACCTTTACATAAGTATCTTGGTTCTTATTGGCAGTTCTGTTCCTATTTTTATTTCTTCCTTTTCTCTTTCCCTCCTGTCATCTTCACCAGTTCCCCAAAGTTTGTGTGATCTTCCTTTGTTCTCCAGCCTTGCCTAATCTCTTCCTCTTCTTCTATTCCTCTATTTTTCCCCAACCCCTTTTAAATTTTCTCCCCCAAGGGTAAAATCACCATACTGAGGGCAGCCTGGTAGTAACCTATGTCTCTGCCTCATTACCAGGTCATGAAGAGCTCAAACTTGTGATCCTCCTGCCTCTGCCTCCCAGAGAGCTGGATTGCAGGTATGGGTCAACAGGCCTGGCCATACTCAGCCCGTAGGGAGTCACACACCAGAGACCTCCACACCAGTTAGAAGTGACCTGGGGAAGAGCAGGCAGGGGCCCAGGCTGTGAGGCTGTGAGGCCTATTATACTCTTCCCTCCCTCTCCCTCCCTCTCTGTTTGAGTTGGGAGGAAGCCAATCAGATGCGCAGGATCAGAGAATCCCTGCTGAGGAGACCGGCTAGTTGCGTTCTCTCATGAGTGACAGTTCCGGGAGGAGGAGGAAAGGGCTAGGGACAGGGTGCAGGGGCAGAAGACAGCTGATCAGACCCTGAGGAGCACTGGCAGCCCCCCTCACTATTAGTCATGGCCCGAGTGCAAACCTGCACAGAGGAGGCATGGGCGAAAGGCAGAAAGGTCCAGGCTGTGGGGGGTGGGGGGCAGCTCCAGTGGTGATGGTTTGGGAAAGTTGCCGCTTTTCCACCTCCTCGTCTCCATTTGGTGATTGAGAAAGTTCATGGACCTCGGCCCCCAGGCTGGAAGTATAGATTCTACAGATGCAAAGCTACTGGGGTGGAGCAGAGAAAAAGGGGGCGAAGAAGCTATCCAAAGCTCTAAATGGCCAGGGGTGGTGGTGCATGCCTGTAATCCCAGCACTCTGGGAGGCTGAGGCAGGAGGATCACAAATTTGACCTCAGACTGAGCAACTTAGTGAGACTGAGTCTCAAATAAATGAAAAAAAAAAGATGAAAAAGGGCTAGGGGAGGGCTGGGGATTTAGCTCAGTGGTTCCAGCACCTGCCTCACAAGCACAAGGTCCCAAGCTCAATCCTGGGTACCAAAAAACAAACAAATAAAAGAAGAAGAAAACTCACTGAGCTGTACACTAAGCTCTGTGCTCTCCTTCCTTCCTTCATTTTTTCAGTACCAGGAATTTAACCCAGGGTGCTCTACCACTAAGCTACATCCCTGGCCCTTTCTAGACAAGTTCTTGCTAAACTGCCCCAGCTAACCTCAAACTTGCAATCCTCCTGCTCCAGCCTCACAAGTAGCTGGGATGACAGGCATGCACCACCAGGCCCAGCCTGTGCACTTTTTGTATGCAAATTATTTCTCAGTAGAAAGGTTTTCAAAATGGATTTGGACCTCAGCAGGAATTCAGAGTTCCTAATAAGAGAGAGTTTAGAGAAAGTGAATTTCTCTAAAAGATTAAGAGATTAAGGATTAAGGACAATAAGGACTTCCCTTGCTTTCTCCTGAGATTATGCGCCTGTGCTGAAGGAGGAGGTGGGACGCGGGGCTGAGTAAGAGGCCTTCATTTAGAGAGCCCCCGTCCCTTCCCTGGGACAGAGAAGTCCCTCTCTTAACTGCCATCTCTCCTGCAGCCACCCTAGCCACCCCCTCGATCCCCTGGCCTCAGACAAAATCTCCTCAAGCCCTTGCAGTGGGAGAACTGGGAGGTGCATGTCTGCCCTGGCCCCCGCTCCCTGGGCGTCCACTCCCGGGGAGCCCCCCGAGGGCCTTTCCGGTGCTGTGTGCCAGCCCGTCCCGCATCCCACAGCCCCAGCTGTTGACATTTCGTTGCCTTACCCACGGGACAAAGAAAGGGGCCCTGTTATTCAACAATAGGGAAAAAGACAGAGACAAAGGGAAATTGTGCTTCCGATGGGGTGGGTACAGAGAAGGAAAGGACAGACAGCCGAGCAGACGGGGCTGGACAGAGGGCACCAGGTTCTGTGAGGCAGCTGGGAGTCCTGGAAGTCACTTTCCACCTTGACAGCCTCTCCCCATAGGCGATGCGCACCCAGGGCCCGGGGAGCAGAGGTGAGGATGCCGCTGGGGAGGGAGGGCAGGTGCTGCCTGGTGAGGCCCATGAAGCAGTGTCAGGGCGGCTGTGGGTCTCTGAGCCACAGTCAGCATTCTTGCCACCCACACTGGTGTCCCCTGTGGTCCCCCAGCATCTGGCAGCGGCAGGCACTGCTTTCTGGGCCTTCTAGGTTGCCATCTTCACTCCTCTTCCACCATGGGCTCTGGCTCTCATCCCCAGCTCAGCATCTTCCCCTGGTCCCAGGGCCCGGAACTCCACAGAGAAGCCCCGGGGCTGGACACGGTCCCTTAGCCTGGCGTGCTGCACCGGGACGGGTATTCCCGGCACCTTGGCTTCCTCTTGGAGCGCAGGAGCGAAGGCTTCCCTCACAGGTGTAAAGGGAGCCACCACATTGGTCACCTAGGTGCTCAAGTCCCTGGGCTTTAAAGTGCCTGGACGTCCCAGGAGCCTGGACAACACCTTCACCTGGAAACTTCCCTTACGCAGGACCGAAGGCTGCTACGCATCGCTCCCTTCGCCTCTGGGCAGGGACCAGCTTCTAACAGGTAGGCCACGCAGCTGCTGGCTGCAATATCATTTTCTGCAAGGGTACGAAGATGATGTAGCACTTGCTGAGAAATACAGAAATACAGATCAATGGTTAAGAGCTTAGGCCTAGCTGGCATGGTGGTGCAGTCCTGTAATCCCAGCACTCAGGAGGCTGAGGGAGGAGGGCTGCAAGTTCAAGCCCAGACTGGGCAGCTTAGCAACTTAGTGAGACCCTGTCTCAAAATAAAAAATTAAAAAGGCCTGGGGATGGAGTTCAGTGGGAAGGCCCTGTTCAATCCTCAGTACCAAGGCTAGTGAGGTGGGGCAAGAGCTTAAGCTGTCAGATATGGATTCAAATCTTACCAGCTGTGTGATGGCACTATAGTTTCCTCAGCATGTGCACCTCTGTTTCTGCATGGTATGTCTCATGCCATTTATCAGTTCCTACCTCACACCAGGAGAAATGATATAAAAACACATAGGTGAAGTGTTTGCAGCAATGTCAGGGATGGCAGCTTTCACACATGTTAACGCCAGCTGTCCTTATAGGTGATTCCCGAGTCCATTTCAGTCCCTGCAGTCTCACTTCCCAGGTTTCCTGTAAAGAAGTGATTGTCACTCATTTCCTGTCCCAAGTACTCTCTCCCTTAATAACTGGGAAGTTTATTTTTTGAGACAGGGTCTCACTATGCAGTTCAGATTGGCCTTGAACTCACTGTGTAGCCCAGGCTGACCTCAAACTCACAGAAATCCTTCTGCCTCAGCCTCACGAGTGCTGGGATGTGTGTGCCTCCATACCTGGCCACCACTGGAAAGTTCATACTGTGCCTGACCTCAATTTCTCCTGCTGCAAGCTGGCCTTGGCTTGCATCTGCAGGAAGGTGGGGCTCAGGTCTTTAGATTTCTAGTTATGGCCCATCCCCGGGGTACTGAGATTGAACACAGAGCCTTCTCACGGAGCTGCATGCCCAGTCCTTTCTGTTTAATTTTATTGTTTTGGTACCAGGGATCGAACTCGGGTCTTTGCGCTTGTGTAGCAGGCGGTGAAACCACTGAGCTAAATCCCAGGCCCTGGTGATTTTATTTTTGAGACAGGATCTCACTAAGTTGCCCCAGTTGGGCTTGAATTTGCAGCCCTCCTGCTTCAGCCTCCTGAGTGCTGGGATTACAGGTGCGTACCACCATGCTCCACTCTTGTCATTCTCAGGGGAGTCCTCTCTCCTGGCACCCAGCTCTCCTTCCCAGAAGTCCTTAAAGTGAGTTCATTCACAAAAACACTCACACATCAGCTTGCAGTTCTGTGTCAGAAAGGACAAGAGGACTGGAGATAGGACCACCACATCCAAAGCCCCAGACCCTGCAGGCACAGATGTTGTGAATCCGTCTAACTCTCTGAGTCAAGAGGGAATTGTGCCACTGCTGCCCAATGACACTGACCAGGACACCGAGGCAGAGAGGCTGAGTAACTTGCTCAGAGTCATGCAGTAGGGTGTGGATGAGCCAGGTTTGGAAAATGAATAAAACCAGGGCAAGGGATTCTTGGCCCATTTAAACATAAAAATCAAAGTGCTATGAATAGATCCCATCACCGGGCCTGGTGGTGCACGCCAGTAATCCCAGTTACTCAGGAGGCAGACGCAGGAGGATCACAAGTGTGAGACCAGCTTGGTCAACTTAGTAAGACCCTGTCTCAAAATAAAAAATAAAAAGGGCTTGGGATGTAGCTCAACAGTAGAGTGCCCCTGGCAAAAAAAAAAAAAAAAAAAAAAAGAAGAGACAATAAAGAAGGGAAAAGGAACATGCTGCCAAAACAGACAGCTGCAAGGGAAATAATTTTTAAAGTAAGTTTATAATTTTATATTTTACAATTTTTTAAAACCCTCATAGTCCACATGTCATATTACTTTCAAATCACACTATTCAGGTGCCAATAAAAGTCCTTTTCTGGGTGTGATGGCCATGCCTGCCTGGAATCCCAGGATTCTTAAGGCTGAGGTGGGAGGGTCCACCCCATGCTGGGTAACTTAGGGAGATCCTGTCTCAAAATTTAAAAATTTAAAAGGCGGAGCCCGCCCCACACTGCACGGAGGTGGGCTTGAACCTGGGCTGTTTTGGACCCTCCCGGGAGTCCAGATCCCAGGGCAGAGGGTGGGGTGAAGGGCAGCGAGGGGTGATGTTGGACATGAGGGAGAACCTGGATCGCTGGGATTCTTGGAAGTCGCGGGTAGGGGGTTGAACTGGATCCTCAGGGCCATGGGGAGTCACTGTTTGGAGTGGAGGGTGACAAGATCAGGTTTACTCTGGAGAAGGGGCGGGGGCGAGGGCAGGACTAGAGTTGGTTAAATCAGGACCCGAAGAGCCAGGGGGTGCGAGCCAGGGCCTCAGGTCAGGTCGAGAGGGGTTGTCGCTGCCTGTCCCACCATTACCTTCTTGTTGTCACCCTTGGTTTCCCGCTGCCCGGTCCCCTTCAGGAATTCCCAACGGGGTGACCCTTACCCTGCCCGCTCTTCCCGCCCTTCCTTCCCCTCAGGGCTGACACCCCACCCTCGGCGCCCCGCAGGCCCCGCCGGCAGCCCATCATGCCAGGCTGGCTCGCGCTGCCCGAACTCTGCCGCTTCCTTCTCCCCTGGGTGCTCGCCCTCTCCCACAGAGCGCTGGGGGACCCAGGTAAGACCCAGGCCGGCCTGGACGCGGAGCACGCGGGGCTGAGGCTCCGGCGGGAGGTGCGGAGGGTAGGCAGCAGCCGCAAGTACCCGGAGCGCGGAGTCTGCGCGGAGGGAGCAAAGGGGCGGGATCTGGGCGGGCAGTGAGAGCCGGCGTCCCTGCCACTGAGGCCCCCTCTGCCCAGCCCTCCACCCGGGCCCCCACTACCTCCTGCCCCCCATCCACGAGGTCATTCACTCTCGTCGTGGGGCCACGGCCACACTGCCCTGCGTCCTGGGCGCCTCGCCTCCCAGCTACAAGGTGCGCTGGAGCAAAGTGGAGCCCGGGGAGCTCCGGGAATCGCCGATCCTCATCACCAACGGGCTGCACGCCCGGGGCTACGGGCCGCTGGGTGGGCGCGCCCGACTGCGGCAGGGCCACCGGCTGGACGCCTCGCTGGTGCTGGCGGACGTGCGCCTGGAGGACGAGGGCCGCTACCGCTGCGAGCTCATCAACGGGGTGGAGGACGAGAGCGTGGCGCTGAGCCTGCGCCTGGAGGGTGAGGCTTCCACCCGAGCCCCTGCCCCCGGGCCCCTGGCCCCGCCCGACCCTCCCGAGGCTCTTCCGCCCCCAGGTGTGGTGTTTCCGTATCAGCCCAGCCGTGGCCGCTACCAGTTCAACTACTTCGAGGCGAAGCGGGCGTGTGAGGAGCAGGACGGGCGCCTGGCCACCTATGGCCAGCTGTACCAGGGTGAGAGCCGGGCGGTCGGGGGCCGCGGGCGGCGCGCGGCCCGGTCTGACTGTGCTGTGGCGCCCCCTCCCGGCCGCAGCGTGGACCGAGGGGCTGGACTGGTGTAACGCCGGCTGGCTGCTCGAGGGCTCCGTGCGCTACCCTGTGCTCACCGCGCGAGCCCCGTGCGGCGGCCCCGGCCGGCCCGGCATCCGCAGCTACGGACCCCGCGACCGCACGCGCGACCGCTACGACGCCTTCTGCTTCACCTCGGCGCTGGCCGGTGAGCAGGGGTGGAGACCCGGGGGTGGCCTGGGCCGACCCGCCCACCGCGCGGTCCTGCCCCATTCCCCGCCCACCTCGCGGTCCTGCTCCGAGCCCCGCCCCATTCCCCGCCCCGAGTCCTGAGCCCCGCCCCCACTCTCCCGCCCACCGCGCGGCCCCGCCCCATTCTTCGCCCACCGCGTGAGGCCCGCCCTCATTTCCCGCCTACCCCGAGGCCCCGCCCCTACCCCGCCCCACTCCGTTAGGGCCGTGCCCTATCCCCCCCGCCCGCCCGCTCCCCCTCTCAACTCCCCCAGCCCTCCTGCCCCGCCGGTTCCCCGCTGTCCCCGCCCGGCGCTCGGCGGCCCTTGACTTGCTGCGTCCCCAGGCCGGGTGTTCTTCGTGCCCGGGCGGCTGACGCTGTCGGAGGCGCACGCGGCGTGCCGGCGGCGCGGGGCGGTGGTGGCCAAGGTCGGCCACCTCTACTCCGCCTGGAAGTTCTCGGGGCTGGACCAGTGCGACGGCGGCTGGCTGGCGGACGGCAGCGTGCGCTTCCCCATCGCCACGCCGCGGCCGCGCTGCGGGGGCCTCCCGGACCCCGGGGTGCGCAGCTTTGGCTTCCCCAGGCCCCAGCAGGCGGCCTACGGGACCTACTGCTACGCAGAGACGTAGGCGCCGCCCAGGAGCGGAGCCGGGTCCCGCGCTTCCCGGAGGGACGGTGGGGGGGAACCTGGGGCTACCCGGCAGCCGGTATGGAGGCGATCGAGGCCGCGGCGGAGAACGCAGCCGCCGCTAGGGGGCGAGAGGGGCGTCCGGGCATTCACTGACCTCTGCGCGCCCGCCGCAATAAAATAACGTGGCACCTGCTGTGGCTGATGGAGCTGTGAAGCTCGGAGGTAGGGGTACGTGTGCGAGGAGGCTGAGACCCACAGCGCGAGTGCGCGCCCAAGAACCCTGGGGCGGGGGGCGGGGGGCGGGGACCGGACACCAATAGACCAGGGACTCAGAAGAGCTCAGGCTGTCGTTGCTCCAGGCGCCACGCGGGGACGCCGCACACTCACCGACCTGCCATTGCCCTAGTTCAAATCTTCGAGGAGCATTCCTGCATGGACTCCTCTGGGTCGCACAGAACAAATATGCCACAGACCTAAACGTATTTCAAAATGTGTTTGTGTCCTGCAAGTTTCCCAGAAGCGTTTTCAGGGACTGTCGTTAAAGCTAGGAAACTCATAGGATTGTTACAATAAAAAAAGAAATTAACCCTGCTGAAAGAGGAGATAAACACCAAACACGTGGCCACGTGGCAAAAGGGTGCTGGACCGATAACAGTAAACACACACCCAAAGGAGACACACTGGTAACTCCAGAGACAAACTGGAAACCAGGCGTGGTCGTGATCCTAGCACTTGGGGAGGCTGAGGCAGGAGGATAGAAACCTGGAGGCCAGCCTGGGTTACATAGAGAGACAGAAGTCTAACGTCATTAACTCACTTTCCTATGCATATTTCGTGTGTATATACATAGAGTCTTGCATGACTTAGTGAGCATATGTTCTGAGAAGTGGTCTTGGGTGATTCCGTGTATATGGACATGGTAATACGGTGCACCCTTGACATGAACTAGATCAATTCCCGAGGGCTGGTTGTAACTCAAGTTGTTTGTAAGTCAATACAGCTGAGATCTAGATGTTTACCTGGGTACACACTATAGATAACCAGAGGCAGGGCCAGGGATTTAGCTCAGTGGTTCTGCCTTCTGCCTCACAAGTGCAAGGACCCAAGCTTGATCACCGGTACCAAAAAAAAAAAAGAAAAATAGATAACCAGAGGCAGATGAATCTTCCGTTAACCTAATTAACCCAGGTTGTTCGTATGTCAGGCCGGTCGTAACTTGAGGGTCCACTGTACCTAGACCTTGTGGTACCGCCTATGACTCCTAGACCATGCAACTGCTCTGGCAACTGTAATACAATGGTATTTGTCTTAGTGACTTTTTTCATTGCTGAGACAAAATAACCCAATACCTACAAGTTAAGGGAGAAAAGGTTTATTTAGCTCAGTTTGCAGAGGTTTCTGTCCATAGTTAGCTGCTCCAAGTCAAGCATGGCAAAGGGGCATCACGGAAGAGAAACAGTTTGTGACAGACAGAAGGTGACAAAGCAACAAGGGACAATGCTGCAAACCAGCTGCAGTTGATGTCGATGTAGGGTAGGAAGGGGAGATGTCCTGGGCCAGCGATGAGAAAAGAACCTTCACAAGCAATGTTCAGGTTCCCTCTGAAAAGTCTCAGGGTCTGATTTATTTTTATATCTTTAAGCAATGGCTAGGAGGCACTGGGCGGAACATGTTTACATTTTAGATTGCCTTAGCAATTTCTATTGAAGTAAAGGTTATTTTTTGCTAAACAAAGTACAATTCCTCTAAGCTGTTTCATTTCATTGAACGTCACAAATACATATTTAAAAATTACAATTGTCCCCTTATTTACCCACACCTAAACAGAACAGAAAGTAACTTAATCAAAATCTTTATATCAGTGGGGGTACAAGCAAGATTTAATCAACTAAGTGTCAAACTTGTGATCACCAGCTGGCCCTTGAGAAACTGCACAATGGTTAATATAGTTTGCTATTAGCTCTCTGTTTTTCTATACCTCTATTCATCTTAACCAAATGTCATTTAGGTTCATAGTCCATGAGCAGGAGATATTTACAGCTTGAGTAACTTGTCTAGTTAATGCATTTACCTGTCTTAACGTTCTTTCTATTTCCCACTTTCCACTATTTCTTACATCTAAAGTCTGTCCTTTCAATCTCTTCATAAGACCCCTTTAGTAAAAAGAATGTCAGCAATAAGAGGGGGAGTCATAGTAGTGGGGAAACAGAGGGGGTTTTAGGAGAGGTTTTTTTAGAAGTGGATGTGGCAATAGAACTAAGAGAAACTGGAATTTGGGACTTGTGAGCCAGATCAGATTTCAATGTATCATTACCAATTTGTCTCATGGAGAGTGTTGTTAGTCACAAACACAATGACTCCTGTGATCAGAGTAACAATTATAAACATTATGGCAAGAAAAAATAAAACATGAGGGTACGATGTGTTCCACCCTTTCTTTCCCCCACCGGGAACTTTGTCAAGCAGCATTGGAGGTCGGTTGGGCTTCGCCAGGACAAGACAAGCCTCTTCTGTCCCTTATACTGTACTCAGGCTACTGAGATTAGGGCAGGGCCAAACCAATCAGTGGACTGATTTAGTAATCACACACCCTTAATTCTAGCACTCTTAATCCTAGCATTGCACCATGAATCAATTACACACTTTAAATCCAGCCACCTCTGAAAACCCCCCAGCTACGACTGCATGGGGCTTTGGGAGACATCTAGACAGCCATAACAGTATTCGTGCATTCAAATGCAGAAAAGGCACAGTTAAGATGTGGTAGAGATGGTGCCTTGTACGTACCCCGAGTGGTGAAGTGAGTGTGGAAGCCCAGGATGTTTCTGTGCACTGCTGTGGACTTTACACAGGCCACACCTAGCCTGCACTGAATTGATGACCAGTATTTTCCTTCGGTAATAAATTAACTTCAGTTTACTGTAACATTTTTACTTTATATGCTCTTGATAATTTAAACATTTTGACTCATTTGTAATAACAGCTTCAAACACAAACATGTACAGCTGTACAAAAGTAGTTTTATACCCTTGTTATATAAGCTTTTCTATTTAAATTTTATTTTACTTTTTAAACTTTTAAAAAAATTAAAAATCAAGATGCAAACACACACATTGGCCTAGGCCTACACAGGATGAGGAGTGTCAGTCTCTGCCTTCCGCCTCCACATCCTCTCCCCCCGGAAGGCAGTGACAAGGTGCCTGTCACCCCCATGACCACAGCTGTGGCTTCCCTCTGGATCCCTCTTGAAGGACTGAGGCAGGTCACTCTTCGGAAATATGCCCTTAGTGGGCTGGGGATTTAGCTCAGTGGTGCCACCAGCTGCCTCGAAAGCACAAGGTCCCAAGTTCAATCCCCAGTACCTCAAAAAAAAAAAAAAGAAGAAAGAAAGAAAGAAATATGTCCTTAGTTGTTTGCTTCTCTCTTTTTTTCTGTCATAGATTTTTCTTGTAGGCAGATAATGCGATGAAAACTCTTCTCTATTAAGGACAGCCTGTGGGTTTTCAAACACTTGTAAGGAGCTTGTTGAAGTCTGCAACCGCTTCTGCTAAATCTTCACTGTGAATTTTCTTCAGGGTTCTATTTCCCCCTGCAGTTTCTCTTTCTATTCTCCAGCCGTGTGTTCACTGCAATAGGAACTTTTCAGCTCTATTATAATCTTACAAAACCATTGTTTACCTGTCCTGAGCCAGAGCATCATTATGCAAACTGTATCTACTGTTTAGGTGACCTAACTACACAAAAACCTGGGCTACAACAGTAATAAGTGGGGCAAAGGGTTAAATATTCTAATGGTGAAGCTGTTTTACAAACAGGAAATAATTGCTACATTATTTTGCTAAAGTCAGTTCATCCGCTGTGGCATAATATGAGTGCAGGGAATGGCAGAATGAACAGCATCAACCACAGGCAGGATATTTGCTGAAGTTTGTAAGCTTTGGTTTTCCCCTCTTGGCCAGGGGATAATAATGGCTTTTTCCTGAGGATTAGCAGAGATGTTGCATGTACTGGGTAGAACATCGGGGGCACTCAGTCAAGTGGAACCTATGATTAAAATCATCATTTTTACGATAATATGCCAGGGAATGGTCATTGTTTGATGACGTGGTACAGCTGGCTGCTGGGAAGCAGGGTCTGACGGAGGAGGTGGGGTCCCTGGAGCGTGTCGAGGGAGGTTTATCGCCCTCTCAGCTCTTCTCTCCTCTGTCTGTTTCCAGGCTGCCATTCAGTGAGCAGCGTCCTCCACAGCCTCTGTGCTAGGCCATCCGTGCACCGACTGAGGTGACTGAAGCATGAACCACAACTAGCTCTTTCTTCCTTTAAAAAATAATAATTGCTGTTATTCTGGATCTTACCAGGCAGTCAGCACTGGTATTAGTCAGGAACAGCTACATTATGCTGTCAAAACAAACAACTCACACGTCTCTCTCTCCAGTGCTGAAAAACTCCTCTCAGGACAAGAGGGGAGGCAGCTCAGCTCGGGGCGTCTGCTCAGTAGGAACAACGCTACCCTAGGCTCACTGCTCACTGTTCAGAAGTAGCACACGGCCCCACCCAACCACACGGTGGCAGGAGAGAGCAATCCTACTTTGGAGTCCAAGTAGGAGAGCTGGAACTATGATTAGCAGCACCAGGTCCTGCCACAAGCAGAGGAGGGCAGGCTAGATTCCTGAACATACTGGTCACCTGCCCGCCCACCCCTTCCTGGGCAAGCCTGCACCCCCCTCACCCCTCACTACCTGTTTCTTTCTCTCCTTCTCTGTTTCTTTGTTTCTGTAGTACTGGGGACTGACCCCAGGATCTTTGCACTGAACAACCTCCCCAGTTCTTTTATAGTTTTGTTGTTTTGTTTTGTCTTTGTTTTTTGAGGTAAGGTCTAACAAAGTCACTAAGTTGCCCAGGCTGGCCTCCAACTGCTGATTTTCCAGACTCAGCCTCCCAGGTAGCCAGAATTACAGCTATGGCCCGCCATGGCCAGCTTTCTTTATTCCTTCTGTGGCTTTTTGTTGGTTGAAGAATCTGGGCCAGAGCTGGGCCGGGTGGTGCACAGTTGTTATCCCCACAACTCAGGAGGCTGAGGCAGGGCCTGTGAGTTTGACTCAGCCTGATGGACTTAAGGAGACACTGTCTCAAAAACATAAACAAACAGCCGGGGATTTAGCTTAGTGGTTCCAGCACCTGCCTCGCAAGCGCAAGGTCCCGAATTTGATCCCCGGTACCAAAAAACAAGTTTAAAAAGAAATATATAAACAAACAAACAGACAAGTAAAAGGGCCAGTTCTGGAGTCCAGAAGGCTAACACTGTGGTGTCAGCAGGGCCCACTCCCTAACACGGTCAAGCTTCCAGTGACTGTTGGGACCCTTGGCGGAGTCACCCCCATCCCTGCCCTGCGGTTGCTGTGCCTCCACCTCTGCATACCTGTGTCTCCCCCGTCTCTCATGAGGACGCCTGTCCTTGGATTTACCCCACCTGGTTAACCCAGGATGGCCAGAATTAAGGAGTATGCTCATGGAATGTGTCTGCAAAGATGCCTTTTCCACACAGCAATGTTCCCGGGTTCCACAGAGGAAAACATGGCCACCATTGGACCCCTGTACCGACCTGTGCTTTATCCCATGGTTACTGATGAGCATAGTCTAGATCCATTATTTCATTAAGAGTTACAGAATGGAGATTTTTTTGAATATTGTCATTCCTACTTTGTCTATTAGTTGGGAATCATTTATAAAGACAAATCTCCCAGTTCAGCATAATTACATACTTATAATCCCAGCTACACAGGAGGCTGAGGCAGGAGGATCACAAATTTGAAGCTAGCTCAGGCAATTTAATGAAATCCTTAGCGCTGCTGCCTGCCTCGAAAGCACAAAGTCCAGAGTTCAATCCCTGGTACCAAACAAACAAACAAAAAAATTAATGAGATCCTGCCTCAAAATAAATAAATAAAGGGCTGGGAATGTAGCTCCATTGTAGAGCTTTCCTGGGTTCAACTCCAAGTACCCCCCTCAAAAAAATTCCCTCAGCAGCTGTTTTGTCACCCTGACATGTAACCCACTTAGAGACGACAGGATGAATGCTTCACTGGTCTTAGGTAGGGGTCCCTGAAAGTAGATCTCCAGTCAGGAATCTGAAGATGCTTGGCTTATTTGGGGGTGGTGTTCATAGGCATGGGAAGAGGGCTGGAGAGGAGGGAAGAGAAAGGGAAGGAAGCCAGCTGGGTGTGGGGAAGCAGGTGGGCAGTGGGGGACAGCAGGAGCTGCTCGGGGAGGCTGCTGAGCACAGAGGCCAGTGTGACAGTCACCTCCAGGGCATTAACTCAGCATTGCTGGCTTGTCCTGAGCGCAAACACCTCCTACACCAGAAAAGGCCCCAGGTAGAGCTGCAGGCGTCCTGGAGCCCCTGCTCCGGACAGGTGAGTGCCCAGGAATGCGGCTCACGGGCCCTGCACTGCCCAGATCCTTGGCGCTGGTGTGGTGCCATTTGTCCTGTCACTGCTGCCGCAGAGTGGTGCACAGTGCAAGTTCTGGTTCCTTACAGCAGTTCTCACAGCAGGGCTCAAACCACAGGAGCGTTGCCGCCTTGTCCATAGGGCTGTGTCACACATTGGCCTCCCTCAGCTCCCTCTGGCGCTCTATGGAGCTTTCCCAGGGGACAATCCCACCTTCATCCCTCTCACTGCCAGGCCCCCGCTGCTTTACGGCCTGCTCATGGGTGCCCTGTCAGCACAGCCCCTCTCTTGCTACCAGCCGGCTGGCATGAAGTGCCCCAAACTGCCCCATGATCTCTGCTTGTTGCATCCTCCGCCCCAGGGACCAGGGCTCCTGCAGCGCCCAAATGTGTAGGAACTGGAAGCACAAGTTCCCTAGTGGGCCACCAGGACGGCCCCTGGGTCCCTGTACCCATGGTTTCTAGCCATCTTGGACAAAGCAGGGTACAACAGCTACTGACTCAAAATGTACTCTGGGTTGTGAAGGAGGGCAAGAAAATCCCAGAGGACCCTGCTCCCCTGCTGATTTTAGACGTGCTCTGAAAGAGCCGCTGTAATGTACCACTAAGCCGGCAGCTTCAGGGTGATGTGCTACAGTGTAGGGCTAAAGGATCCTGTGCGACATGCCCATTGTCACCCTTCCTTTATGGGGCAGTGAACCATTTTGCTTGGAGGGGATACACTATAAGCAATCTCATGAGAATAAGTATCACTTTGTGCCCTAGACACTGGCCAAAGCACTAGGTCAGTGAAGGCAGATCCATATCAGAACAGCACTCACCCCAGGAAGGACACAGGGTTCCCCCTCCATACTGAAAGAGAAACATAACCCACAGACGCCCAAGTAGCTGGTCTCCCTTAGGCCTTGGACTCACTATGTAGCCTAGGTTGGCCTGAAACACACAGCAATCCTCCTGCCTCAGCCTCTGGAGCGCTAGGATCAGAGGCGTGCGCCACCATGCCCAGCAGCTACTGGGTCTTTCTGACATGACCTCAACCTGAGTTTCCCAACTTCTTTGTTCTCAAGCATGACACACTACCCTGACCCAGACCTGAAATCCCTCGAAAGAGTCCTTGTTCCTTTTAGTGAGAAGTGCTACTTAGAGACCACAATTTGGACAGAAAGGGTATTTAGTGTTGTGGAGTAGTCACTGCTTCTGAGCCCTTTAGTAGATAGCAGATCATCTGTCTTCTTTTTTTTTTTTGGTACCGGGGATCAAACTAGATCATCCGTCTTCTATACCATAATATATATACTTTGTGTACATTATATAGATATGAAGTAATGCTGATATTTCCAATTCAGACTAAAGATTAACAATTTTTGCTTGACTTTTCTTCTCTTACACTAACAATCTTGGCTCTAACACCATTACTATAATCACTTATCTGCTTTATTAAAATATTGCTTAATAGCAGTTTATAATAATGGTCAAGATAACAATGCTGTCATTATATAAAAAGTCAGCCATGCCGGGCATGGTGGTGCACACCTGTAATCCCAGTACTTGGGAGGCTGAGGCAGGAGGATTGCCGTGAGTTCAAGTCCAGCCTGGAATACATAGTGAGTTCAAGCCCAGCCTGAATCACATAGCAAGTGCCTGTTTCAAAAAAAAAAGTCAGCCAAGAACAGTGGTGCACGGCTGTAATCCCAGCTGCTCATTCAAGAGGGTGAGGCAGAGGGATTCCAAGTTCAAGGCCAGCCCTGAACCCTGCCTCAAAACAAAAAGGAACAGAGCCAGGGATTTAGCTCAGTGGTTCCAGCACCTGCCTCAAAAGCACAAGGTCCCGAGTTTGATCCCCGGTACCAAACAAAAAAGGAACATTTATGAGTATAGATATGGAAATATATATGAATATACAGTAATTCAAACTGCTGAGTTCTACAGCCACTGGAAAGAAAATTCTTGTTGTTTTGCTCCAACCCCATACACATGTAGGTACATTTGTTTTCATTTGTTTTAGATGTTTAGGGATTGCTTCACTTTTCTTTCTGATTTAATCTCCAATTGAATTTTGTACTTTAATTATAAATAACATATACATAGTTCCAACATCAAAACAAGGTGCTCCCTTGGGGCGGGGATTTGGCTCAGTGGTTCCACCGGCTGTCCTGAAGGCACAAGGACCGGAGTTCAATCCCTGGTACCAAGAAAAAAAAAAAAAGCAAGGTGCTCCCACCATCTTACATGGAGAAAAGTGAAGCTCAGAGAGGTGAGGACTGTTAATTTTATTTTATTTTTTTTTTGAGACAGGGACTCACTATGTAGCCTAGGCTGCCCTCAAACTCATGGTGATTCTCCTGCCTCAGCCTCCTGAGTGCTGGGATGACAGGCATGCACCACCACGCTTGGCTCAGTGTTATGGCTGTGTCTACATGTCCCCCAGAGCCTCATGTGGTCATAGGTGAGGCTTTTCAGAGGTGGCTGGATCTAGGGTGTGTGATGCTGGGATTAAGGGTGGATGATTACTCAATTAGTCCACTGATTGGCTTGGCATGGTTCTGGGTGTGGATAATGGGAAGGCCCAGCCTGGGTGTGGGTGGCACCACCCAAAGGACACATAAGCTGGAGGGGATAAAAGGGGGAGGCTGCTGCTGCTTCTTCCATACCTTGCTGCTGGCTGCCCTCCTGCCTTCTGCCTGCCATGGATTATTTTTCCTCTTCGATGCCCTCTGCCAGGCCACCCTGCCTTGGAACCAGCCGACTATGGACTGAAACCACCACAGACTGAGCCAAATAAACTTTCTCCTTTAACTTTGGGTGTTGGGTATTTTGTCTCAGCAATGAGAAAAGTAACTAAGACAAGAACCCACCTGGCATGGCCGAGGCTGGGCAAGCATGTGGATCTTCCCCACTGGAAGCAGGGAGGGGGCTGCAGGGCTGTCCAGGGGCACAGGCTCTTCTTCAGAAGTAAGTGTGCGTGAGTTTCGGCTCCAGCCCTCCAGTTCTTTTTTCTTCCCAGTACCAGGAATCGAACTCAGGACTTTGTGCTTGCCAGGCAGGGGCAGCACCACTGACCTCCATCCCCAGCTCCCCAGCTCCTTCACCTGTGTTTTGTGGAGCAGGCTGGGGTTCCCTTGCTCCTTTGCAAGGGCCTGGCTGGCTCAGAGGGACAGCAGATCTCGCTCATTCGCTTGCTCCTTCATGTGGCAAGGTCTCCCTCTGTGTCACCCAGCCTGCTGTCTGGGTTCCTCCTGGTCTCCTTGTCCCCCACTCTCCCACCCCAGCTGCAGGAGCTCTCAGGGACACTGTTGCCATCTCCCAAGGCCAGGGGCTGGGGTCCTTCGCTTCCTGGCCCATTCAGAAGCTACCAAAGCCCCCTTTCTCTGGACACAGCAGTGCCAGCGCTCTGTCCCATTCCCATCCCTGTGGCACAGGACCCAGGCAGTCATGGGATATGTCGCCCCCACCTCCAAGCATGTCTGGGAGTCAGAAAGGAAAGGCCTTCCCCCCACTACTGTGGACGGGAGCCCAGGAGGACACCTGGGCTGGCCCTGGAGGGGAGCAGGAGGCGGGGCTGGAGGCAGAGGCTGCTTCAGCTTGGGTCTTGGCCCGGGCTTACACAGGGGCAGTGGGGGATGGATGGAAGCAGGAGATTGTTCTCATGCAGAAAGGTTGGAAAACTCCCCAGGGCCTGGGAGCCTGGGAGGCAGCCAGCAGGATGCACAGAATGGAGAGCAAGCCGGCTGCTCCCCTCCACCCTGCCTTTAGGAGACCTGGTCATACTTCTGCCAGTTCTGCCCATGCGGTCACCTCTTGAGGGCTGTTTCCTTGTCCCAGAGACATTTACCTTCTGCTGCTGAGAGAGGCAGTTCTGAGGGCAGCCTGGCTTTCACCCTTCCTGCTTCTGGTGGCCCTGTGTGCTTTCGGCCAGTGCCTGGGGTCCCTTTTGGAGATCTGGAGCGGCTGCCTGGGGCGGCCTTGCTCCTGCCTTCAATGAGACCGTGAAAAGAAATGAGGCGAATCCTACAGCTGTGGGTTCAGACGCAGGGCTCTGTGCTTGTACAGAGAGCCCTGATCAGCATTCGTCAGTTCAAAGTGCAGGTTAGAGGGCCGGGGATTTAGCTCAGTGGTTCCACCGTCTGCCTTGCAAGAGCAAGGACCCGAGTTTGAGCCCCAGTACAAAAAAGAAAAATTCATACTCAAAGTACAGGTTAGAGCTCAGTGTACTCACCCAGCTGGAAATGTTGGGGGAAACTTGGGAGGCGCTAGTTTCTGCCTTGAGAATCCCTCAGGAAAGACTCCACTCATCCCCTTCCCAGGGCAGCGGTCCACAGGTGCCTATCGGACCTGGTGCCTGTGTGCCATATGTGGGTGCCAGCAAAGGAAGAGGACCAGGTTTTGGGGACAGCAAGCCGTGGGCCACTTCCCTTCACCCCCCCAGGCAGCCCCTGAATGGAAGATGCCAGCTTCAGGGGAAGTAAGCCGCTGCAGACAGGCTCCGGGGTTCTCTCACCGTGCCTGCCTTCCCAGCAGGAGGCTGCCCTTGGAACAGACTGTCGCCCTGGCCAAGGCTGGGCTCCCCCTCAAACCCTGAAATGTGTCCCCGCACTGCTGCTCCAGGGAAGGTGGCCTGGAAGGTCACTTTCTCTGCCTTCTGGTCACAGCCAGGCTTCCCCAAGGCAAGAACTGTGGTTACATCTGAGCCACCACTGGATTGAGTTTCAGCCACTCGCTGCCTGGCTCGGCTCGGCCTGGCTGGCCTGAAGCCCCGTGGAGCCCCGAGGAGCTGCCCTGCCTGTGTGGGGGCAGACAGGACTCAGCCATGCTGCGACTGTCCTCCCTCCGCTCTGGGATGCAAGCTCTGAGACAAGCAGAAAGGTGTTGGGGTCCCCGGCACTGCCAGGCCTGTCCCCAAGGGCCTTTTTAGCTCTTCTCTCCATCAGGTCTGGGGGTCAGCAGTCCAAGGCCTCACACACTGCCTGATCCATAGTTTGCATTCTGTTAATATTTTTTAAGGCCACCTTGGTCTGTCTCCTTTAGCTCTGCATCCCTGCCTGGGCCATTTGTCTCAAGAGATCCCACCCCACCTGTCCTGTCCTGACCCTACAGGAGAAGGTCCTACTGAAGCCTCCAGGACTTGGGACTTTTTTTCAAGCTTCTCAAAGCCTTTGGGAAGCAAGTCCACAGCCCAGTGGGGAGTGGGGTTGCCCAGCAGGGAGCAGAACAGAATCCCCAGGAGGGACTTGGGGTGCTGTCCAGAGGAAGGGCGGGTGCTTGCTCCAGGCTGCATTTGCACCTCAGGCACCCCACGATACCTGCAGTCTTTGGGGGATCCTGCTGGAGATTATGGGCATCAAAGCCTGCTGCAAGCCACCCCTGGTGCCCATGGCTGGTGTCCAGGGGAGCCAGTCCAGACATCTGGCCGTCCTGCCACTGTCCATGCCAGGGTTCTGCCTGGAGTCCCACGAGGGAGGAGGGAGAGGAGAAGAAAGGAAAAGGCCTGGGAAAGCAGAGGCCCAGCCGCCGGGGCTGGGGGTGGCGGTGTCATTGGTATTCTGGACTCGAGGAGTCTCTGTCAGCTGGGCAGCCCTCAGGGCCACCCCGGCACCAGGCTGCACATTCATTGGGCGGCCACAGCCCTGGCTCGCAGGCTCCCAGCAACCCCGGCGCTCTGTACTTCGGTGCGCAAGACAGGCTGCTCACCGAGTCCTCAGCCCGCCCCTGTAGAGCGCCTGCTTCTCTTTGCTTAACCCGTGATCCTGCGGTCTCACCTCCATCCCTCCAGCTGCAAAGTCAGCTCCTCCTCCGTGCAGAGCGGGAGCAGCACGGGGACAAAATCCAATCAGCGCGTCCTCCAGGAAGGGGGCTGCAGCCGTGTGCACCTCGGCCGAGTCTCCAGAAGGGCTCCTCGTCCGCATGGGGTTGGGGCCGTCTCGCGTCGCCGCGCCCCGTGGCCAGTGGGAAGTCCCTCCGGGTGTCTGACTTCCATCCCTCCGTCCCCGCGGCCACCCCTGGAAGGATGTCCTACTTGGCGCGCCCGGAACCAACGCAGGGACGGCCGCGGGTCCCGTGACCCCGCAGAGCCCCCCGGCGATCGGGGCCAGGGGGCGGGGCGGGGCGGGAAGAAAGGGGTTTTGTGCGGCGCCCGGCGGGACGGCGCCCTCTTCCTCTTCCGCGCCCTGGCCTGGCCGGTCCTCGCGCCCGCTCTGTCTCCGCCGCAGTCTCGGCCGCGGCCTGGAGGAGCCGCGGACCCGGAGACCTGAGCTCGGCCCGCGACCCCGCGACGCTCGCTAGGCAGGTGAGTCCGGGCCGCGGCGGGAGGGGAGGGGCGCGAGGCCCGCGGCCACCACCCGGGCCACGGGCGCACACTCGCGTGCACACTCACGCGCGCGCGCGCCGGGTGCTGGCGCACTGTGGTCTGCAGTCCACCGGGTGGGAACGCCCTCTAGTCCTCCAGGCCGGGCAGCTGCCCTTGGCGACCTCCGACCTGGCCGGGTGCGAGGCCCAGGCAGGGGGAGTGCCCGGCAGGGCTGGGACCCCAACTCTGCCACTTACTTGCTGTGTGACCTTGGGCAACTTAGTTGGCCTCGCTGAGCCTCAGCTGCCATCCTGCAATGAGGGAGAAAGACGGGCGGACGGGCGGGGAGGGTCAGTGGGGACTGGGACACCTTCACCTTCGTGCAGGCCAAGCTTCCTCCCAGGCAGTCCACACCCCTGCCCTGAGCGGCCCTGCCCGCACGGCTCTAAAGGACAGACCAGAGGCTGGCACTGGTTTTCTTTGCACTCGCATTGCCTGCATCACTTAGATTTCAGGCAGCACAGGTCGGATCAGGGGACAGTGCCCACCACAGACCCCTGAGTTATGGTGAGCCTGGCTGGGCTGCTGAGAAGCCCACAGTCCACAGTTCAGATTTTATACCAGGAGGAGCTAACAGCTCTGCCGGGAGCGTTGCACATAGCATTATTAGTTGTGCTTCCAATAAATAGCACTATTTATGGGATTGTTGCAATCATTCCTGCCAGCCCAAGGCCTCCCTGGGACTGTGGGTTCTTTTGGTCACTCTGCCATGGGCCCCGCCTCCCTGCTGAGCCTGGAGTTCAGGTCCTGCACAGCAGCCCTGGGTCGGCCATCCGGTGGGCACCGGGCATGGAGCTGGTGGGCATTGGGGTGGGCACAAGGCATGCAAGGGCACGTGTGCGCACGCGGCCTGGTCTTGACTCCGGGGTCAGGTCTGAGAGGCCCTTGAGGGAGATGAACAGGAATGACAGCATAACAAGAGGAAAGTCCCTGAAGTGCTTAAGAAGATCAAGATGAGGGCGAGGGTCCAGAGGCTGGAGAGAGGGAAGGGCGGCCGGGAAGGGTGGCCCTCTAGGGTTAAGGGAAGGCCCTGGCGGAATCAAGACAGGAAGGAGGTGGCCAGGTGTGGGGCCAGGCCAGGGTGCAGCCCCAGGTGCCCCTGCCAGCGTCTCCTCAGGGGCCCTCACTGTGCCAGCAATGGGCCCCCCAGGACCATGGGGAGAGGGGAGAGCCGCCCAGGGCTCTCCTCGGTCCCGTGACACTGCTGTCAGCGACATGAGATGTCCCCCATCCCCTTGCTGGTCACCTGCTGCCAGAGCAGAAGTGATGGGAGCTGCAGGGCACTGAGCCCTGACCCCCCTCACGTGCACGGCCAGTAGTCTCCCTGCACTGGCTGCTCATGCCAAGGGGCCCCCAGTCCAACCAGACCACGGTGCTGGCCGGGGCTCCCGCCTGGAGCTGGGCTCTCTCGGCCCCTCTCACCTGGCCTGCTCCTCCTCTCAGACCTGAGCAGCCCCGGGCACCAGCTCTCTACTCCCCCCAGGCCAAGACTTGAACCAAGCGTTGCCCGGGACAGGGAGGGAAGTGGAGGGAGGCAGGGAGCCTGCCTGGGAGGACCAGGGAGAAGAGGGGTTTCCCTATCAGTTCAGGCTCAGCAACGGGGACCACGTGTGAAACAGCTGGAGGAGCAGGGGAGATGGGCGTTGAGCAGCGGCTCTGCAGTCAGTGCCCAGGGGGTGCCTGGCCTGTAGGAAGTCCTGCTTGTGGTCTAACCTTCATCCCTCCTGCTGTACCACCTGGCACCCCGTATTCTTCTTGCTCTAAAGATGAAGTTGGCACCGGCTCTGCAGCCTTCCCTCCCGAGGGCACACTGGCCTGGTGCCCCAGCGGGGTCAGCCGGATCCATTTCTCAATGTCACCCACCTCTTAGGAAAGGACGAGTGCTGTGAGGCCCCGCGCAGACTGTTCTGGGTTCTCGAACAGTCTTCTAGCAGCCAGGGCCAGGCGAGGGTGCCCTCGTCCCCGGCCCAGGGGGGTGGGGACCTGGCGGGAGGCCAGGCTGGCAGAGACACAGGCTTTGTCCCAGTGTTTCTGAGCCAGGAGATCCGGTGGGAAAGCCCGTGCCAGGCAGAAAGGGGCGGCTGGGGTGGCAGAGGAGAGGGGGAGCGAGGGAGGTGGTGGAGGGGGCGCCTGAAGTTTCCTGGGAGCCCTGGTGGGGGGAGGTGGGGCGGAGACGAAGGCCGCCTGCTGTCAGTCTAGGGTCCCTCCTGGAGGAGCCCGGGGTGGGTGCCAGGGAGGCCGGACGGCAGGCAGGCGCAGGGGCAGGAGCGGCTGGGGGAGGGAGGCTCTGGCCGGCTGCGGATGGCAGGCAGGTGGACTTCACAGTTGTCCCCGGGAGTCTGTGGGGCTTTGGTTCTAGGAGCCCCAGTGGGTGCCAAACTCTACAGATGCTTCCGTCCCTCCTGTGAAGGGCGCAGCATTTGCAGAGAACCCGTGTGCACCCTCTGTGTGCCCCCAGCCATCTCGAGCTGGTTTGGGGCGTGTTTTGTTTTGTTTGTTTCTACTGAGGGCTGAATCCAGGGCCTTTGCACTGAGCTGCATCCCCAGCCCTTTATTTATTTAGAGACAGGGTCTCACTAAATCCATAGTTGCCCAGGCTGGCCTTGAACTTGCGATCCTCCTGCCTCAGCCTCCCAGAGGGCTGGGATAATGAGCAGCCGCCACCACGATTAGCTCTCTTATAGCACCCAGCATAGTGTAAATGTGATGTAAATCAATGTTGCACCGCTCAGGGAGTAACTGAAGTCTGTGCGTGTCCGGCACAGACAGAATCTTTCTCTGCGGCTGGTGAACGGTCCAGGAGGAGCCCCACACGTGGGCTCTGAGTGTAAGCCCCACCATGGGCACGGACTTGCCCGGGTCACACAGCAAGCTGACAGGATGCAGTCTCCTTTGAGACTCCTTTGACCGGGGGACAGGGGTCAGAAGGCGCTCGTGAAGGGTGTGAGCCCACGAGCGTGCTGGGAGCAAGGACATCCACGTGAGGCCAAGCCCGTCTCTCCTCCACATGCTCCGGCGCCTGCAGCATGGCCCCGCTGCTCCCGGCTCTCATGGTCGCCCTGGCCCTGACCCGGGTCCTGGAAGCTGACGTCCTGGATGGGGACAGCTCGGGTGAGCAACCCACGCAGTGTCGGGTGTCCTGGGAGTCCTTCTGTGGGCGGGGCGGTGCAGCTGCCCAGCCTGGCGGGCCGGAGGCTGAGGAGGGCGCAGGGCAGGGGAGGACGGGGGCTGGAGGACCTGGGGCGGGCCGGGGGCGGGGCGGGCAGAGCGAGCGCAGCCCTCTCTCCCGCAGAGGACCGCGCGTTCCGCGTGCGCATCCCCGGGGCCCGCGCCGCGCCGCTGCAGGGCGTGCTGGGCGGCTCCCTCACCATCCCGTGCCAGGTGCACACGCTGCGGCCGCGGGGCCGGGCGGCGCCGGGCTCGCCGCGGGTCAAGTGGAGTTTTCTGGCCGGCGGCCGCGAGGCGGAGGTGCTGGTGGCGCGGGGGCTGCGCGTCAAGGTGAGCGAGGCCTACCGGTTCCGCGTGGCGCTGCCCGCCTACCCCGCGTCGTTCACCGACGTCTCCCTGCTGCTGAGCGAGCTGAGGCCCAACGACTCGGGCGTCTACCGCTGCGAGGTCCAGCACGGCATCGACGACGGCAGCGACGCGGTGGAGGTCAAGGTCAAGGGTGGGTGGCGACAGAGGCTCCTGTCCTGGGGAGCCCGCGGTCCAGGGGGAGCAGAGAACGAGTGAGGAGTGTGCACCTGTAATTCCAGCTACTCCGGGGGCTGAGAGCTCGGTCACAGTCACACTTCACCCGTCGGTACAGAGGCTCGGTACAGAGGCGGTCGGGAGGGCAGGCAGGGCCAGGCGCGGGGGACCGGCTCAGCAGCCCTCTGCCCGCAGGCGTTGTCTTCCTCTACCGCGAGGGCTCTGCCCGCTACGCTTTCTCCTTCGCCGGGGCCCGGGAAGCCTGCGCTCGCATAGGTGCCCGCATCGCCACGCCCGAGCAGCTCTACGCCGCCTACCTCGGGGGCTACGAGCAGTGCGACGCCGGCTGGCTGTCCGACCAGACTGTGAGGTGGGTTGGGGCCTTGGGCGCGGGTTCTGGCTGTCTCGGAAGTAGCCCCGTCCTCCGGTCAGGGTCAGCGGGGGCTCCCGTCTCGGGAGGAGGGGCCATGGGGGGCGAGGCCCCAGCGCTGGAACTGAGCCTGTGCCCCCAGGTATCCCATCCAGACCCCGAGAGAGGCCTGTTACGGAGACATGGACGGCTTCCCCGGGGTCCGGAACTACGGCGTGGTGGACCCAGGCGACCTCTACGACGTGTACTGCTACGCCGAGGACCTCCATGGTGATTGGGGCTCCAGCCTCGGTGGTCTTCCTGGGCCTCCCTGGACCTCACTGTCCCTCGTGCGCTTAGGGGACGGGGGGGGGCGACCATTAGAGTCCCTTCCAATCACGGTCATAGGGGCCAGTTCCTGACCAGAGCCTCAGGGCAGAGGCAGGATGCGGCTCTGCGGAATGAGCTCCAGTATTCATCCCGAGGTTCTGTCTAGACCGTGGTCCTACACAGCGGGGTCACTGCCCGGTGTCACAGACCAGCAGCCCGGGGCCGGGGAGGAAGGGCCGCCGACCGCCTGGGAGCCCGGCCGCAGCTTCCTCCTCCCCACCCAGGGGAGCTGTTCCTAGGCGCCCCTCCAGACAAGCTGACGTGGGAGGAGGCCCGGGCATACTGCCGGGAGCGCGGCGCAGAGATCGCCACCACGGGCCAGCTGTACGCGGCCTGGGATGGGGGCCTGGACCGCTGCAGCCCTGGTTGGCTGGCCGACGGCAGCGTGCGCTACCCCATCGTCACCCCCAGCCAGCGCTGCGGCGGGGGCCTGCCTGGCGTCAAGACGCTCTTCCTCTTCCCCAACCAGACCGGCTTCCCCAACAAGCACAGCCGCTTCCACGTCTACTGCTTCCGAGGTGAGGCCCTCCCTGCAGAGCTGCGGATCCCAGCCTGCCCAGGTGCTGGGTTCCCTGCCATCTGCCTGAAGGTGGTGCCCTGCTTGTCACCAGGGTCCTAACTCTGGGGGTGACCCCGGCTTGATCTCACTCAACAGTGTGGGCTAGGAGAGTGGTCACTTCTCTGCATGACCATGCCTGCCTGCCCAGTACGCCACGCCTGCGTCTTCACTGGGCTGTTGAGGAACTGCCCATTCCCATCAGCTTATTGGCAGAGCAAAGATGACTGACATTCTCGGGATCCAATGAGTGACCTGCTCATCTTCTAGTTAACCAAATGCATTCAGGAGGGTTTCTGGAACCTAAGTCAGCTCTTTAACCACCACGTGCTGATGGACAGACATAGCTGCCCCACAGGGAGCAGGACCTCAAGGACAGCTGGGTACAGCCTGTGAGCCAAGCGCTTTCTCCTGGAAGAAGTGGAAGGGGAGGGGGAGCATGACGGGGGTGGTGAAGGATGGGAAGCGAAGCCGGGGCCAGCAGGTCTGGTAGGGAGCCAGGCTGGCTGGACCAGGTGGCAGGGCAGAGACATGCTGTCCTGTCTCGCCTGGCTGAGCACCGACTGCTGTCGGGGCTTTCCTCAGCCCAGTTCCACCTTCGGCTCCCGGGCTTGCTGTGGAGGACAGGATAACCCAGCCTCGCTTGGTATTGGAAAGAGCAGATCCCCAAGGAGGTGGCCCCTTCTTTTGCCCGCCCTGGGACCTGCAGGCGGTGACTGCCGGAAGTTCCTCCTGCATTTGCACAGGTCTCCTGTGGGGTAGCGCTGTCCCCTTCTCTGCCAAGAGGCTCAGGCGGCCCCGTGACCCAAGCCCAGGACTCCAGGCACGGAGGCCGCTCTACCCGTCCTTCAGCTTCTGTCCTCCCCTCGAGGGAACAGCTCTCGCTGAGCCTTCCCTGACCCGCCTGGCAGAACTTCCCATCACACTGTCTCCTAACTCTGTTGAATTGTTCTTTACATCGTATCATTGTAAAAATATGCTTATTTGCTTAATATCTCTATCGGGAACATAAATTTCCTTGAAGACAGGAAGTTTGCTATTTTATTCTGCACTGCATCCTCAGTGCCCAAGAGAATGGTTGGCAGGACAATAATAGGCCTTCTTCGGTCAACATTTGAGGAAGGGGTGTCAAAGTTCTGGGGTGCTCCCTGGGTCCCACTGGTGCTCTGTAGGGAAGCAGAGAGGGAACTGAGAGAATTCCAGGGAGTCCAGCAGGCCAGCCCAGAGCCCTCCCATGCACACCATGGCCCAGGGGGCCACCAACCCAATCAGCCTCCCCCGGCATTCCCCTCCTGCCGCAGACTCTGCCCACCCCTCTGCCATCCCTGGGGCCTCCAACCCAGCCTCTGATGGGCTAGAAGCCATCATCACAGTGACAGAGACCCTGGAGGAGCTGCAGCTGCCTCCAGAAGCGATGGAGAGTGAGTCTCGGGGAGCCATCTACTCCATCCCCGTCATGGAAGACGGGGCAGGTGGAAGCTCCACTCCTGAGGATCCAGCAGAGGCCCCCAGGACCCTCCTAGGTAACTCAGACCCTTCCCCTGGGCAGCCGCTGGAGGGAAGTGGGTGCTGGCTTGGGGCCAGCATGATTCTGTCCCGTCTGTCCTGGGAGCTCAGTGGCGCCGGGCATCTCTCCTGGCCCTGCCCCAGTTTGCTCTTCTAATAAAGTGCACCCCAACTCTCTGGGGCTGTCGATGCTTGCACAAGAGGCTGCCCCCCGCAAAGAGAGTCGTCCCTTCCCCCGTCCTTCTCTGCCTCCCAACCCAAACTAGACTAGAGACAGACCAGGAGAGGGAACAGCAGCCACCTTGCTTCCCAAGCTAAAGGCCACTCTCAGCGCTGTTGCCTACACAGTGCCCTTCGGTCGCGGTCTTCCCAGTGTGGGGGACCCTGCTCCTCCCTCGCGCGGGCTCTCCGCTTTCCCTGAGCTTCCTCACGGGCTGGCCTTTCCTCCTGACCTCTGGGGGTGCTGTCCCTGGTGCTGAACCATGTGTGCTTTGCCCAGAATTCGAAATCGCATCTATTGTACCACCCACGGGGTCCTCAGAGGACGAAGGCGAGGCATTGGAGGAAGAAGAAGGGTACGAGGATGAAGAGGAGGCAGAGGAGGAGGCAGAGCAGGAGGAGGACGTGTGGGCGTGGCCTGGCGAACTCAGCAGCCCTGTCCCCTCAGAAGCATCAGTGGACTTGCTGTCCCAGGCACCCTGGGTCCTGCAGCCCGGCACACTGCCACCTCCCGAGGGACAGCCAGGAGCTCCCCGACCTCCGGGGGTCCGCCGACCACCTACTGAGGCTCTGCCCACTCCCGCGGAGGGGAGCCCAGCACCCTCACCGCCTTCCACTCCAGTTGGGGGGAGAGCGGTGGGGGAGGAGACTGGGGGTCCCGAGCTCTCTGGGGTCCCCCAGGGAGACAGCGAGGAGGCAGGGAGCTCCGAGGATGCGCCCTCCCTGCCTTCTGCCGCGCCGGGCCTTGGTGCTGGGGAGCTGGAGGCCCCCTCAGAGGAGAACTCCGGAAGAGCTGTCCCTGCGGGGACCTCAGCGCGGGCCCCCGTGCTGCCCACTGACGGCGCCGGCCAAGGCAGTGTGCCCGTGGCCCCCTCCTCAGGTAACTCTGCGCAGGGCTCAGTCTTCCTGTCCGCGCTCCTCCCCTTTCTCCCCGTGCAGCTCTGGGCTGCCTGACCCCTGACCCTTCGCCCCCGTCCCCCATCCCCGACACCGCCTGTCCTCTGCCCGCTCTCAGCCTCCAGCCCCACCCGGGCTTCCAGCCGGTTCTGTCCCTCACTCTGCGCTCCAGCCCCCGACAGAGGTCCTCATGCCTCTCGGGCGGCCTCGGCCTGCTGCCTGGGCCCCCCCCGCCCCGTGTGCTGTCCCCTCCCCCCCTCCCCCAGTCTGTCTCAGGGAAGCTGGGAGTCCGTCCCCACCCTTGACCCCTGGGGTCCAGGAGAGCCCTTGCCCCACACAGCCTTAAGCCACTACTTCTGTGAAGTATTTTTTTGACTGTTTCATGGAAAACAAGCCTTGGAAATAAATGTCTATTAAACCGCTTTGTAACCACACTGCCACGTCTGCCTGTATCTCCGCTGTCTGCTCTCTCGTTCTGTTCCTTCATCTCTGGCAGCTCTCTTTGGCTCCTCATCTCCCCTCTCTGTTCCTGTCTTCTGTTCCCTCTTCAGCCTGCCCCAGTCCTAGCCTAGCCGTCTAACTGCCCTTGCTGCCTCCTGCCTCTCCCCAGTCCTGTCCACGCCCCCCGCGGGCGGTCCCCCCAGGCTGCCTGCAGCAGGGGGTTCCCCAGGAGTGGGGTCCTCACCCCGACACCCGGAGCTGGGAGGGCGGTCCTCATGCGTGATTTCTGACCATCTTGATGGGTTCTGGACAGAGTGGTAACTCAGAAAGTCCCTCAGCACAATCACTTCCCCGGCTGCTCATCCCAGCAGGGAACAGGGCCTAACTCCCCCCGCTGTCCACAGCTGCCCACTCACCCCTGCAGTGAGGACCCCCCACACCTGAAGGATCTGCCTAATGCTGGGCAAGATGTGAATGAGGGGGTGAAAGAGGGTGTGTGCAGGAGGGCGAGCCCTGCCTGCTCCTGAAGGCCCGATTCCAGGGGAGTTTCCTGGGGAAGGCCAGGATCCTCCCAGCCCAGCCCGGCACCCCAAGATGGTCCAGGGTGGGCTGGGGCCCATACTGCACACCATGGCTTGGCTCCCACCAAGCTGGCCTTAGATTTCAGCGCAGCAAGGGGTGAGGAAGGGATCTCATCAGCTCTGGAGGGCTCTGCAGGGTCTTAGTAACTGCCCTGGAGGGGGAGCCAAGGGTCCCCTGGCGGCTGCCCCACCCGGAAGAAGGATAAGCCCAGAAGAGGAAGGGAGGAAGACAAGATGGCCCCCTGAGCAGTGTCCCTTCACCCTGCTCTGCCCGCCGGGGTCTGGCCCTGCCACCCATGGCCTGGGCTGGGGGACCGAGGAGCTTGAGAGCCTCTTCCCCAGGCCTGGAGGGCTGGACAGGAAGCAGAGCAGCGACGAGAGGAGCAGGGGAACACAAAGTGGGACCAACAGTTCAGGACCTGGGCCGCTGCTGGCCTAGGTCTTGGTTGGTTAAATGAAACAGCTCTACCAGCTGGGAAGAAACCTGGCCAGAGGGGGAAGACGATGGGAGTGGTGCTGGAAAAGCGAATTCACTTTACTCAAATGGCGAGGTCACCCAGGAGAAATTCTCTGGATCAACTCCAGCTTCTCCTCCCCGCCTCTGCTCGGATCCCGCCAGGCAGTGGGACCTGTGGCCAGGCTAGCGTAGAGCCTTGTGGACCTTGGCCTCAGCTCCAGGGAGAGATGGTGAGGTCCAAAGGTTCCTGCCTGGGGCTGGGGATTTAGCTCAGTGGTTCCACTGCCTGGTTTGAGGTCCTCAGTTCAATCCCCAGTACCAAAAAGAAACAACCAAACAACAACAAAACAAAGGGTCCTGCCTGGGGGTGATTCCCCCCATCGGGGCCCTGACTTGCACTGTGGTGTGGAGCTGACTCCCCAGCTTCTCTGGATCAGAGAGGAGGTGGACTGCTCCTCCAGCACCCAGGCAGGAACCCAGAGGAGCCACCTCCCACCCCAGGGTGCAGAGACCCACAGGAGGCAGGTGGCTGCTCCAGTTGACCAGATGGGGACGGAGGACAGACTGCAGGCTGCGGCAGGGCAGGGTTATTCTCGGGATGGCCTGGAGGAGACCAGGGAACCTGCCACAGGCCCCGAGCCACGTGTCTGTGAGCTACCAAGGGAGGCAAGCCAGGCATGGTAGCGTGCACCCCCTAATCCCAGCTGCTCAGGAGGCTGAGGAAAGAGGACCACAGGTCCAGGGCCGGCCTGGTGAGAGCTTGTCTCTGAATTTTTGAAAGGGTTCAGATGCGGCTCAGTGGCAGACACTTGGTTAGCATACACAATGGCCTGGGTTCAGTCCCCAGTGGGGCTGAGTGTGTGGCCAGCCAGCATTGCGGGACAGTGGCATGGGAGAGGGGACAGGGCCCCAGGCAGAGCAAGGAGCTGGGTCTCTGCTCACTTCCATGCTGGCTGACTCTGCCCGTGGACAGAGGGAGAGTGGTCAGAGCTCACCTGGACCATGCGTCAGGTACCAGGAGCAGGCAAGGGGCCCCAGCTGCACCCACCATTGCTACAGAAACTCCTCCCTCCTCCAGCGCCCCCTGCCCACCCAGGCTGTAGGGGACTGAACTGGAACAAGGCAGAAAGTCAGGGAGTGGGACTGCACTTCAGCCCACCCGGTGCACACCGAGCAGCCAGAGGGGAGCTGGGTCTCATCAGACACCCAATCTGTCAGCGCACCCGCTCCGCTCCTGTTGGACGGGCCCACTGTGGCCCTGACAGTGACCCGCACGGGCTGAGCAGTGATGAGTGGAGAGGGGAGAGACCAGAGCTGGGCCCGTGGCAGGCTCTCAGGAGGACGAGTCAGGCCTGGTCCCCCTGGGCCTCTGGGGGCGTGGAGCCAGGGCTCAGCTCTCCCCTCACGTCTCTCCTCCCTAGGCGACTGCGTCCCCAGCCCCTGCCACAATGGTGGGACGTGCATGGAGGAGGGAGAGGGACTCCGCTGCCTGTGCTTGCCCGGCTATGGGGGGCACCTGTGCGACGTTGGTGAGTTTGCTAGCTGACTTGGGGTCTGAAGCCCGCACCCCAATATAGCTCTAGGTGGGAGGTAGGGACACCGATCTGCCGTGAATGAATCCCTGGCTTAGGCGAGTTTCACAACTTCGCTGAGCCCCGTCCCCCACGTCCTGTCTGGCGTGGAGCCGGAGGCCTTAGCGCCGGCCTGGGCACCAGGAGGCAGGTGATGCGTGGTCGTCCCCCTGCCAAAGGAGGGCGGAGCTCTTCTCACGGGGATGGGGGGCTGCAGAGACCCAGACTGGACCCCCACCCACCCTGTCCCTGGTGCTCGGAGGCACCCAGTGCTGAGACCCCCAGCTCCCCGATCCTGCGACCTGCGGGGTGGGAGGAAGCCGGTGCCCCCGAGGCCCCTCCGGCCTGAGGTGCTGCCCTGCTGTGCCCAGGCCTCCGCTCCTGCAGCCCGGGCTGGGACGCCTTCCAGGGCGCCTGCTACCGGCACTTCGCTGTGCGCCGCAGCTGGGAGGACGCAGAAAGCCAGTGCCGGCGGCTGGGCGCGCACTTGGCCAGCGTGCGCACGCCCGAGGAGCAGGCCTTCCTCAGCGGTGCGCCGCCCTCCCGGGCTCCCCTCTCCCGCCCGCGCCTGGCCTGGAGGGCGGGGGCCGGCGGCAGGGACCGCGTGCCCTGCGCGCGAGGCCGGGCTGCAGCCCGCGGGATTCGGGAGTCGGGTTGGGGGCGGGCGCCCCCTACTGGCAGCGGGGCTCACTGCGCGCTGCGTCCCCCTCGCGGTTCCCCAGGTCGCTACCGCGAGTACCAGTGGATCGGGCTCAACGACAGGACCCTGGAAGGCGACTTCCTGTGGTCAGATGGCGTCCCTGTGGTGAGGGGACCTCGCCCCTCTCCCCGGCCTCCCCTTCCCAGGAGGCCTCGTCCCTTTCCTCTTGGGGCCTCTACGGCCTCCCTGCCCTTCTGTCTTCTCAGCTCCCGCTCTCCCTCCCCCAAGCCCCAGCCCTCTGACCTCCTCTTCCTGAGTGTCATCCCCAACCCCAGGCCCCCAGCCTCCCCCTCCGGGTCCCTCCTAGCCCTCCCCAGGTCCCCTGAGCCCATCCCCCAGGGCTACAGTTTTGGGGTCCTCACTGCCTCCATCTCCCCAGCTCTATGAGAATTGGAACCCTGGGCAGCCCGACAGCTACTTCCTGTCTGGAGAGAACTGCGTGGTCATGGTGTGGCACAACCAGGGACAGTGGAGTGACGTGCCCTGCAACTACCACCTGTCCTACACCTGCAAGATGGGGCTGGGTGAGGCAGCGGGAGGGGCCACAGTTGAGGCCTCGGGATCCCCTGATCTCCATCCAGATTCTGGAGCCGTGCTGGCAAGGCCAGACTCCTAGTCCCCGACTGTGTCCCCTGCAGTGTCCTGTGGGCCCCCGCCAGAGCTGCCGTTGGCTCAAGTGTTTGGCAGCCCACGGCCGCGCTACGAGGTGGACACCGTGCTTCGCTACCGGTGCCTCGAGGGCCTGGTCCAGCGCAACCTGCCCCTGATCCGCTGCCAGGAGGATGGCAGCTGGGAGTCCCCTCGGATTGCCTGTGTGCCCCGAAGGCCCGTGAGTGCCAGGAGGAGGCTTTGCTGGCCACTGGCAGTGCGGTCCTGGAGTGGTCGCTGCTCTCTAGGGGCAGGAGGAGGAGGTGGGTGGGCGCAGGGGAGTCGCTCCAGGCTGGTGTCTGGGAACTCAGGCCACCCCGGCTCTGAGGAGCTGAGTCAGGGTCAGCGGCTGGATGAAGTCGGGAGTCAGGGAGCGAGGGCACCAAAGGGCAGGCTCTGAGAGACGCGGAGGAGGAGTCAGCGAAGAAGGTGTGTGTGTGTCTTCTGCAGGCCCGTGATCCACACCCAGCGAAGGGCCCAGGACGCCTGGGAAGGCTATGGGGCCGCCGGAAGGTGCTGCTGACCCCTCCTTCTAGCCCTGCTCCTGGCCCCGAGGGAGCAAGGCCTTGAACACTGCTGTCTGGGCACTGCCCTCTACCCCCATCCCTCGAACCCTGTACCCTGTGAACCACAGGAAGTGACAGCCTGAGAGGCAGAGCGTGCCCGACAGGGCTTCGGGGAAATCCCGGGCCCTCTCTCCCCTACGGGTGAGCCCTTCAGGACCTCACCCACCCTCTGCCCGCCAGCCATCCTGCCCACTCAGCTTCCCTAGGGGGCACTGTGCCCACTCATTCCTGGTATTCACAGGGCCAGGGCTTTCGGGATGGAGTACCAGTAACACCAGCAGGCAATAAAGGTGTGCTTAAGCCCAAACAAGAGTTATTTGAGCGTGCATGTGTGTGTGTGTGTGTGTGTGTGTGTGTGTGTGTAAGAAATACCTGTAGCTGGAATCTTGTAATCTCAGCATTCTGGGAGGCTGAGGCAGGAGGATCACCCGTTTGAGGCCAGGCTGGGGCAACTTAGCAAGACTCTTGTCTCAGAATAAAAGAGCTGGGCATGCAGTTCACTGTGAAGGTCCTGGGTTCAATCTCCAGTACCAAGGAGCAGGGAGAACCAAGGCAGGGAAATGGGAGACAAGCTCGGATGGGCAGGGCCTTAGGATAAACACAGCTTCTGTGGCTGTGTTTAAAGCTTCTAAAGACTGGAGATGCCTCTGAGATGTCGGGATAAACAGTGCCCGCGTGGAGGAGCTGCCCAGTGTGAGAGTAAAGGAATGGTCCACAGCACGCACAGGTCGGCCTGCAGGAAGGCTGGGCTCTGCCAGGGCCTGGCTCCGCGAAAACCTGCGGGTCCAAGGGTGCGGCCACCAGAGGACGCAGTGGGTGCAGGCCATCGCTCGGGAGAATGCCGTGTGCGCATGCGTGCGAGGACCCGGGCGGAAGAGCAGTCGAAGGAGGCCCCCAGGGGGCGCCGCAGCCTTTCTTTCCGAAGCCCCGGCGGGAAGGAGGTGAGACTTCTTTCTGGTCGGGCTCAGCTGGCCAGGGCCTGTGAGTCAGCGGAGGCCGACGGTGAGGTCACTGCGGATGGGGGAGAATGTTCCAGGCTGCACTGTGCCCTCGGTACAGTGTGTCACGGGGATCGGCCTCCCCTCCCGTGGACGTGGATCCTCAGCCTGGCCACAGTCGCAGGCACACACGTGGCACACACAGCTCTGTGTGCCCAGCCCAAATCCTGTGCGTGTGTGCATGCGTGTGTGTGTGTGAGAGAGAGATGGAGACAGAGAGGCTGGGGATTGAACCCAGGGCTCCATCCCCAACCCTTTTTTATTCTTGTGTTTATTTTTAGTTTGAGACAGGGTCTCACAGAGTTTCTAACTTGCCCAAACTGGGCTCAAACATGTGATCCTTCTGCCTCGCCTCCCAGGGTGCTGGGATTACAGGTGACACCTCTACACCCAGCTCCGAATGGGCAGTTCTTTGTTTTTGTGGTTTGTTTGTTTGTTATTGAGGCAGGTTCTCGGGATGTAGTTCAGGCTACTCTTGAACTCATTAGGTAGCCCAGGTTGGCCTTGAACTCACACAGATCCTCCTGCCTCAGCCTCCTGAGTGTTGGGGTTACAGGCATGCACCACCACCCCCAGCACACATGGGCAATTCTTATTCCGTATTCCTTTCCTAAAAGTCAGTAAAGCCAAGAGGCAGGGAACAGAGGGGGGACACTGAAAAATATGGAGGTCCAAAAAAAAAAAGAAAAATATGGAGATCCAGAGACAGTGGGCAAGACTGACAGAGACAGGCCCGGGATAAGTGCGCGCTGGGGTGGCGGGCAGGCTCTCCTGGGCCTTCCCCAGCCTGTGTCTAAGCCCCAAACAGCTGGTCTCTGAGATTCCAGCACCAACCTCCCATCCCCCAGCACCACATCCGCCCTCACCCCGGGCTCACCTGTCCCATCCCATTCCTGTTCCCACCGGACCACAGCTGGGGATTGGGTTTCCTAGGAGATACAGGCTAGAGGAGGCCCGCTTTAGCCTGTTAGCCTCCGATTGCCCACTGTGCATTTTTAGGGATGTCAGGATGTTTAGCTGGCTTTGAAGGTGGGGCCTGGAGAGAAGGGTGGGATCTGACAGTGTCTGTCCCAGGGCCTCACAGGGTGCACAAGGGGGGCTGTTTGTGGCCATTGTGGGGACTGAACCCTGGCCCTCCTGCGTGCCAGGGCGCCCCCAGCTGCACCCCCAGCTCTAGGGGGAGTTTGGGAAGCAGGTTGGACTCTCTGAGTCCTTGCTTGAGTGCTGGGCAGGGCTTTGGTTCCTCTGCCTTCCACCAAGGGACTGTCGCTGAACCCCCCCCCAGACCAGGGCCCCCCATCTTCTCTGATCTGCTGTGAAGAGTCCCAGAGATGAATGAAGGGCCGGAACTGGAATCTGAGCCCCTCCTCGCACCTGCTGGGCTGCTCTGGCAGGAAACGGAAGCCTTCTCCTGGCTTTGTTGGGCTTCCTGGGGAAAGGGGAGCTGGTCCAGGGATGACTCAGCAGTGCCCTGCACCAAATCTGAGCCCTGGTCCTGTGTGGGAGTGTGTGCTTTTGTGTGTGTGTGTGTGTGTGTGTGTGTGTGTGTGTGGCCTGCACCCTCCTGTGTCCTACCTCCACCCCAGGGCGAGCACAGATCTGACCCCAGGCCCAGCCTGCCAGACCCTGGAAGTGTGGGTGTGTTCACCTCTCAGCACCTTCCCACAGCTCCAGAGTGGGGCCCCCAGCAAGCCGTCCTGCTGCCTGGGGACAGGGAGGTGGGAGCCAGCTGGAGGGGTGTGGATGGAGGGAAGACCCTGGCCGGGCTGGGGGCAGAGGCCTGAATATTGCTGCGGGCCTGGAAATGGCCTTCCAGAGATTCCCCATTTCCCCAGGCCGCTCTGACCCACGCCCACCTCCCCATTCCTCCCCACACCCCTAAATCCCACAGCAGTACCCCATCTCACTGGGGCCTTTGTCCCAGCCCTGAGGCCCTGACTGTGGGGCTGTGCCCTGCCCAACAGAGAAAGGGCCCCATTGTCTGGCTGCCCCGCCACCGCCCTGACACAGAAGCTCCCAGAGACTTTCCAAAATGCCCGCCTGCCTGACCCCAGCGGGGAGGACCTTGGGATGCAGTCAGTCAGACCCCAGGCTGAGTGAGGACGGGGGCCACCTCTCCCTGCCTGCACGTTCCCCGTCCCTCCTTACTGAGGTCTGACTTGCACCCCTCCTGCTGCAAAGCAGCCAGCTTCCTCCTGGGAAGGGAGAACTGATGGAGCACCAGGACAGGGCTGGGGAGGAGAGGGAGACAGAGGCGGGAGGGAGCAACTCGGGCTGGGTCTGGGGCATCGTCTGAGTGGGGCCTGAGCCTGTGTGTTTATCGAAGCCTCGCCCAGTGTTTACAGGGATTCTCAGCATAGGAGCTGCTGCTGGCCATGCAGACTGGAGTATTTGGAGGAGGCAGCCATAGAGCCCTGGCTTATCTATAAGACCCCACATGACCGCTAGGGGCAGGAGACAGCTTTCTGTGCCTCAGTTTCCCTATCAAAGCCAGCTGAAGTTCACTGTGACATAACTTTCTGGCAAATGAGGAGACTAGAATAGGAAGGAATCCTAGAGAGAGGAGGGACTCAGAGTTGGGAAGGGGCCAGGAAAGAGGGGATCCTGGAAGACAGAGGGTAGGCGAGAAGGGGGAGCCAGGAGGGAGAGTGGGGTCCAGCGTGCTGAGTGAGGCTGCCAGGAGAGGTCCTGTGGGTGGACGGGCAGAGTCCTGGAGCCGAAGTCTCTGGCCACCCTTCCTGGGGCCCTGGGGAGCAGCTGCGGGGAGGGGTCCCTGACAGAGGCCTCCTGACACCTGCCTGGCGCTATTTCTGGACCACAGCTGAGTCACGGGGTGGGGGTGGGGTTGCCTGAAGAGAAGGCTGGGGGGCAGAAGGGGGCTCCAGGACCTGGGTTGTAGAGACAGCTGCACTGGAGCCCTGGGAGGGCAGGGCTTGGGGACGGAAGGGGCCCTGGGTGGAGGAAGCCGGGAGGCCAGTGGGGAGAGACAACAGGGCGGGCTTCCCCGCTCCTAGCACAGACCCTGCGGGCCTCACCCGAGACCCTGCTGTCCTGGGGTGGGCACTGAGCCTGCTGCCCCTCCCTGGCTCAGCAGCCGGCTTCCGAGGCCTGTCCTGCCTCCCCAGGCCAGCTCCGGCTCAGGCTCAGCTCGGGGCATCACTCACGCCTTTCCCACCTCCCCAAGTCCCTGCGTCTCACTTCCCCGACTTGGTACCAGCTGTCCTGGGACCAAGCCCTCCTGTGGGGTGGGAGGGGGCTCCCTGTGACCCCCTTTCCGTAGGCAGCCCTGAGGGCACATTCCAACCAAAATTAAATCACATTCCTCATCCCTGCCTCAGCAGGATGGCGTTGCTGGCAGCAGCTGTGACACCGAGGGGTCAAGGACAGCAGCTGGCTCCCATGGGGTGGCCGGGGAGGGCTTCGGGGAGTAGGCCTTTCGGGAGCCAGGGACGACTCTCTTCAGCTCCAGACCAATCCACCCCAGCTCTACGAAGGTGGGGGACCCTGCGGGAAGCCCGAGCCGGGCTGGGCCTGGGGCCTTTAAGAGCCTGTCTCTGAGCGCAGCCTTGGCAGGAGGCCAGAGTGGGCTCCAATTTCCCCCGGGCTCTGGCCGCAGCAGGCGACAGGGACAGCAGCGGCGGCTGAAGGGAGAGCTCAGCCTCTGACCTCACCCGCTGCGCAGCTTGGCCACGAGCCTTATAAGGAAGAGCCCCAAACAAACCGAGGAAGCCACCCCGGGCCCCCCGCCCTGCGTCCGCCCCATTCTGGGGCTATATTTACCCAGAGAGGCCCCAGAATAACCTCTCTTGTCCTCTAAGCAGGGGGTGCTGTCTTCCCTCTCCCTGCTCCTTCCCTCCCGGACACACCCAGAAGCGCGTCTGTCCCCTCCCCGGCCGTTCACTCATTCATCCACCCACCCCCTCGTTCTGTGTCTGTGACCTGGACCAGGTTTCTCTTTCCCAGAGCTCTCTGCCTACAGACTCCCAGCCCCGTCCTCCAGCGCTGGGGGACCCTTCTCCAGCTCCTGTCCCCATGTCCCTTGGTTGGGAGGTCCTGTCCCGGTGCCTCCTCTGCCCCTGTGCTCTCTTGGGGGGGATCTCTGGCCAACTCTTCCCCCTGGTGTCAGAGATTGAACCCAAGACCTTTGTACTGAGCTACAACCTCAGCCTTTTATTGATTTTGAGACAGGATTACTAAATTGCCCAACTGGGCTGGGACTTGCGATCCTCCTGCATCCGCCTCCCAGGGTACTGGGATCGCAGGCATGCACCACCACTCCCAGCTAACTCAGACTCTTGTCTCCAACCTGGCCCTCTCTCCTGGGCTCCAAATCCCATCTGCACCTCCTCAGGGAGGGCACAATTTCCTGCTGGATGCTTCCTCTCAGAAAGGGGCAGCCTGGACTCTGCTGCCCTTTGCCCTCACCGCCCACAGCGGCTCCCGAGTCCTGAGACCCTGCTGCCCTGTGCCTGGGCCCCTGGGCCCCTCTCTAGGCCTCGAGCCAATCCAGTCGGCCCTCAGGCAGCAGCAGCAGGAGGGGGTTTTGTGGGAAACCTGCCCTCGCCTCCGCACAGCCTTGGAGGCCCCACCCCTCCTGGAGGAGGACAAGGCTTGCTCACCCCTGACTCTCTCTCTCCTCCCGGCCCCCAGCCTTCCTCCTGTCCCTTGGACCCGGACCCGGGGCTGTCCCCCTTCCCCGCTGGCCACTGCACCTCACCCTTCAGGTCCTGGGGCAGTACCCCCAAACTCCCTGACCTGACCGTCAGGGCCGCTCCACCTCCCGTAACTCAGGGCACTTCCCTGGCCTCTTTCCCCCTTTTATAAAATAAAATCAGCATATGTTTGTGATACATAAACGCAGCCATTGTGGGAGCTGGCACAAACACACACCTATCCTGATGTTCTTCACTCCCTTCTCCCACCGCCCCTCCTATCCCTCCCCAGCTCTACAAAGTCTGTCCACTTCCTTGTTTTCAAATATGATTTCCACTTGGAAGCCTGCTCAGTCAGTAAGTAACGCTTCCTGCGCAAGAAATCTTGTTATTTGTCTGTGGATTCCCATGACACATAGTAGATGCTCAGTAAATAGCTGTTGGAGGGCTGGGTGGGGTGGCGCACACCTGTGACCCCAACGTGCCTGTAATCCCAACATTCTGGAGGATGAGGCAGAAGGATCACCATGAATTCAAGGTCAACCTGAACTACATAGTGAGACCCGTCTTTTTTTTTTTTTAAAAAAAAAAAAAAGCTGTTGGAAAATGACAGTGGCTTCTCTTATCACAGGTAGGAATGTTCCCGTCACTGTCCAACCTTCCCTTGCTGCATGGACGGTTCATCATTTCCAAGGAGGCCACATCTACTGTACAGACTTTAAGAACATCCTTGCCTCAGGCTGGGGATTTAGCTCAGGGGTTTTGCCGCCTGCCTTGCAAGCGCAAGGTCCGGAGTTCAATCCCCAGTACCAAAAGAAAAAAAAAAAAAAGAGAGAAGAACATCCTTGCTCCAGAGCCTGGGTTGTGGCACAGGCCTGTAATTCCAGCACTCTGGGAGGCTGAGACAGGAGGGTCACAGGTTTGAGCCTAGCCTGGACAACTTGGCAACTTAGTGAGACCCTGTCTCAAAATAAAATATGTACATAAATAAAAAGGGCTTGGGATGTAGCTCAGTGGCGCAGTGCCTGCCTGGAAAGCGCAAGGGCCCAAGTTTGATTTCTGGTACCAAAAAAGGAAAAAAGCAAAACAAAACTCTGGGTTCAATCCCCAGTACCCCAAAAAAGTTTTCCCAAGTCCCCCTTCTGTCCTGCTCACTTCCCTCCCCCTTTGGGTGCTGCCAGCAGTGGCCAGTTTGGGTAACGCCGCAGGGGCCTGGCTCTGTGCGAGGCAGGAGGTCAACCAGCCCGGGGAGGGCCAGGGGGCTCGGGCGCCCAAGGCCGGTGCTTCCATCCCTTCAGAGGGGCCAGGACTGGGCCTTACAGGCCCGGGGCCGTGAAGTCCGGCGGATCAGAGAGAGCCTTGTCAGCAGTGGGCAGGAGCGGGGAGAGCGGAGGCTCGGCGGCCAGAAGGGTGGGGTGGGGCAGACAGGATCCGGACCCCAAGGGCTGGGCGGGGCGAGGCGCCCCTTGCCGCCTCCGCCCACAGGCAGAGCTCCCGCCCTGTCGTCTAGGGGTCACCAGCCCCGCCTGCTCTGCTGAGCGGAAGGGGGTGTCCTGACCTCGAGCCCTCTGGCCCCCACCCTGCCCTTCACAGGGCCCAGACCCCCCGGGAAGTGGGGGCGGAGGGGAACCCTGGGTCTAACGGCCTCCTGCTGGGACCCCAACTCTGGCTCTCAGCTCCCTGCTCCCGGCTCGGGCTGAAGCCTGGGAAGGTCCCGCTGCAGATCTGAGCCCCCAACAGTGAGGGCGAACCTGTGAGAGGAGCGCCCAGACTGCAGCCCAAACCCACTCACCCACCAGCACTGAATACGGAAGCACACGCCAAATGTCTTGTCTTAAAAAGAGCAAGCAACACGCAGGCCACAGGTTTGCCGCCACTGCCTGGGGGCGGCCCTCCTCCCTGCTCTCCTGTCCGTCCGGGAGCCCAGAGAGGTTACAGGCTTACCTGAGGCCACGCAGCCGGACCCCTCTCTGACCTGGACCCCCATGGCCTCAGCCAGTGGGCACAAGCCAGACAACTGTTTGGGTTTGGGGACCAGGGGGCTTATTATGCTGGCGACACGGCGAGGCCATCCGAGGGTGGGGTGGCCCGAAGCCTGGTCCTGTAATCAGTGCAGCGGGCAGATGACAGGCACAGCTTCCGGCCCTTCCGCGGGCACTGAGGTCACCTGGACGGCCCCCCAGGCCGCCTCGTCCCCCGGGGCAGCCCCTCCCACGCCAGACCCCACCTCCCCGCTCTGCCCCAGTGCCAGCCCGAGGACCAGGACGGCCCTGAGTCGAGCGCAGGAAGGAAGAGTCCAGACTTCTACACAGGTGGAGACTTTACTCGGGGGGAGGAGCCAGACGGGGTTAGGGCGCCGGGCGCACCTTCCCCAGCGGCGGAGCAGAGGCAGGGAGGAAAGGGGCGAGCACTACAGGGGCTCTGCTGCGTTAGCCTCCGTGGTGTCCCCAGGCAGGCTCCCAGGTTCTGTCCCAGAGCCTCCCTCCTTGGAGCAGCTCCTTCGCCATACGACGCCGCCTTAGCCAGCCGGGAGGGACTCTCCCTCTCAGAGGAAACCGGGGTGCAGAGGTCATAAATTAGGGTGCCAGCTGAGGGGTGGTCTTGGGAGCCTGGGCTAGTCTTCCCCCGAGGACCAGGAGTCTCCATCTCCTTCTCTCGGAGTGAACTTCAGGAACTGGCTGGGGCCCAGGTGCAGGGGAGCCCCGGCCCAGGGGGTCTTCGGGGGAACCCCCTCCTCTTCCTGCGAGGGGGTCCCCCGCCCCCCGGCCCCGTTCAGCACCCTCCCACCTGTGTGCTCGGACTCCGCCTCCAGGCCGGGGCCCCCATTGACACTGTGGCTGTCCCCTGGGCCTGTGTCCTCCACCCCGCTGGGGTCCCCCTTCTCCCAGGGGGCAGAGTCAGACTCCTCGGAGGGCTCTGCACTGTCCTGGGACTCGGTGTCAACGGCCGTCACAGGGGTGTCAGCCGCGGCACCCTGCAGGCCGTCGTCCCAGGGGACACTGAAGCCCAGGGCTTCGGGTGCCAGGGGGGCCCCTCTCCGAGGGCTCCTCAGGACCTGCAGGCTCCCCCCAGAAGGCCCTGGCCCCCACCGCTGTGCCCCCGGCTCCCGCCCCTGCTCCTCGTCGGCCTCCTCCCCGCTCTCTTCATCTGCGAACCCATCGGACTCCCTGTCCAGGTCCCAGGCTGCAGGCTCCAGCAGTTGGGCCGCCTGGCCCAGAGGTTCTGCCGCCTTCCTGGGGGCCCCAGGAGGCAAGGAGGCCTCTGTCTCCAGGTCCTCGAACTCTTCTGACAGCTCAGAGTCCTGGCCCTGCTCCTCCTCTGCCCCGGGGCCCCTGGAGGCTGGGACAGCAGGATCCCAGCCTTCCTGGCTGCCCTCTCCCTGGGGAGAGGGCCTCTGCTCTTCCGCCTGGTCCCACCCAGGGGACGAGGGGGACCTGAGGTACTGGCCCAGGGGAGTGGAGTCGGGAAGGGTCTCCCCGAGCTCGTCCGCCTCGAAGCTCTCCGCTCTGCCCTCCCCCTCCGGAAGCTCCTCCTGCTCGCTCTCTTTTCCCAGGGCTTCAGCCCTCCCTTCCAGCCCCCAGCCCGCCACCTGGGGCCCAGGGGAATCTTCCGGGATCGGGGTGGGTGCATAGGGCTCAGTCGGCCCAGGGGCCCCCAGCACTAGTGGTGCACCCTGGTCTTCCTCCATCCCCAAGGGCCTGGGCTGAGGGGCATCAGCAGGGGACACCCCCTCTGCTCCCACAGGGGCCTCGGGCCCCCACTCTCCCCAGTCCTTGGGGTGCTCCCCAGGGTCCCCGCTGCTGCTGGGGAGTACTGCCTCCGTGCGGCCCTGCCCAGGCCCTCCCAAGCCCCGAGCACGCTCCCCGTGCAGACTGTCCTCCCCCGGGGGTGGCACGGGGACCTCCAGGCCTCTGGGCTCCTGCTCATGTCCCTGCCCTGCTCCCACAGCAGAGCCGCCCCTGGCCATCTCTGACCCCCAGGTGACTTCTAGGGAGGCCTGGCCATCCCCTGGGGGCTCCTCCTCCTCTTCCTGAGGGGCCTCTGTCACCTCTCCCACCTCTGCCACTCCCTGGGCAGCCTCCCGCTCCTGTGGCCCTGCAAGGCCCTGGGGGCCCTCAGTGGCCCCCTGCCCACCGTCTCCCGCAGCTGGGCCCCTCTGTTCTGGGGGCTCGGGGCTCCCTGGGCTCCAGGCCTCTGCTGCTGCATTCCAGTCCTGCTCCTCGTCTCCCACTGCTTCTCCCCTGGAAGGGGCTTCCAGACCCGGACCTCGGTCTCCTGCGTCCTTCTCCCATATCTGCTGCTTTTCAGGCAGACGCAGCTCCCGCGCCTCTTCTTCCAGAGACCTCAGTGACTCTTGACTCTCTTCCAACTGCCTCTCTTCTTCCTCCAGACCTTCGCGACCTTCCTTCCCTGCTTCTCCTGGAGATCTCAAGTTCTCTAGGTTCCACTCTCCCAGGGGTCTCAGTGTTTCTTGGTTCTCTTCCACAGACCCCATTGTTTCTAGAATTTCCTTTTCTAAACTTTTCACTGTCTCTCTATTCGTTTCTTCTAGAGACCACAGTGACTCTTGAGCTTCTAGAGATGTCAGCATTTCCAGGTCCTCTTCTGTAGACTGCAGTGGCTCTGGGTTCTGAGTTTCTGAAGATCTCACTGCCTCTGTACTCTCAGCTTTCAGAGACTTGAATAACTCTCGATTCTCTTTTTCAAGAGACTCAACTACCTCCTGTTCGTTTCCAAGAGATTCCAGGGGCTCTGGATTCACTTTTTCTACAAGTCTTAATGTCATCTGGCCTTCTTCCCCTAGAGCCCTCAGTGACTGTTGAGTCTCTTTTTCAAGAGTTTTCAATGTCTTCTGGTCTTCTTCTAGAGCCCTCCGTAGCTCCTGGTCCTCTTTTTCTGGAGGTCTCACAGTCTCTTGATCCTCTTCTTCTAGAGATCCCAATGGTTCCTGGTTCTCTTTTTCTAGAGACCTCACATTCTTCTGGTCCTCTTCTAGAGTTCTCAGTGGATCTGGATCCTCTTTTTCTAGAGGTCTCATGGTCTCATCTTCTAAAGACCCTAGTGGTTCCTGGTTCTCTTTTTCTAGAGCTCTCACATTCTTTTGATCTGCTTCTTCTAGAGACCGCACATTCCTTTGATCTGCTTCTTCTAGAGACCGCACATTCCTTTGATCTGCTTCTAGAGACCTTAGTGCCTCCTGATCCTCTTTTTCTAGCATTCTCACAACTTTCTCGTCCTCTTCTTCTAGAGATGTCAGTAACTCCTGTTTCTCTTTTTCTAAAGGTCTCACAATCTTCTCATTCTCTTCTAAAGAGGTCAGCGGCTCTTGATTATCTTCTAGAAGTTTAAAGGTCTCCTGGGACTCATCTTCAAGAGACCTCAGAGATTCCCAATTCTCTTTCGGTAGAGATTTCCACATCTTCTGATCCTCTGCTTCTTGAGATCTCAGTGGCTTTTGGGTCTCCTTTTCCGGAGTTCTCAGGGACTTTTCTAAGTTTTCTTCTAGGGACCTCACTAGTTCTTGATTTCCTTTTCCTGGAAATGAAACTGTCTCCAGATTACCTTCAAGAGATATTATCAGTTCTTGGTTCTCCCCTTCCAGGGATTGCAATGTCTGTGAGTCCTCTTTTCCTGCAGGCTGGGGTAATTCAGTGACTTCCTTTTCTACCAGTCTCTCTATTTCCATGTCTTTTTCTCCTAAAGACCTCAATACCTCTTGATTTTCTTTTTTCAGAATTTTTAGTGTTTCTAGGTTCTCTTTTTCTAAAGACCTCAGAGATTCTTGATCTTTCTCTAGGGCCTCGTGGCTCTGGTTCTCCAGAGGCATCAGGGACTTTCGAATCTCCTCCCCCAGGGCCTTCAGGGTTTCTCTTTCCTGAGGATCCTGTGAGTCCTGGATTTCCTTCACATCCAGTTCCCCTCCTTCTTGCCATATTTGCTGCTGCAAGCTGCTTACTACTTGGTCCTCTATGGCTGCTTCTTTCTCTACCAGTCCCCAGGTTGGCCGTTTACCTCCCTCCTGGAATCTGCTGGATGCTCCAGACCCACTGCGTTCTCCATCTTTTGTCTCTGAACTGGGGTGGTCAGGGCTGAGGGGTGGGGCCAGGGAGGCCTGGCCCTCAGGGGACTGGCCTGGACTGGCCTCTTGCTGCTTGCCACCTGGCTCCTCGGGTCCTGGAAGGATGTCGGCAGGGACTGCTGCCTGGGCTTCAGCCCACAGTGGCTCTGGAGCCTGTTGCCTCCCATCCTGTGGTGGTACCAAGGAGTGAGGGGCATCCTGGGCTCTGACCTCTGCATTCGCAGCAGGATGGGGAGCCTGAGGTGCGGCTGGGATAGGGGTGCTGGCCAAGGTGGGGGTATGAGCCTGGAGGAATTCCTGGCTCCTCAGAAAGGCTGGCACAGGTGTCTGGAGGGTGTTAGCCAAGGGGGAGGGGAGGGAAGTTGGGCTGAGGACAGGTCCCAGATGCTGGCCCTCCGGGGTCCCAGAGAAATGCAGCTCCAGCTTGGGATCTGGAAAGGCAGAGAAGGAAGAGACAATGTCAGGGGTGCTGGGCTGGGAGTTGGGGGACAGAGCAGCACTCACTTCCTGCAAGCCTGTCCAGAGCTGCCGCCCTGGCTCCCCACAGCCTGGCCTGAGAGCATGCACAGTGCTGTTGGGGGCCGAGGAGTTAAGACTTAGGTGGGGCCTCTCCGGAAAGGCCTGGCAGTAAGAAGAGCGAAGAGGTAGTTTCAGAGGCACTGGGCCCTGCCTCTTACCCTGGAAGCTGAGAGAAGCCTTGGAACTGACGCCAGGGGTCTGCAACCGAGAGTTCTCAGCCTCCAGCAGGGTCCTGGGGAGGAGGGGGCACAGCTGGGTCATCCTTCTTCCCGGGCCAGCGGGGGCGAGCTCAGAGCTTCACCCCACGCCCGAGCTAGAGTCCCCGCCACAGGACCCACAGACACATAGACACTGCGGGTGATTCCCAGGCAGCCCACACGGCTCAGGCCTCTCCTCCCCCAGCCTCATGACCTCATCCTCCCGCAGGGGCCGATTCTCATGCTAATCACTGCCTTTGTCCACACCGCCATCTGGAGGGTCTGAGGCCAGGGGCTCTAGGGAAGTGGGAATTCTCAGGCTGTTCCCATGGGATGGCCCCTCCGCTTCCCCCAGGGCCCCAGAGCTGGTGACAGACAAAAGCAAATGAATTCACCGCCCCCCTCTGAATCCTTTTTCAGGCCACACAGCCCAGTGGTGACATTCCTCTGGGCCTGCCCAGGGCCTCCCCCCTCCCGCCTGGTTTGACTGGGGTCACCACCCTGACAGATCTCGGATCTTGGGCACTCTGCCTCCTGAGGCCCTATGGGGTTGGAGGTCTTTGGTTCCTGTGCCCCTGCCTTTTCTGCAGGAGTCTTGGGGAGAGGCCGCTCCTAAGCAGGTCCTGCCACAGCGCTGTCTGTGACCTGATGGACTGGGCCCGACCCTTGGAGCTGCAAAGCCCCTGCCCTGGGCTCCCTTGCTGGGCCAGGGTCCCAGAGGAGAGAGGACTTTGCTGGGCCGCGCAGCCAGTGAGAAGCAGCGGGAAAGGCAGCCAGTGAGCCGGAGAGGAGAGGAGTCTGGAGAGGAGTCGGGCTCCACGACGTGAGGTTAGCCCCGGCTGTGGAAGTCACAGCTCTTCCCCTCGCCATGGCGGTGGCCAGGCCAGGTGGCAAGTCGATGGCCACCCACCCCAGCATGGTCGCCCAGCCTCGAAGACGGCCCACGGTCCTCACCCGAAGGTGTCCACACAGACTGCAGGTGCTTGGGCACGGGTGAGCCGTGTCCTTGTGAGGAAGCGACCAGCTTCGAGCCACAGGACCTATGCCTGTGTCCCCCACGTGTGTGTGGGAGGCCTCACGCCTTACCTGTACGTGGCCACCTCCAGGCTGAGGGACATCTTGAGGTGCGCCAGCTGCTGCCGGCCCTCCAGGACTTGGGCGATTTGGCTCTGCAGGCCCTGCTTCTCCTGCTCCAGGGCCTCCACGGCCAGCTGAGGAGCAAGACAATCAGTCAATGGGCCGGGGGAGCCCTCCCAGGCGGGGTGTCCCACCCCTCACTGCCCGCTGCCTGCTTTCCCGACCCTTCCCATGCAAGGAGCCTCTGCCGGGTCCCCAGATGAGTGCCCCCCGCCCCAGCCCTCTCCCACGCTGCCTGGCTGCTCCTTGGGACGCTGACTAAACAGTCACACATGCTGCTGAGAATTCAGCTCCCACAGGAAGGGGGAGGCAAAGGGAGAGGAGCCGGGTTGCAGAGAGGAGAGGGAGAAAGTGGAAGCAGAAGGAAAAACGATTAGTCAAGAGCAGGAAGCCCAACAGCCGAGTCCCATCGCTGTCTCCTCACCCCCCCCTTTCTGGAATCTTCCTTAAGGAGGGGGTGGGGAGGGGCCCCGGCAAGAAGCTGTTTCCTCAGCTGTGGGTCCCGTCTGCACAGTGTGAAGGAGAGCATCGGTCCCGAGCCTCTGAGCCATGCTCCAGAGACCGTGAAGCCGAGACCCGGCCAGGGGCTGGGCCACTCCTCTCAGAGGACAGCTGTAGGGACCTGGGGACTCGGAGTGGCCGGGCACTGCAGGAGCAAGTGCCGAGCAGTTCTAGGGGACTGCGGCCTGGCCTCCTCGGGAGGGTCGGGACTTTCAGGACGGGCAGGACCAGGTGCGGGCAGCACCAGGTGCGAAAGTCCGGGGCTGGGGCGCCGGTGGTGGGCGCTCTGAGCAGCGGCTCCGGGTGGAAAGTCCCTTCTCAGAAAGGCTCCTGGCGCCCGGTCGCACCCAGGCCCGCCGCGTCCTCACCTGGAACTTTTCAGTGGTCCGTAGCCGCTCCTCCCAGCGGCCCTCCAGCCTCTGCTCCAGCGCCGCCCTGCGCTCCTGGAGGCCGCCGTGCTCGGCGCGGAGCTGCAGCAGCTCCAAGCGACCCTCCCGGGCCCCCTGCAGCGCGCACCCCAGCCGCTCGCGGGCCTGGCCCAGCGACGCCTCCAGGTGTGCCACGCGGTCCTGGTAGCCGCGCACGGCCCCGCGCCACACCTCCCCCAGCCGCCGGGCCAGCTCCTCCACCTCGGGGCCCGGCGCCGGGGGCCCGCGGGGTGGCGCGGGGCGGTGGGGGACGCAGGCCACCTGCGCGTGCAGGCCGGCGCGCTCCTCCTCGTGCGCCGCGCGCAGCGCCTCCAGCTCGCGCTCCAGCTCGGCTGCCTGCGCGCTCAGCCAGTCCCGGGCGCGCTGCTCGGCCTCCACGGCGCGCCGGCCGCGCGCAGCCTCCTCGACCGAGCGCTCCCGGGCTGTCCGCAGCTGTTGGCACCGGCCCGCCACCCTCTCCAGCTCGTCCACCAGGCTGTCACGCTGCACCTCGGCCGCGTGCTTCTCCCGCCAGCGCTGATCAACGAGGGCGCGCAGGGCCGCCAGCTCGCCGTCGGCGCGGGCCCGCCAGGAGGCGTCACCGGAGCGCGCGCGGAGGCCCCCGAGCTCCACGCTCAGCCGCGCGTTCTGCTCCTCCAGCGCCTTGACCCGGCCCAGGTAGGCCTCCAGGCGCCGGTTGAGCTCCCACAGCTGGAAGGACTCCTCCCCCGCGCAGCCGTCCATGCTGCTCGTCGGTCACCAAGGCGGACGAACGCGGGCGCCGGGAGGAGGCGGAGGACCTCAGCGCTCGAACGGCGGAGCGGAGACAGCACGAGCAGGAGCTCGAGGCAGAGGGAGCAGCCGAGTGTCTGAGCCCTGGTCGGAGCGAGGCTACTTATACTCCCGCCAGCCGGCCGGCGAGGGGCGGGCCCAGGCTTAACCCCTTAGAGCGTAGGATGGTGCCGGTCCGCGTCTGGGTCCCCCGAGGGCAGGAGAGCGGAACCGGGGAAGGGTCGGAGCCCGCTAAACCATAGGATGCAGCCGGGCGTGGCGGCGCACGCCTGTGATCCTGTACTCAGGAGGCTGAGGCAGGAGGATCACAAGTAGCAGCCCAGCCTGCGCAATTTAGGGAGACCCTGTCTCAAGAAAGGGGTCTAGGGTCTGGGAATGTAGCTCAGTGTGAAGGCTCTGGATTCAATCCCCAGTACAAAAACAAAAACAAAAACAGAACTGGACGGGGTGGGCTGTGGGAGTCTCAGTTACACAGAATTGTCTGAGACTTAGTTTCCCCACCCACAAAATGGGGGCGATGAAAGCACGGGCTTTTTTGTAAATAGCAAATGCGCACCCTGGAGGGGCAGCCCCGCAGGGACGGCAGGGGAGTACCTGGGCGGTGGGGAGGACAAAGTGGTGGGGACCCAGCGCGTGTGCGCTCACCAGCTCCCGCGGCCTGGGCTCCCCCGGAAGGGGGAGACGGGAAGACCGCCGACCCACGACTGCCCGTCTCCCTCCCTCCCTCCTGGCTTCCTCCCCGTGACGGAGGAGCGTCCCGTGCGCCCCAGGAAGCACTCCCGGGTCGGGCTGCAGCGCACTGCGGAGGGCTCGTTCACCTTGATGCCGGCCTGGGGCTTCAATGCCACCACCCCACCCCACAAAAAACCGAAATTAGTTCTCCGAGGCCAGGGAGGGGCGCCACACCCATCCAAGTGAGGGATTTGGGGACAGAGGGCGCCGCCTGGTGGCACACAAATCCGATCCAGCCGAGGAAGACGCCTGAAGCGTGAAGCCGAGCCCTTTTCCCTATTTGCTTTGTTTTTGCTTATTTGTATTTTGAGGCAGGGTCTCGCTGAGTTGCTCAGGTTGAGTTTCAAATTGCAATATTCCTGCCTCCGCCTCTCAGCTTACAGGTGCATACCTTGAGCACCAATTTTTCCCTTCACTATTAGGGACTGAACCTGGGACTTTTTTCTCTCTCTCTCTTTTTTTTTTTTTTTTTTGCTACCTGGGATCAAACTCAGGACCTTGCGCTTGCAAGGCAGGTATGGTGCCACTGAGCTAAATCCCTGGCCCTTGAACCTGGGACTTTTGCACTGAGCTACATTCCCAACCCTCTATGAGACAGTGTCTCTGTAGGTCTCTAAGTTGCCCCAGCTGGATTTTAACTCGTGATCCTCCGGCCTCAGCCTCCCAGAGTGCTGGGATTACAGGTGTGCACCACTATGTGCAGTGCCAAATATTGTTCTAACATTTAACTGACATTGTCTCACGTAATGTTCAACACCTTCCTTTGCTCCTGCATGTGTGTTCTGAGCTTCCCTCAAAGGTGTCGGGTATGCGCAGGGCTTTGTGCCTGTTCTGAGAACCACCATTCGGGGCCATGAATCGAAGAAAGGCCCTGCCGTCGTGAACCATCCAGGTGAGCTTTGGGGCCCTCAGTGGGCAGAGAGGGTCCAGGATGCTGGGAGAGAGTGTGGTGCTGATGTTTCTGACTGGAGAAGCAGCTGCTACAGCTGATGCCTGCTGGGACTGAGGCCCATAACCTCTCTTTGAAGCTCCGAGGAAAACATGGCCCTTTCCTGAGTGCCAGCAGGGCTCCATGGGCACCAGGTGGGCTGGGCAACTCTCTTCCTTGGGCATTGCATAGGTTACTGGGACTCTTGTGAGGCCTTTGGCTGCCCTCGAACCCTGTCCCCAGTTCAGCAGCTCCCCAGAGCCCGCCATGAGTGAGCTGAGGGCTGTCCTGAGCCCATCCTGCCCTTGGCCCTGACTATCAAAGCCTTGAGAGAAACACAGAAGCCACATCTCTCAAATCTGCACATTATGCAAAAGCTGAGAGGTAGATTTGTTTTTTTCTGGTACCGGGAATGAGGCAGTTGTGAGGCAGGTGTGGCGCCACTGAGCTAAATCCCCAGTGTAGATTTTGACAGAACAGGAAAAAATAAACCAAATGAGATTTAATAGGGATAAATGAAAATTCTGCTTTAAAAAAAAATTTTTTTTTGAGATAGGGTCTCCTTATGTAGCCCAGGCTGGCCTCGAACTCCTGGCAATCCTCCTGCCTCAGCTCCTTGAGTGTTGGGATTACAGGTGTGCACCGCCACACCCAGCTTCACCCCCAGTCCTCTTAATTTTATTTTCAAACAGGGTCTTGCTAAGTTGCCCCCGCCAGCCTGGAACGCTTGGTCCTCCTGCTGTCACCTCCATGCCTGGGAGTCACCATCGTTACACAAGGAGAGATGGTCAGAGGGAAGTGAAATGGAGAGCAGGCCCTGGGAGAACCCCAACTTTCAGGAGCTCTGCACCAAGCGATCTGGGGAAGTGGGAAAGGATGAGCCCTTGTTGGGCACCAGGCTTTCCCTGGAGAGGCTGGGCACTGGCTGGAGCCCGTCTTCCTCCCCTCCTGTCCCAGCCCCCAGCCTTGAGGGCAGCATGGTACTGGTCCAGAGGTAGAGGCCGCCTCTCTTCATCCCTCTTTTCCCCACTGGAGCAACGGCAGGACTGGCCTGTCCACATCACACGGGGATGGTGGCCTCCCTCTCCCATCCTGCGGGTAGAGGCTGGAGCACTGCAGTGGGCAGAAGGAGCTGGCCTCGCTGTGGGAACTTGGGCACGGATGTGTGCACTCGCCACTCTGGGCCCAGGTTTTCTCAGCCATTCCTTCACAGCATGTATTGATTTATGTATGCTTTTGAGACAGGGTCTCACTGGCTAGCCCAGACTGGGCTCGAACTCAGAGCGATCCTCCTGCCTCAGCCTCCTGAGTGCTGGGATTATAGGTGTGCACCACCACACTGGGCCCCACAGTATTTATTTGGTAACTGTTGCATACCAGGTGTGCAGTAGGTGTCCAGTGCATGTTAGAAAGCAACCAAAGATGACTAATACGGACCCCGCCCCAAGGGGCTCATGGTATGTTAGAGACCTGGGAGCCAGACTGTGAACAGGGGCCCCAAGGCCCTGTGGGTGTGGCCAGGGGAAGTAGGGCCCAGGGAAGGGTTTTAACCTGGCCAGACTGGCATCTGAGAAAGACCAGTGGGGAGACTGGGGTGGGGTGGCCAGCAGTTACCACAGCAAGGTGAGGTGTGGCACCGGGGCCGCCCAGGAGAGGAGGGCAGAGACAGGCGTGGGACTGTTAGGCTGTACAGGTTCCAAGTCCGATGTAGGAGGGAGGCAGGGGGCAAGGAAGGCACCTGAGGCACGTGGCTGGCCCTGGGAGGGAAGAGAGCCCTGCCAGATGTGCCGAGTCCAGAGGATGATGCAAGGTTAGGGTGAACAAAGGACACCCTCCTGCCTCAGCCTTCCAGAGTGGGATTCCAGGCGTGAACTACTACTCATTTTAACTCCGACATTCTGCACCTGTGGTTTTGATTTGCAACGTTGCGGAGGGTGTCGGGCGCGTGGCCGCCAGGGGTCGCTATTGCCTCGGGGAAGCTACATTTACGCTCTAAAAAACAATTTTTCAAAATTAATGGTGTCTGAAGGTCTACTATCTAGAATATATAAAGAATTGAAAAAAATCAGACCCCCAAAATTCAAAGACCCAATTCAGAAATGGGCATCTGAAATAAACAGACATTTCTCAGACAAGTAAAAGCAAATAAATATATGAAAAAATGTTCAACATCACTGGTCATTCAAGAGGTGCAGATGAAAACAACACTGAGATTCCACCTCACCCCAGAGAGAATGGCTGCTATCAAGAAATCGACCAATAACAAATGCTGGCAGGGGTATGGGGAGAAAGGAACCCTTCTCCATTGTTGGTGGGAGTGCAGACTGGTGCAACCACTGTGGAAATCAGGGTGGAGATATCTCAAAGAACTAGGGCTAGAGGTCCCGTTTGACCCAGCTATTCCCCTGCTGGGAATCTTCCCCAAAGAATTAAAAGAATCACACCACAGCGATATATGTGCACCCGTGTTTATAGCGGCACAGTTTGTAATAGCTAAAGTTTTGAAACAGCCCAAGTGCCCGTCAACTGGAAACTGGATAAAGAAGATGTGGTTTTTTTATAAAATGGAGTACTACTCAGCCATAAAGAACGAGAAACTAGAGGCATTTATAGCTAAATGGATGCATATTGAGGCCATCCTCTTAAGTGAAATAAATGGGACACCCATGTGTAAATACCAAATAGTTTCTCTAGTGTGAAAAACTGAAAGTGTAAATAAGGATTAAAATGATTAAAACAAATAATTGATAATTTGAAATAGGAAAAGGTCCAAAGGGGTAGGGGGGTGGGAGGGGAAGGGGAAAGGGAAGAAGGGAAAGGAAAAATTATGAGAAAAGGAAAAAAATGGAAACAAAATCTTTGTAAATAGGGAAGGGTGGAGGGGGTGAAGGGCGCACAGGTAATGGGGAAAAAAATAAGAACTAAGATACATCATGTACAGGTACAAGCACCGAATGATAAATGTAAACGTATTGTATACCTAAAATGTACCAATAAAAGAATTTAAGAATTAAAAAAAAAATAAGATTTGAGGGGATTAAAAATGGCAAAGTAGGGCCAGGAATTTAGCTTAGTGGTGACACCGCCTGCCTCGAAAGTTCAAGGTCCTAAATTCAATCCTGATAATGGAAAAAAAAACAAACAAAAAATGGCAAAATAAAGGCCAGCAGCAAAATAAAGTCTCTCCATTACCTAGAATTGAGACACCTAGAAAACAGCAACTATAGAAGAGAAAAGTTCCAGCTATAGGAATCAAAACAGAGGCGACAGGAAAACTAGAAATCACAGGGAAAATGGAGAGCTGAAGACAATGTGGAGGAAGGCACGAAGCATTCTGGAACTGCCGTCCCAGCTCCCAGAGGAGGTCCTGTCTGCAGACACAAGCTGTGGCCTTTAGCTGGCTGAGTTAGGGTTTGTGTGTCTGCA